GAGAAGCCAGGACCCTTATCTCAGTAAAGGTAGTCTGATCATGCTAAAAGGACCTGTAAGGAGGGCCAAGCAGAATCCAGGACCCTTATCTCAGTAAAGGTAGTCTGACCATGCTAAAAGGACCTGTAAGGAGGGCCAAGGAGAAGCCAGGATCCTTTTCTCAGTAAAGGTAGTCTGATCATGCTAAAAGGACCTGTAAGGAGGGCCAAGGAGAAGCCAGGACCCTTATCTCAGTAAAGGTAGTCTGACCATGCTAAAAGGACCTGTAAGGAGGGCCAAGATGCAGCCAGGACCCTTATCTCAGTAAAGGTAGTCTGACCATGCTAAAAAGACCTGTAAGAAGGGCCAAGAAGCAACCAGGACACTTATCTCAGTAAAGGTAGTCTGACCATGCTAAAAGGACCTGTAGGGGGGACTCGAGATGAATCCAGGACCCTTATCTCAGTAAAGGTAGTCTGACCATGCTAAAAGGACCTGTAGGGGAGACTTAAGAAGAATCCAGGACCCTTATCTCAGTAAAGGTAGTCTGATCATGCTAAAAGGACCTGTAAGGGAGCCAAGGAGAAGTCAGGACCCTTATCTCAGTCAAGGTAGTCTGAACATGCTAAAAGGACCTGTAAGGAGGGCCAAGATGCAGCCAGGACCCTTATCTCAGTAAAGGTAGTCTGATCATGCTAAAAGGACCTGTAAGGAGGGCCAAGGAGAAGCCAGGACCCTTATCTCAGTAAAGGTAGTCTGACCATGCTAAAAGGACCTGTAAGGAGGGCCAAGGAGAAGCCAGGACCCTTATCTCAGTAAAGGTAGTCTGACCATGCTAAAAGGACCTGTAAGGAGGGCCAAGGAGAAACCAGGACCCTTATCTCAGTAAAGGTAGTCTGATCATGCTAAAAGGACCTGTAAGGAGGTCCAAGAAGCAACCAGGACCCTTATCTCAGTAAAGGTAGTCTGACCATGCTAAAAGGACCTGTAGGGGGGACTCGAGAAGAAACAAGGACCCTTATCTCAGTAAAGGTAGTCTGATCATGCTAAAAGGACCTGTAAGGAGGGCCAAGCAGAATCCAGGACCCTTATCTCAGTAAAGGTAGTCTGATCATGCTAAAAGGACCTGTAAGGAGGTCCAAGAAGCAGCCAGGACCCTTATCTCAGTAAAGGTAGTCTGATCATGCTAAAAGGACCTGTAAGGAGGGCCAAGCAGAATCCAGGACCCTTATCTCAGTAAAGGTAGTCTGATCATGCTAAAAGGACCCTTAAGGAGGTCCTAGAAGCAGCCAGGACCCTTATCTCAGTAAAGGTAGTCTGATCATGCTAAAAGGACCTGTAAGGAGGGCCAAGCAGAATCCAGGACCCTTATCTCAGTAAAGGTAGTCTGATCATGCTAAAAGGACCTGTAAGGAGGTCCAAGAAGCAGCCAGGACCCTTATCTCAGTAAAGGTAGTCTGATCATGCTAAAAGGACCTGTAAGGAGGGCCAAGCAGAATCCAGGACCCTTATCTCAGTAAAGGTAGTCTGACCATGCTAAAAGGACCTGTAAGGAGGACCAAGGAGAAGCCAGGACCCTTATCTCAGTAAAGGTAGTCTGATCATGCTAAAAGGACCTGTAAGGAGGGCCAAGCAGAATCCAGGACCCTTATCTCAGTAAAGGTAGTCTGATCATGCTAAAAGGACCTGTAAGGAGGTCCAAGAAACAGCCAGGACCCTTATCTCAGTAAAGGTAGTCTGACCATGCTAAAAGGACCTGTAAGGAGGGCCAAGGAGAAGCCAGGACCCTTATCTCAGTAAAGGTAGTCTGATCATGCTAAAAGGACCTGTAAGGAGGGCCAAGGAGAAACCAGGACCCTTAATCTCAGTAAAGGTAGTCTGACCATGCTAAAGGGACCAGTAAGGAGGGCCAAGTAGAATCCAGGACCCTTATCTCAGTAAAGGTAGTCTGACCATGCTAAAAGGACCTGTAAGGAGGGCCAAGCAGAATCCAGGACCCTTATCTCAGTAAAGGTAGTCTGATCATGCTAAAAGGACCTGTAAGGAGGGCCAAGGAGAAACCAGGACCCTTAATCTCAGTAAAGGTAGTCTGACCATGCTAAAAGCACCTCTAGGGGGGACTTGAGAACAATCCAGGACCCTTATCTCAGTAAAGGTAGTCTGACCATGCTAAAAGGACCTGTAGGGGGGACTCAAGAAGAAACAAGGACCCATATCTCAGTAAAGGTAGTCTGATCATGCTAAAAGGACCTGTAAGGAGGGCCAAGCAGAATCCAGGACCCTTATCTCAGTAAAGGTAGTCTGATCATGCTAAAAGGACCTGTAAGGAGGGCCAAGAATATGAAAAAAACACGTTAATCTTCTACATAATTTTTCAACAACATCACCGACTTGAATGTTTGATTTAAGTTTTGTTTGAAAATACACGATCTTATACTACATTTAGTAAAAAAAAAAGAAGAAAACATTCAATCTGAAGACAGATTCAGTCCATTTAAAGATTCTTACCGTGCAAGGGAGGCAACTCTTACAATGTGATTATGAAGTTCATCAGCAAGACAAGCTTTTGAAAAACATGTTCTCCTACCGGTACATATGTAACGACTTTAAAAGTACAAATATCCACCTTAAAATTGTACAATATGTCAGTGTTGTAAAGCCGTGTTTAAAGTCTCCAACGTCAACACGTGTTTGGTACTCGTTAGATTAAGCTCGTGGTTTCTTTGTTCTCAAATCTCAATTAAAATTTGCATGGTGAATGTCGTCGATGAAATAGAAGATGCTTACCGTCCTTGAACACTGGAAATCTTTCGTTTATATCCTTGTTCGTTTCTCACCGATTTGAATGCATTTTTTTTGTGTCTGACCGATCGCAAGTAGATTTTGGCTCTGTAATATGTAAGTAAACGAAAATTTTAAATCTACTAGAATCACGGTTTATGAATAGAACTACAGATTATATGACATTGTGATTCTTCCTCCTAACTTGACAATATTATGAAAAATATTTTGAAAACTTGTTATTCCAGTTACGGCCACTGTTGTGGTATGTTCGTTAACCCATCCGTGGTTAGTACTTATGATCAGTGTTTCTCGGTACTGGGTGGACCTTCGAACACAACTCGGGGCCAAGTGGATACTATATATACTTAAAAGATAAAGAAACGCAGGGTGAACTTTAAACCAGAAATTAAGTATGATATCGGGCTTCACTTAAAACGAAATTTTGTATACTTACAGATAAATTAAAGCTTAAAAATTTCCAAAGTCTCTATTTTGCATCTGACAATTGGTTTAGAGGTACTAACGATTAACTTGAATGGACCCATAGGATTTTGAAATTGAAATTGAACCGAGTCATCAATATCTTGTGTGTCCGCCATTTGCTGTGGTCACGGCCGTTATTCTTCTGGTCATAGAGTTCATGAGAGCGTTAATCCGTCTTATGGGGATGTTGTCCCACCCTTCAATCAGAGCTCTGGTCAACTGCTCTCGAGTAGCAGGGGGTGGCTGGCGCTTTCAAACCTGTCTATCCAACTGGTCCCCAAGATGCTCGATCGGGGACAAATCAGGGCTATATGGCGGCCAATCTAGTGGTTGAATGTTGTTGTTGGCCAGAAAGATTTGGCAAATCCTTGCTACGTGGGGCCTAGCATTATCCTGCTGGAGGGTTAGATTATGCTGCTGTAAGAAAGGGATAACATGGGGTCGGAGGATCTCATCTCTATACTTAGCTGCTGTTAAATTGCCATCAATAACAACCAATTGTGATTTTAACCCGTGTGAGATTCCTCCCCACACCATTACTGAACCGCCCCCAAACCTATCCCTCTCTACAACGCAAGCGTCCGTAAAACGTTCGCCACGACGTCGGTAGACACATTGACGGCCGTCAGATCGATCAAGACAGAATCGAGACTCGTCCGTGAAGAAAACTTGTCTCCACTGCCTCAGTGGAAACCGTCGTGGAGCATGTGCAGCGACCCAGGCCATACGACGCCGACGTCGAGCAGGGGTAAGGTGTGGACCTATGTAGGGGCGACGTGCTCTTACACCAACTTCTCGTAATCGATTCCTTACAGTTTTTGAACTTCTAGGACGCCCATGATTTCCACGAACATTAAGTGCACTCTCAACGGCAGTAAGGCGCCGATTACGCACACGAGAAACGACGACATAGCGATCCTGACGTCGTGACGTTACGCGCGGACGTCCTGACCTAGGTCGATCGGCTATTCGCCCAGTTTCCCGAAGACGTCTTCCAGGACGTTCTATGGTGGAAACATTAACACCAAAGTGCCTAGCAACCTGATTTTGCAGCTGTCCTTGCATCAGCATCTGAATGACCCGACCCCTCTGAACTTCTGTGAGTCGTGCCATTCTTAAAACGAATCAAATTCTCAATTAATTTTAGGGAAGCAGTTGGTCTGTATAAAGACTAACGAAGAGTGACTTGACCAACGCTGCACGAGACCAGAACAACACGGTGCACGAGATTCTTGTTTTTTCCTTCCTCCATTTACCAGAGCTGCGCACTGTACCGTGACTAAATTTTCGATACATGACAAGGTGTAATATGACCTAATTACTCAATCCACAAAGTTTCACTTTATTTGGAGAACGCGTTTTCAAAATATCGGAATAAATATTACCCTGCGTTTCTTTATCCTTTCAGTATATATGTACAAGTCAGTGTAAACTTTTGTCATTTTGGTTTCCTAATTCGTAATGATACCGACACAACTCGGGGCCACGTGTATACTATATATATGTACAAGTCAGTGTAAACATTGTCATTTTGGTTTCCCAATTCGTAATGATTGACCTTACATATTAAGTCCAAGATGGTCAAATTTTTGGTGTCCCAGTTTACATGAAAATTGAACAGGCATATCTAGGGACTGTGAGGATGTGGTTCTCAGGAAATCATAAGGATTGCTCAAGGACGAAAAGTGGTTTAAACCCCCTTCTGCTGGTGATGTGATACTGCTGCTGCTGATGTGATGCTGCTGCTGGTGATGCTACTGATGTGATGCTGCTACTGCTCGGGCTGCTGATGTGATACTGCTGGGGCTGCTGCTGATATGATGCTGCTGGGGCTGCTGATATGATGCTGCTGCTGATGTGATGCTGCTGATGTGATGCTGCTGCTGTTTGGGCTGCTGATGTGATGCTGCTGCTAGGGATGTGATGCTGCTGCTGCTGATGTGATGCTGCTGCTGCTGATGTGATGCTGGTGCTGCTGCTGATGTGATGCTGCTGCTGCTGCTGTGATTCTGCTGCTGATGTAATGCTGCTGCTGGGACTGCTGTGATGCTACTGCTACTGATGTGATGCTGCTGATGTGATGCTGCTGCTGGGACTGCTGTTCTGCTGCTGCTACTGATGTGATGCTGCTGCTGCACGGGCTGCTGATGTGATACTGCTGCTGCTGCACGGACTGCTGATGTGATGCTGCTGCTGGGACTGCTGGTGTGATGCTGCTGCTGGGACTGCTGGTGTGATGCTGCTGCTGGGACTGCTGGTGTGATGCTGCTGCTGCTGCTGCTGCTGGGACTGCTGATGTGCTGCTGCTGATGTGATGCTGCTACTGCTCGGGCTGCTGATGTGATGCTGCTGGGGCTGCTGCTGATGTGATGCTGCTACTGCTCGGGCTGCTGATGTGATGCTGCTGGTGATGATGTACTGATGATAATAATATTGCTGCTGATGAGGAGGAGGAAGAGGAGGAATACCTTCTATACACACAATTCAATTTTGGCAAAATGTTTGTTTTTGCAAATTAGTGCAATGATAAATTAGCACATTAACAGTTATTGCTATATAAGCAAAATAGTGTGATCTATAATTCAAACGTACGTTTACAGTATTTGAAAAGTAATGAGTGAAAAATCAGAATATCATAGTAGTATGATCAAATCCTCTTTGTCTTCCTGTTAAGTGTTCATAGTATAATGATACATGTATTATCAACAGACTAGGAGTATTCAGTTTTCACACTGATGTGGTATGTTATGCCATATAACTCTTGTTAACTCTTTCTCCATAAAAATAAGCAACACGAGTACAATTGAAAACTTTTATCTTTATTCTTCTTCATATTCCTTAACAATAATCTATTTATCAAATTAGCCATGAAATCTGACACCATATAAGGAAACCAGCCATGAAATCTGACACCATATAAGGAAACCAGCCATGAAATCTGACACCATATAAGGAAACCAGCCATGAAATCTGACACCATATAAGGAAACCAGTCATGAAATCTGACACCATATAAGGAAACCAGTCATGAAATCTGACACCATATAAGGAAACCAGTCATGAAATCTGACACCATATAAGGAAACCAGTGACTGGTGTAACCACAACATTATAGTGGCAGAACATATCACAACTAACTCCACGGCTGTATTAGAGGTAAACACCGATATCTAGGTAAAGTGTCAAGATTGATCTAGTAATACCTGGCCGGCAGAGTCTATACTTACACACCTGTACCGATGTGTACAACACAAGTACTGATGTGTACCTACAAATGTACCGATGTGTACCCATACATGTACTGATGTGTATCCACATGTGTACCTTCAAATGTACCGATGTGTACCCATACATGTACTGATGTGTATCCATGTGTACCTTCAAATGTACCTATGTGTACGCATACATGTACCGATGTGTATCCACGTGTACCTTCAAATGTACCGATGTGTACCCATACATGTACCGATGTGTATCCACATGTGTACCTTCAAATGTACTGATGTGTATCTATATTTGTACCTTCAAATGTACCTATGTGTACCCATACATGTATCAATGTGTATCCACATGTGTACCTTCAAATGTACCAATGTGTACCCATACATGTATCTATGTGTATCTACATGTGTACCTTTAAATGTACCGATGTGTACCCATACATGTACCGATGTGTATCCACATGTGTACCTTCAAATGTACCAATGTGTACCCATACATGTATCGATGTGTATCTACATGTGTACCTTTAAATGTACCGATGTGTACCCATACATGGACTGATGTGTATCCACATGTGTACCTTCAAATGTACCGATGTGTATCCATACATGTACCGATGTGTATCCACATGTGTACCTTCAAATGTACCAATGTGTACCCATACATGTACTTATGTGTATCCACATGTGTACCTTCAAATGTACCGATGTGTACCCATACATGTACTTATGTGTATCCACATGTGTACCTTCAAATGTACCGATGTGTACCCTGATGAGTACCTACACATGTACTGATATGTCTGTACATCTATGTTAATGACTGAACATCAGCATAAAGGTACAGACAGCTCAGGATGTCAATGTACATGTAATTATAATGTATATGTATTATTGATTAGTGTCGCATTGTTTCCAATGGAAACCTGCTCGTATTGTGTGTAGGTTGTTATTTAGGTCTGAGATGTGTAGTCTAGTGGGAAAGGTTTGTAGAGTAGTGTATGGAGCACACAGAAAGTTTACATGTGTGAAAACATATACTGTCCATCTCGGATCAATACTAGCGTACTCACAGCACCATAACTTGAGTGTATAAAGTAAAGATTGCACAATTCCAATCTGTTCATGTGTAAGCACAGCATATTTACACATGTGTAAAATATCAGACCAACATAAGTGCACACAGAATCTGTTCACACATGTAAATATCGGACTACACATTTCAGATCAGTTGAAGTGTACACACTGCATATTTACACATGTGTAAAATCTCAGACCAACACAAGTGTACACACAGCATGTTTACACATGTGTAAAACAACAGACTACACATCTCAGATCAGTACAAGTGTACACACAGGTACATTTTCAAAATACCATTAATAAATTATTCCTGTCAATTGAAGCAAAATCTATATAAAAAGGTAAAATATATTTTAAAAATAAAAAATAATCTGAGTCTAATTATGTAAGGACTTGTGCACCTTTGACTCGGTAAATAACCTCACTTAGTCCTTGAGTGTAGTTTTAGTTCTTGAATGTCAAATGTCAGCTATCAAACATGGTCCACAAATCCATTATATATATATATATATATTTTGTTTGTTTTTTTAAAATTTGTTCCTTCCATATAGATAGAAGACTGCGATACAAGTCCCATATCATGTATTTGACAATATGCAATATCTTTCTTTAATTCATGAAAACAAACGAAACAAAACAAAAACATTTTATGTTTCAAAACAAATTTTCAGCATCTTAGTATGGTTTTGTTTTGATTGAAGAAAAACAATGTTTTGATCTACATTAGTTACAACAAAATATCACCTCTTTGCCAAAATATAGCAACAGGCTTTAGTAAGTTAACAAAGAATTAAAATCATAAAGAAAAAAAGCCCTAAAAAATAAAAAAACAACCAGTCAGTAATATATATATATATCTATGTTATAAATAATAAAATGACTAATTCTCCAGTATGTGTAAAATCAACTGAGAAAATGTTAAAAGTGAGTAAAAAGTGATTGCACAACCCTTTGTTCTAAAAATAACTAAACAGACTAGGAGGGAACCCTGCTTTGAAGTTTTGCTAATGCAATATCACATGTATTGTTTACTATGGACAGGTGAATTCAAATATTTCAAACCTGATCACTTGAAAAATTAAAAATACAATTTTTCTAAAAGTTGCTTTTTGTTCATAGGAAAAACATAACCCTTTTGATGAATCCTACCCGATGTTGAGAGTGCACTGTTTGAAGATTGGTTGTGTTACCTGCCGGGCGGTTATCGACTAAGGGTGTCACAAGATACTGGCTCAGACCTACCTGTCTACACACCATATCATCACTGTAGTTACAGGGGAGGTTCAGCATATTATACAACATATGGACATTATAATCATATCATTGGTATCATATATGTTTCTTTCAATCTGTCATAATAAACATAACAGAGCTAACTGTTCCACGTTGCCGTTTTTTGAAAAGAAAATATACAGGATTTTGGTAGCAGTCAGCCTCTAACATATCTTAAAGACTGAAAAGAGGAAATGTTTGAAACATATATAATTATGTATATATTATACACCACTACAAATAGACTCTCATATTCTTGCACTCTTATATATACACAGACACCTACTTCCACCCACTGGTCCACCTACACACACACACACACATATGCATACATACACACATACTAATCCTAGTCACAGGCGATAATTCTTCGCCATCATAATATACAAAATATCAACTACCCAGGGGTCTGTCATGCCTGTAACATGGGGGTGTCAAACTAGATTCTTCCTGCTTTGCCTCCAGGAGCTTGCCACAGTCCTATTTTGAGCTATCATAAACGGCCTGCCATAGTGGTATATTCAGGTGCCACAAAGAGCCTGCCGCAGATGTTGGATAACCATAAAGGGCCTGTCACAGCTATATGTTTGAGTACCATAAAGGGCTTGTCACAGTTGCATGTTGGAGTACCATAAAGGGCCTGTCACAGCTATATGTTGGAGTACCATATAGGGCCTGTCACAGTTGTATGTTGGAGTATCATAAAGGGCCTGTCACAGCTTTATGTTGGGGTACCATAAAGGGCCTGTCACAGTTGTATGTTGGAGTACCATAAAGGGCCTGTCACAGCTATATGTTGGAGTACCATAAAGGGCCTGTCACAGCTATATGTTGGAGTACCATAAAGGGCCAGTCACAGTTGTTTGTTTGAGTGCCATAAAGGGCCAGTCACAGTTGTATGTTGGAGTACCATAAAGGGCCTGTCACAGTTGTATAATGGAGTACCATAAAGGGCCTGTCACAGTTGTTTGTTTGAGTACCATAAAGGGCCTGTCACAGTTGTATGTTTGAGTACCATAAAGGGCCTGTCACAGTTGTATGTTGGAGTACCATAAAGGGCCTGTCACAGTTGTATGTTGGAGTACCATAAAGGGCCTGTCACAGCTATATGTTGGAGTACCATAAAGAGCATGTCACAGTTGTTTGTTGGAGTACCATAAAGGGCCAGTCACAGTTGTATGTTGGAGTACCATAAAGGGCCTGTCACAGCTATATGTTGGAGTACCATAAAGGGCCTGTCACAGCTATATGTTGGAGTACCATAAAGGGCCAGTCACAGTTGTTTGTTTGAGTACCATAAAGGGCCAGTCACAGTTGTATGTTTGAGTACCATAAAGGGCCTGTCACAGTTGTATGTTGGAGTACCATAAAGGGCCTGTCACAGTTGTATGTTGGAGTACCATAAAGGGCCTGTCATAGCTATATGTTGGAGTACCATAAAGGGCCTGTCATAGCTATATGTTTGAGTACCATAAAGGGCCAGTCACAGTTGGATGTTGGAGTACCATAAAGGGCCTGTCATAGTTGTATGTTGGGGTACCGTAAAGGACCTGTCACTGTTTTATGTGGGTGCCACAGCACCATGAATTTCTAACTAGATATATGTTGGTATGCCACATAGGCCCTGCCACTGTTATATGTTGTGGTGCCACACAGGCCCTGCCACTGTTATTCTTTGGTATGCCACAAAAGGACCTGTCACAGTTGTATGTTGGGATGCAACAACCACAAAATGTGCTAGCCAGTTGTATTATGTTGTTGTGCCATAAAGGGCCTGCCAAAGTAACAACTGACACTTGACACATCAGGAGCACCACAAATGAATTATTTTAGATGTTTTTGTATTGCAGAATTGGTAATGACTTCACCATAACATAACAGAAATTATTCCTGACAAAATCCTACTAGTCATTTTGAATTCATCTTTGGATTATTTGACTAAAACAACCTAGTACATGTACATCTGTAACAAGTCAGACTAGTCTTTATTTGATTTGAACCCTTATTTAATGTAACTCAGGTATATGAAGAGATGGTGTTACACCACAGAACCAAGTAAATGGTGGAAACCCAGGGAACCAAGGAAATGGAAACCCAGGGAACCAAGGAAATTCCATGAACCCATGGTTATCTAGAGTAAGTTTGAGATAGTGGTAACTTCGACCAACTGTGATATTGTGGTAACCAAGACAACTGTGATATTGTGGTAACCCAGACAACTGTGATATTGTGGTAACCAAGACAACTGTGATATTGTGGTAACCCAGACAACTGTGATATTGTGGTAACCAAGACAACTGTGATATTGTGGTATCCCAGACAACTATGAGATAGTGGTGATATGTGTGTTGTGATATGCCAATGCAAAGAGGAGACAGCAGTGAACTTTTAAGGTAATAGTTACCCAAGACAAAAAAATGGTTACCACTGAAACAATGTATGGGCTTTTTTATATGGCTGTAATTTTGTGGTTTACTTATCAAATCAAAAGTTTGCAGAAAAAATGATGTACCAGTAGTGAAGAATCCATGGTTTTCTTATCATTTTCACTTTTAAGGTATCTAGTTTTGTGTTTTATTCTATCTGCAAAAACAGCGAAAAATAGAAATCCTTGAATATATGAATTTTGTCAGTAGATCTGAGATCTACTAAGAAATGAATTCAGCAGTGAAACAGATTACTAAATAGGTTTCAATAAATATAATATCATCAACAACCTTCTCTTCTGAGAAATCAGCAATACAGTTACAGCTGGGCCCTTAACCATTAAAAACATGAGATGTTAAACATAAATGACAACAAACAGACAGGATGCCCAGGTCTGTTATACATAAAACTACCAATAAATACTGACCTACAGACACCCAGCCTTTCTGTTGAGGTTTCATTGATTTTTATAATAATATATCAAATCAGCTTTTCAATGTAATATATGAATGCTTCCCAATACACACTCCAAACACTAAAATATCAACAATGATCATGGACTTGTCACTCACCAAAATCTAAGCACAACCTTGTCCACACAGCTTACTGTGATGTAACAGTATCAACGTCTCTGGCTGACCTGTATCATGTCATAACATTTTAATCTTAATTGATTACTATATTCCTGTCCAAAACTGATCAATGTGAAGTCACAATGACCATGTCCCCAACTGACCTGTGTGATGTCACAGTATCCTGTCCAAAACTGATCAATGTGAAGTCACAATGACCATGTCCCCAACTGACCTGTGTGATGTCACAGTATCCTGTCCAAAACTGATCAATGTGAAGTCACAATGACCATGTCCCCAACTGACCTGTGTGATGTCACAGTATCCTGTCCAAAACTGATCAATGTGAAGTCACAATGACCATGTCCCCAACTGACCTGTGTGATGTCACAGTATCCTGTCCAAAACTGATCAATGTGAAGTCACAATGACCATGTCCCCAACTGACCTGTGTGATGTCACAGTATCCTGTCCAAAACTGATCAATGTGAAGTCACAATGACCATGTCCCCAACTGACCTGTGTGATGTCACAGTATCCTGTCCAAAACTGATCAATGTGAAGTCACAATGACCATGTCCCCAGTTGACCTGTGTGATGTCACAGTATCCTGTCCAAAACTGATCAATGTGAAGTCACAATGACCATGTCCCCAGTTGACCTGTGTGATGTCACAGTATCCTGTCCATACTTGACCAGTGTGATGTCACAGTATCCTGTCCATACTTGACCAGTGTGATGTCACAGTATCCTGTCCATACTTGACCAGTGTGATGTCACAGTATCCTGTCCATACTTGACCAGTGTAATGTCACAGTATCCTTGTTCCCAGTTTACCAGTGTGATGTCTCGGTATCTTGTCTCTCACTGACCAGTGTGATGTCACGGTATCTTGTCTCTCACTAACCAGTGTGATGTCACAGTATCCTGTCCATACTTGACCAGTGTGCAGTCACAGTAACCATGTCCCTAGTTGACCAACCAGTGTAATATCACAGCATCTTGTCCCAAGTCGACCCATGTGATGTCATGGTATTTTGTCTCTCACTGACCAGTGAAATGTCACAATATCCTTGTCCCCAGTTTACCAGTGTGATGTCACGGTATCTTGTCTCTCACTGACCCGTGAAATGTCACAGTATCCTTGTCCCCAGTTTTCCAGTGAAATGTCACAGTATCCTTGTCCCCAGTTTACCAGTGTGATGTCACGGTATCTTGTCTCTCACTGACCAGTGAAATGTCACAGTATCCTTGTCCCCAGTTTACCAGTGTGATGTCACAGTATCTTGTCTCTCACTGACCAGTGAAATGTCACAGTATCCTTGTCCCCAGTTTACCAGTATGATGTCATGGTATCCTGCCCCTAAGTGACCAGTGTGATGTCATGATATCCTGTCCCTAGTTGACAGTATGATGTCATGGTATCCTGTCCCTAGTTAACCAGTGTGATGTCATGATATCCTGTCCCTAGTTAACCAGTGTGATGTCATGGTATCCTGTCCCTAGTAAAACAGTATGATGTCATGGTATCCTGTCCCTAGTTGACCAGTGTGATGTCATGGTATCCTGTCCCTAGTTGACAGTATGATGTCATGGTATCCTGTCCCTAGTTGACCAGTGTGATGTCATGGTATCCTGTCCCTAGTTAAACAGTGTGATGTCATGGTATCCTGTCCCTTGTTAAACACTTTCATGTCCTGTCCCAAGTTGACCAGTGTGGTGTAAGCATATTCCCATTTTATCTAATTGATGCCCATTACAAACTGTATCAATATAATGTCAATCATGTCCGTTATGTAATTGTCAATGACAATAAAGTAATGTCCAGGGTGGTAATGTCAGCATTATATGTGATGAAGGATGACAGAGGTTATGTACAATCCATCAATCATTGTCGATACCCACAACTTCAAACACCCAAATCTTCACTAATACATTCATGTCAAACACCATCTCCTAGTAAACTAATGGAGGACAGCTACATTTGTATCCCTGGCAACCATCACCACCATCACTGATGGAGAAGAGTAACGTCCATATCCATGGCAACCAATATCTCTAATGAGGACAATAGTATCTGTACTGATGGAAACCTACATCACTAATGAAGGGCAGTGATATCTGTTTCCTTGACAACCATTATCACCAATTGAGGACACAAATGTCCATACTCCTGACAACCAATATCACTAATGGAGGACAGTAACAACTTTATATCGCTGGTGACCACCATCACTGATGGAGGACAGTATCATCTGTATCTCTGGCAACCATTATCACTAATGGAGGACAGTATCATCTGTATCCCTGGCAACCAATATCACTAATGGAGGACAATAACATCTGTATCCCTGGCAACCAATATCACTAATGGAGGACAATAACATCTGTATCCCTGGCAACCAATATCACTAATGAAGGACAGTAACATCTGTATTCCTGGTGACTACCATCACTGATGGAGGACAGTATCATCTGTATCCCTGGCAACCAATATCACTAATGGAGGACAATAACATCTGTATCCTTGGCAACCAATATCACTAATGGAGGACAGTAACATCTGTATCCCTGGTAACTACCATCACTGATGGAGGACAGTAACATCTGTATTCCTGGTGACTACCATCACTGATGGAGGACAGTAACATCTGTATTCCTGGTGACTACCATCACTGATGGAGGACAGTAACATCTGTATCCCTGGTGACGCTAATGGAGGACAGTAACATCTGTATCCCTGGTAACTACCATCACTAATGGAGGACAGTAACATCTGTATCCCTGGTAACTACAATCACTAATGGAGGACAGTAACATCTGTATCCCTGGTGACTACCATCACTAATGGAGGAGAGTAACGTCCATATCCCTGGCAACCATCATCACTAATGGTGGTTAATGTCTGTATCCCTGGTGATCAACACATTAACTTAGGACAGACACATCTGCATCTCTGGCGATCAACATCACTAATGGTGGTTAATGCCTGTATCCTTGTCTACCAACATCACTAATGGAGGATAGTAGCATCTGTGCTCCTAGAGACCAACATCAATGTTATTAGAAACTGCCAGCAACCTCAGTTCCCCTGTCTATCACTACCTCGTGTATACTGACATCACAGACATGACACTCCCCAGAGTTGGTCCTCAGTTCCCCTGTCTACCACTAGCTCTTCATCTATTGACATCACAGACATGACACTCCCCAGAGTTGGTCCTCAGTTCCCCTGTCTATCACTAGCTCTTCGTCTATTGACATCACAGACATGACACTCCCCAGAGTTGGTCCTCAGTTCCCCTGTCTATCACTAGCTCTTCATCTATTGACATCACAGACATGACACTCCCCAGAGTTGGTCCTCAGTTCCCCTGTCTATCACTAGCTTTTCGTCTATTGACATCACAGACATGACACTCCCCAGAGTTGTCCTCAGTTCCCCTGTCTATCACTAGCTTTTCGTCTATTGACATCACAGACATGACACTCCCCAGAGTTGGTCCTCAGTTCCCCTGTCTATCACTAGTTCCGTGTCTATAGGGTAAAACAACACCTGAAACAAGAAATGTCATTTCTTCAATTCATTTATATCAAAAAGAAAATGAGTATCAGTTAAACCAACGAATGCTCCCAGAAACAATTTGTTTAATGGGCACAGTTTTTTTTAACAAAGGGCAATAATTCTGTAATTAAGGGATTCAAGCACTGAATTTAGTACACTACACATCATTTTTGTATAATCAATGAATACACTGTTTCATAACCATAATTTATATGCAAGCAAAGTTATGCTTCAGATATAAATTTAATAAAAAGGCCAATTAATCTGTAATTAAGGGGTTGCAGGCCCTGAACTTGGCATTCTGAACATTTCCTTAGTGTGATCAATGTTTCATGATCCTTGCTTAACCATGGGCAAAGGATGGAAAGATGGACGGACGGATGGACAGATGGAAGGACAGAAAAAGCAGCGACTATATGCTTCCTTGAATTTTCAGGAAGCATAATAAATTTTGTTTTTCCAATAACTCTCAAGACCAGGAGCATCATAAACATAAAAAACGACTCGCACTCCACAACTAGGTGAGCTACATATTCAGCATCTATTACTGCAGTTCTGTAGAACAACTCTACATAAATCAAATTCCCGTTCCCAGATTAGGGCTGTGCAAATCTTTCTAACTGGACAAAAAGACAGATGGAACCCATTTCAATTTCCACTGTCAAAAAACAAAAACAAAAAATGTTTTGGTTAGTTTGTTAGACTCTGAATACCACAGCATGTTAAGAAGTACCTACATGAATTAAAGTGGCTCATTCTCCTCTGTTGGCGACTGTAATCGTAGTTGTTCATTATCAGGGAAAAATATACTGGGTTCTGTGTTTCGCCGTTTTATCTTATTTTTGCTTTTTTTCAACATTGTTGCCTGAAAAAAAAAAATTAAACAATGTGTATACAAATTCCAAGGTGCAATAGTCCTAAAAACACCAAGATGCTAAATGTATCATTGGACAATGCTTCAGCATATTCGTATGAAGTCTAGGCCTGCAAAAACTTATTAAGATTATAATGGTAAGTCACAGAATCAGATTTATTAAACTAGAATAATACAAAACATTTAGGACAACATTCTTATATCATAATGGCAGTGTTTAAAGACTGCAAACAAGGACAGGGTCATACTGATGCCATGCCAAATGAGATATCAAATGAGTGCAAATTTTAGGATGATTGTATAGAGAAATACTAGTAAATGTAAATTCCACAATACAAATTTGAGAGTAGAAAAAATCGTTTTGTGTTGTAATTTCTTTTTTTTTTTTACTAGAACAGCACATGGCTTTAGCATGATCAATGTTTATACCAAGTGTTGATATCTCAGTTAAAATGTTAGCAAAGTTATGCTCTGGACACAAAATTTTAACAAAGGGCAGTAACTCTGTAATTTCGGTGTTGAGGGCCCTATAACTATAAACTATAAAACTATATTTATTTTACAATAATTGCAAAACAAGTTATTTCAACTTATACAAATCACTCTTGTTGGCCAAGTTATGCTCTAAACACGAAAGGACGGACTGACAAATTGATGGACAGAAAAGTCTTCTGTTATTTGAATGAAAAGACAAGAATGCTAATACCTTTAATGCTGATCGAAGTACTACAACTTGGCCGGCTGGCTGAACCCAGGGTTCACCATCAACTTGGACCGGTATGTCTGCTAGCAATGTTATCCGTAACTGCAATATTATATATTAGCAGATTTTTAAATGCATGAAGGTGATTAAGACTTAAATGATTAGTTACAATATGCCTTAAGCAAAATGGAGACTGTTGATACCTCTTTCCACTTGACTAAGGAGTAAAATTACATGTCTTTTATTCACTGGAATTTGGTATATAATCATAGAAACTAAAATATATGAGATGTTTATGTATAGATCCTTTGTATCTGTATGATCAAATCTACAGAAGAATTATTTCTGATAATGATACAAGAATATTACAATTTACATAATTTTGATGAACAGTTAAAATAACATCATTTCAAATTAAATTATTTCCAATGATGGTTGTATGGTATCAATAGCTAAACATTATAAATCTCCATTACGCCACTAACAATTCTATACTTACGTGTCCCCCCTGTGCAATGCGTATCCCCGAGCGTAGGCCACCCTGTATCTGCCCCATGTGTACTACGCCTGTGACTCCCACCACTTCAAGATTACCATCATAATGGTTTGGTTTAGAAAAATGGTCTTCTCTCTCAGGGCCCCAAGGATTGGATCCTGACCCCCAACTATACCAATACATAAAATGATGAGAATTATTGTGAACATCACATACCATATTGCTGGTCATTGTCATGGGTTAAAATTTTTGCAATTTTCTAAAATTTTGTGATCTGGATGTAAAACAACATCTAATACACAAGTGTCTTATTACTTCACACATTGAATTTTTGCGATCACGTTAATTTACCATAAAATAGCAATAATATCATTCCGACAGAAATAACCAGCAATATGGTACTATAATAATTCAAAATAAAGCAGGAAGAAAGCAAAAATATGTATAAATTCACATTGATTTTGGCAGCTTTAGTGAAAACACATGTCAGGGATGTCAGAATTTTCAGAATATCAATCAATGATATTAAGCCCAAAGCTATAACTTCAGATACAAGTACTGATGGATTTATAGGGGCTGATTGAGTTAGGTGTATTAGCTTACAATACAGGATAGTTACAAGGAGTATTCATTAAAGGTCTTTTAATATACCCTTCAAAGTGTTATTTTTCTAACACTCTAGCTTACAATACAGGATAGTTACAAGGAGTATTCATTAAAGGTCTTTTAATATGCCCTTCAAAGTGTTATTTTTTGACATTCTAATGGAGTTTTCAACTCTTCGAGGTTCAAAACACATGTATTATTTGACAAATCTTATGTATAAATATTTCAGGTGAATTATCATGGACTTCTGAAATTGATATAGGTCAACTTAAATTAAACCCTTACTTAATTTAGTTATATTTTAATGACAGGTATTCTTAGAGTTGACTAAATGTCAGATCTCCTGTCTCAAAATGATTAAGAGCGTTGCTCAAACATCTTTTCAATTTTTCACTTTTTTGGTCTGAAATTGTTAAATGCTGGAGATAATTTAATATCATTAACTAAGTCACAGTGACACAGACCATCCCCAGGAAAGAAATGAAAGGCTCTACAAGAGTCTAACTTAGTGACTGTATGACAGACTTACTTGAGAAAACTAAGGTCTAACTAAGGTAACTGATAACTCTGACTTAGCCGACTGATAACTCTGACTTGGCCGACTGTGGCCGACTTTTTTGGTCTGAAATTGGCCGACTGTGGCCGACTAATAACTATCATTACTTAGCCGACTGATATCTCTGACTTACAGACCATAACTCTGACTAAGTCTACTGATAACTCTGACTTTGCCGACTGATAACTCTGACTTAGCCGACTGATATCTCTGACTTAGCCGACTGATAACACTGACTTAGCCGACTGATAACTCTGACTTTGCCGACTGATAACTCTGACTTTGCCGACTGATAACTCTGACTTTGCCGACTGATAACTCTGACTTTGCCGACTGATAACTCTGACTTTGCCGACTGATAACTCTGACTTTGCCGACTGATAACTCTGACTTTGCCGACTGATAACTCTGACTTTGCCGACTGATAACTCTGACTTTGCCGACTGATAACTCTGACTTAGCCGACTGATAACTCTGACTAAGTCTACTGATAACTCTGACTTAGCCGACTGATAACTCTGACTTAGCCGACTGATAACTCTGACTTAGCCGACTGATAACTCTGATTTAGCCGACTGATAACTCTGACTAAGTCTACTGATAACTCTGACTTTGCTGACTGATAACTCTGACTAAGTCTACTGATAACTCTGATTTAGCCGACTGATAACTCTGACTTAGCCGACTGATAACTCTGACTTAGCCGACTGATAACTCTGACTTGGCCGACTGTGGCCGACTGATAACTCTGACTTAGCCGACTGATAACTCTGACTTGGCCGACTGATAACTCTGACTTTGCCGACTGATAACTCTGACTTAGCCGACTGATAACTCTGACTTAGCCGACTGATAACTCTGACTTAGCCGACTGATAACTCTGACTTAGCCGACTGATAACTCTGACTTTGCCGACTGATAACTCTGACTTTGCCGACTGATAACTCTGACTTTGCCGACTGATAACTCTGACTTTGCCGACTGATAACTCTGACTTAGCCGACTGATAACTCTGACTTGGCCGACTGATAACTCTGATTTAGCCGACTGATAACTCTGACTTAGCCGACTGATAACTCTGACTTTGCCGACTGATAACTCTGACTTAGCCGACTGATAACTCTGACTTTGCCGACTGATAACTCTGACTTAGCCGACTGATAACTCTGACTTAGCCGACTGATATCTCTGACTTAGCCGACTGATAACTCTGACTTTGCCGACTGATAACTCTGACTTAGCCGACTGATAACTCTGACTTTGCCGACTGATAACTCTGACTTTGCCGACTGATAACTCTGACTTAGCCGACTGATATCTCTGACTTAGCCGACTGATAACTCTGACTTTGCCGACTGATATCTCTGACTTTGCCGACTGATAACTCTGACTTAGCCGACTGATAACTCTGACTTTGCCGACTGATAACTCTGACTTAGCCGACTGATATCTCTGACTAGGTCTACTGATAACTCTGACTTTGCCGACTGATAACTCTGACTTTGCCGACTGATAACTCTGACCATGTGACAGACTTACCTGAGTATATTGAGTATAATGATTCCCTCCACTGGAGGCAGCTCCACTGGCTTACCATCCACCTCCAGTCTCATATGACGATGTAGATCTTTACAAGCCTTTCTGTTAACCATCTTCCGTAAACCAATTTTCAAATACATTCCCTTATTATGTAATCTGCAAAACATTGAGGTCATGAATGAAATAAGCAATAACTATATAATGTGTTTATTAGTATGTAGAAATAAGGCCACATGCTACTGTAAATGCTTATTTCTAGGATCATGAATGGATCACTTTAGGAGTTGTCTACCCTTGATCCAAGATCACAATGCTAATACTGTACATTGTTTCCCTGTAGAAACTTGCAGGGCAATACCTTATGTGAAGTCCAACATTAGATTAAGTCTGCAATGTATCATTATTTTTTCACGAATATCTCTTCGGCTTGTTTTACAAGATGATATTCCAATTTTCAAAAGACATGTGTAGAGAAAAAAAAGTTCCCTTACTTAATCCATCACTACTTTGACTTAAGGCTATATGCTACATTAGATGTTGCTTCCCTACATCAGCTTCAGGCTGCAAGCAACCTCATTGATTCTTATCAGAAAATGAATACATGATATTCAGATGTGATATTACTTTATGTGTACCATTATCTAAATCCAAATAAAAGTAATTTAGATTTTTAATTCAATTTTTTTCTTCAGTAGCTGTTATGAATAAAGGAACAAAATATATCATGTGTTACCTGCTATTGAATTTGTCTGGTTTCTCTTCGCGTGCAATGTGGAAGTCAAGACAGAGGTCCGCATCAATCCCGATACCAAAGTAATTGTTCATCACAAAGATGGTTGTCGTGTCTTCATTTGTGTTTGCAGAGTTGGTATCATTAGCTATAGCCACTCTCGTGTCATTCTGCTCTTTCTCATTCGGGTGAAAAATCACTGTCCATCTGCAACCGAATGTCAAAAATCAGTGATCTATACAACTAACAATGGCAGCAATAACATGTAACAAACATCCCAAGAGCTATCACTAAAGTTATCATAACTATTAACCTGTGAATATACTGAAAAATATTAGGGTATTTTGTTGGCATATTTACTAATTACTAATTAAGCATAAAAGCATGGAAAAGAAGGTGATTTATCTGTCAATCATGCGTTTTCCTATTGATTCAGACTAGCTGTCATCAGGACATTGGCAAACACTCTTGTAATTTTTATGTATTCAACCTTAGATGTATGATGTTAGTGTTGTAATTTCTGAACAAAATACTTTATGATATTCATTTGCTTTCTTTACAATTCATTTGCGCCTATAACGTTTATGTATCAGTTTTAAATTTAATTACCGTAACACGTGAAGACCACTTTAATGCTTCATGTCAGTATTGATCAGTAATATACATAAACTGTGTGACACGAAGGCACGAATGTAAAACACATAAGCACGCAGTGTTGATTTCTCTTTGATTTCAATTTCTTCAACTTTTTAAAAAAAATTTCATGAATGAAAATATTATGCTTTAAGATGAAAATGTATCTTTTCATTTAAACTTGTGTTTGGTATTTGTTGTGTTTATTCAGGTAGAAATATCATGTCATCAACTTTACGTGAACATGAACATGAAAATGTCAATGTAACCCACCACGAATGATTCAAAGTCTCCATGTATCAAAGTTTTTATGGTAGTCCCTTGTACTTCGAAACATCGAAGTTTGACAGCTTGAATTTATATAGGACAGTTTCCTCCATTTCATTAATTATTTATAAACCATGGTAATGCTTTGTTTACATAAAATATCTACATAAAAATAATGAAAACCAGTGGTACCAAGAGGCCCAACAGACCTGTAAAATTCAAACAGAAACTGAAATGATATGACATGATACAGAGGCAATGATTGACCACTGGTCAGAGGATGTGCTTACCTGTCAAGCTTAATCTCCTCAGCATCGATAACATCCCTGAGGAGGTTAAGTGGGTCCTCGCCCCCTGTATAACCTGGCCCCCATCGCAGCACACGGGCTAGATCATTGCCTGTAAATTAGTTTTCATAATAAAAAATACATATACAGTACTTATTACAAGTTTTTATCATATCAGTCACTTTTTTTTTATAGATTTTGTGATATGTAGTTGTAGATATGATCGATAACATTCCTTTACTTCCAGACTTTATATACCTGTTTTAAGACAACAGTCACTTTTTTTATATAGATTTTGTGATATGTCGTTGTAGATATGATCGATAACATTCCTTTACTTCCAGACTTTATATACCTGTTTTAAGACAACAGTCACTTTTTTTATATAGATTTTGTGATATGTCGTTGTAGATGTGATTGATAACATTCCTTTACTTCCAGACTTTATATACCTGTTTTAAGACAGCAGTCACTTTTTTTTTATATAGATTTTGTGATATGTCGTTGTAGATGTGATTGATAACATTCCTTTACTTCCAGACTTTATATACCTGTTTTAAGACAGCAGTCACTTTTTTTATATAGATTTTGTGATATGTCGTTGTAGATGTGATCGATAACATTCCTTTACTTCCAGACTTTATATACCTGTTTTAAGACAGCAGTCACTTTTTTTTTAATATAGATTTTGTGATATGTCGTTGTAGATGTGATTGACAACATTCCTTTACTTCCAGACTTTATATACCTGTTTTTAGACAGCATTTCATCCTTTTACCAATATAAGACGGGGCTATGATATTGAAACTATATAAGACATGACAATATCATTGTACCTAGATTAGGGCTGACTATTAAGGCCAAAAAAAGCTATCACGATAGTAATGTGATAGTTAAATTACTATAGCCTTATTCAAGTGATGATTTGGATACTGTCAGGATAGTTTTTTTTAGAATAAGTTTTTTCTAACCCTAAAATAAAGGTCAATAGCCAATAAACTATATCAGAATGCTCCATTTAGCAAATATTACCGGTGAGAAAAGTTCTTTACAATTCTAATACAATCAACAAATATTACAGGTGAGAAAAGTTCTTTACAATTCTAATACAATCAACAAATATTACAGGTGAGAAAAGTTCTTTACAATTCTAATACAATCAAGTATGTGATATTTGTTAAATTCTGTTACATTTTCATACCTTCCACTTTGTTGTTTATCAAATTTGCTCATTTCAAGGACTGGTCTAAAGCATGAACCCTAAATTAAAGAGGTCACCACCTTTGTTACTATACTCTGTAGTCTTAATTCAGATTATATTGTACACAAGAAAGATAAAACACTTATTCAAGATATAAACTCTCATCAAAGTAAGAACTTGTTCTTAAAATTCTGCTTCCACTCTAAGAAGGTGATTGTGCTGTTCGTATTTAGTGCAACCCTAATCAAGGTTCCAAAGAGGCTTTCAGTCGATTAGTTACATCTCGGTCAAAAAAAAGCATTTTCGTTTATTTAAAAAAAAAAAAAAAAAAAAAATTGTGACAATCATCGACTTGAAAATATGCAATCAACCTATTGCTATCCAGAGTGTAAAGCTATCACAATTCATGGAACAGTTGACCTATTGTTACACCACTACCGAAGGTAAGACAAGTCTATACCACTGTACCTAAATAAGATAGGGTTTTATCACTGTACTTTTATATATGTGTTCTACATGCATCAAATGTGGAACATCCATGTAGGATAATGGATATTCTACCCTGGGATATAGAACATCCATATCCCATATACCTATATATGGTTGTCTCCTTTAATATCCCTGTGCCTGGATAGAACTATTTTAGAACACTATCCCTGTAACTAGATAAGATATGACTATATCCCTGTAACTAGGTAAGATATGACTATATACCTGTAACTATATAAGGTAGGACTAAAACCCTGTAACTAGATAAGATATGAATATGTCCCTGTAACTAGATAAGATAGGACTACCGTAAATATTCGCATATAGTGCGCACTTTTTTAAGCTGAAACTGTCGTGTCAAAAAGGGAGTGCGCACTATACGCAGGTACATGCCATTCCGGGGGTTATCATTCCCGAGTTCTGCATCCGCCATATTGGATTACCTCCCTTCACATAGTTATATGTAAAAGTCGTCGGTCTTATATGATAGTTTGGAGATAAAAACAACAAAAAAATAAAATGTTTTAATCATCTGCCATTCAAGCTAGCATTACGGTGAATCTAATTTTTTTTCGTTTCCCGTCATTTTGATGATGTATCTGTGGAATTCAATGAATCCGGAAGTTTTTAGGCGATTGTCGTTCTGTTCATAAATCGGACAGCCCATCCCACCGATGCCCAAAGTTGGTGACCCCATGACCTCTCTTGATCTGCATGGCCCGCACGCGCAGTTCTGTTGTACTAGCAGCGATGCCAGGATATCGGCGATCGCATACAAAGTTGAACAGCGCTCTCTCTCCATCTCTGGGTGTTTCGCTGTCGCACCTATGTCAGCCCTTCTGGTCAGTGGTTGGGACTTTAAACGGTCTTTTCTTTCTTCCGTGCCTTGATATTTCACTCTGGAATGTCGAAGTGGCAACCGGCGGCACGAAACTCCAGTCTCTCGGCGTAGTCAAATGGCGTTCGCAGTTTCCCCATGTCGAAGTCGGTGTAAACAATCTATCATTAAATACCTTCGGATACCGCGGTGGGCACAGATACCATGAAAGATCATGCCTATACTGAACAAACCACCTGCTTTTATGGGGACAAGGTAGGATTGAAAATGTTCAGACAGTTAAAACAACATCGTTTTCTGACCAATAGTACGCGTTCAGCCCAAGCCGGGTGTCATCAGTCTCCTCATACTCAACGTGTTAACTGTCATTAACCGTTAATTATACAATCAGCCAAGCCTTTCATGCTTGTTAGGTCACCGGGGTAAATTTGTTTACTTAAGGTAATTACAGGTGTTAGGGTCACGCTCATTGTGGTTTCCTAATTATCAATGGATCAGACCACATCAAATGTTTCGTCGCAGTGACCAGTCAATTAATTTTTCTGTAGATTTTTTTTTTTTTAAATCTGAAAATCAAAAATCAAAAAGTACCTGCGCACTATACACGAGTGCGCACTATATGCGAATATTTACGGTATATACCTGTAACTAGATAAGGTATGAATATGTCCCTGTAACTAGATAAGATAGGACTATATACTTGTAACTAGATAAGATATGAATATGTCCCTGTAATTAGATAAGATAGGACTATATCCCTGTAACTTGATAAGATAGGAACATGTCCCTGTAACTAGATAAGATAGGACTATGTCCCTGTAACTAGATAAGATAGGACTATGTCCCTGTAACTAGATAAGATAGGACTATGTCCCTGTAACTAGATAAGATAGGACTATATCCCTGTAACTAGATAAGATAGGACTATATACCTGTAACTAGATAAGATAGGACTATGTCCCTGTAACTAGATAAGATAGGACTATGTCCCTGTAACTAGATAAGATAGGACTATGTCCCTGTAACTAGATAAGATAGGACTATGTCCCTGTAACTAGATAAGATAGGACTATATACCTGTAACTAGATAAGATAGGACTATATACCTGTAACTAGATAAGATAGGACTATGTCCCTGTAACTAGATAAGATAGAACTATATACCTGTAACTAGATAAGATAGGACTATGTCCCTGTAACTAGATAAGATAGGAATATGTCCCTGTAAGTAGATAAGATAAGACTTTATTTCCGATGTCTTGGTAGAATGTGACTCTATCAATCTGTCTTTGCCTAGATAGATTTGGACTAAATCCCTATGATGTGATATGATAGAACTGTATCCCAGTACCTAGATAGTGAATTCCTATAACTTGATATGACAGGACTTTTTCTAAATAAGATACTTACCTGTGCCCAAGGGTACAATGGCCAAGGGTGGTGACTGACACACAGCATCCTGTCCCACATTATCCAGACAAGACAGGGCCCAGCCCACTGTACCGTCACCTCCACAGGCCAGGATTTTGTAGTAAGGTATATTACGGAATACATACAGCCTGCAAAACACATATCGACACTGGATTAAGTAATGAATATATCTGTTTGTCTAACACAAATTTCGCTAAAAATAAAAAAAAAATATCAATCTATTAATACTCATATAGTAAAAGTTAACTTATCTAAGAAATAATCCAAACAAAATTGTGCATGCCTCCATTTACGATCTTTGCTGAACTGAAATAGGAAAATCTTTAAAGCTTTCTGTGTGAGGTATTTACTACAACTACATATATGCTCTATTCAGACTACACAACAAGTCCTCAAAAGACTATACATTTGCATTCAACCTGACATCATGAAAAGTGCGCAGCATGTGCAACATTGACATTGTCTGTAAATGTATCTACTACATCTGTACAGTGGATTTTGCAGATTGGTCACATGATGTGACAGTCTTCTAAACTTTGTATAACATCGGTATGTACCTGTATGTTATTGTCAGTATCTACCTGTATGTTATACTTGTATGTTATACCTGTATGTTAAAGTCAGTATCTACCTGTATGTTATACCTGTATGTTATTGTCAGTTTCTACCTGTATGTTATACCTGTATGTTAAAGTCAGTATTTACCTGTATGTTATACCAGTATGTTAAAGTCAGTATCTACCTGTATGTTATACCTGTATGTTATAATCAGCATATACCTGTATGTTGTAGTTGTATGTTATACCTGTATGTTGTAGTTGTATGTTATACCTGTATGTTGTAGTTGTATGTTATACCTGTATGTTGTAGTTGTATGTTATACCTGTATGTTGTAGCTGTATGCTATACCTGTATGTTGTAGTTGTATGTTATACCTGTATGTTGTAGTTGTATGTTATACCTGTATGTTATAATCAGCATATACCTGTATGTTGTAGCTGTATGTTATACCTGTATGTAGTAGTTGTATGTTAGTATGTGTAACTATTAGCCATCTACTTACCCAGGTAATGGACCACCAGTCTCCAGATTAAAAACTTGGTGAGGATTTAAAAGTTTGCGAAAGGAAGTAATGAGTTCTAGGCCCTGACAACCACCACTCTTTACATTAACGAAGACGAGCAGAGGGTTGAAGTTCTCCGGGATCATGTGTGACTGAAACAAAATATATACTAGAATGTCATACCTCCTATCTTGGGGGGACATTTTTGTTCATTTCGTAGGTACTCTTAAGCTGTAAATTCTTCGTTCCACAAATCAGTTAAAAAAATGAATTTTTACTGTCAGATGTTTACACGGCTAATGCTGTGCCCTATGAAAATTTTGCAGCATAAACCATACAATGCCTACAGCTTTCATGTGCTTGTTTTATGAAAATTCAAGTTAAAACCTAGATTTGATCATGAGATCCTGAAGTCCTAATTCTAACACAGTGCTCTAACATTTATCATTACACAGAGTAACTTTGATACACTCTATAGGGTAGTATTATTGAGTTTGTTTAAATAAGTCTAATTACATTTTTTAAAATTCAAAACACTTCGTAAAGAGGTATTTATACAAATTACATACAAATTTGTAATATAGGGTAGTATTATTGAGTTTGTTTAAATAAGTTTAATTACATTTTTTAAAAATTTAAAACACTTCTGAAAGAGGTATTTATACAAATTACATACAAATTTGTAATATAGGGTAGTATTATTGAGTTTGTTTAAATAAGTTTAATTACATTTTTTAAAATTCAAAACACTCCTGAAAGAGGTATTTATACAAATTACATACAAATTTGTAATATAGGGTAGTATTATTGAGTTTGTTTAAATAAGTTTAATTACATTTTTTAAAATTCAAAACACTTCTGAAAGAGGTATTTATACAAATTACATACAAATTTAACACTTCAGAGTTTAGATAATCATTCTTTTGACATGTTGTTATTTTCTTTGTTGTTATTTTCATTGTTGTTATTTTCTTTGTTGTTATTTTCTTTGTTGTTCATGATCCCTTGATTTGACAAAGGACTCCATGGATCACTAAATTTCATGAATTATAAGAGTCATTGCAACAACCTTTCATTTTCCGTACCTTAAAAAATGAGTCAGAAAAAACAATCATCATTTACAATGATAAAGCATCAAGCACTATATAATAAAGCTAGGATTGAACTTGTGATGTTTAAAGAGCTGTTGATATATATCTACCTGAATGTTAGGAAGTAGTAACACAAGAAGTGGCTTTTCATCAAATACAGAATCCTGTAGAATATTAAACACGCGTGAAGCCTTTTCTGAGTTGGTGTACACCAGGACCAGAGCTCCATACTCATAGTAAATCACATCAAACTGGTTCCATTTATTTCCTGTAAAAACAAGTAAAATGCATAACGTCTTCTTTCTATTTCATTCCTATTTTTATTTTCTTCTTTGTAACCCTGATTCATTTGATAAAATGTCTTACAGAAGCAGATCAGTTAAGATATCAGTTTTTACCAATGGATTTTCAAGAAAGTCACCACATAGGAGTTTCTACCAGTAATTTTTAGAATTTCTACCAGTAAAACTTTTCAAAATCTTGTATGTTCAGCATGTCCTAAGCGCTTTTTCTTATTACATATATGAACAATACAATTAAAAGTATGTTTTTATATTCCTGACAAGTCAAAGGGTATTAACCATCACATGAGTTCTGTATCAACTAATATGGTAACTTTTGATGTCCTGACATTAACCCTCACATGAGTTCTGTATGGGTACTTTTGATGTCCTGACATTAACCATCACATGAGTTCTGTATGGTAACTTTTGATGTCCTGGCATTAACCATCACACGAGTTCTGTATGGTAACTTTTGATGTCCTGACATTAACCATCACATGAGTTCTGTATGGGTACTTTTGATGTCCTGGCATTAAATGTCACCAGAGTTTTTTTATTAACTAATATGTTAACTTTTGATGCTGACATTAAATGTCACCCGAGTCCTATATCTACTAATATACTTACTTTTGATGTCCTGACATTAAATGTCACCGAGTTTTTTATTAACTAATATGTTAACTTTTGATGCTGTGACATTAAATGTCACCCGAGTCCTATATCTACTAATATACTTACTTTTGATGTCCTGACATTAACTGTCACCAAGTTTTTTATTAACTAATATGTTAACTTTTGATGCTGTGACATTAAATGTCACCCATGTCCTATATCTATTAATATACTTACTTTTGATGTCCTGACATTATTACATCAATTTTGATAAATATTTCATACAGAATAATCTTTTTGCCAAACTAAAAGAGTTTTTTATTATTATTGAGACATGACATCCTTTTATTATCAAATTGTGATGTCATAATTGGTCGAAGAATAATTAGTCCTAATTAAAACTACAAAATATTTAGGTGATATGTAGGCTTAAACAGAATCTGGTAAGGTGAGGAATGGATATTTTGATAATATAGAACAAGTATGGATCAAAATTATAGAGAGGTTCTTGACACAGATTTGGAACAAGACGGTTACGTACGAGGACACTATTTACACTTTACAACCTCATCCCCTGACTAATTATTTCAAACAGTGACAATAAACGTAAAATGGACTCAACACTTACCCTTCCCCACTATGTCCAGTAGGATCTTCTCATACTGACGCTGTGACAGTCCAGTTGGAAGGTTCCCCACAAACATGGATATGGCAGGTCCGTGAGGGTCTTCTCTCTGTTGTAGATAGAATCGCGTCATACGGTTCTGTCTCAGCGAATCCTAAAACCACAAAAAAGTGTCATGTAAACAACCAGATAAATCAGACATAGATATAAGCTGGAGAATCTATTAAAGTCAATATCATATGTCCGCCTCAGCCAAATCACATTTATGAATAATGACAAAGAAAAATGGAGCAAAGCCTCAATTGGCCGGGTTGCGGGATGAGTGCAATGTTATATGGTATTTATAAGACAGTTAAAGGTGTTTTATTTGTTGAGTATGTAGAATATTCGTTATAAGAGAGAAATTTTGGTTGTTTTTATGAATCGGTGCAGAAGAAGGGCATTTGACGAAAGAAATGGCAGCCATTTTTGATTCGGTGATGTTCAAAAAGTAGACAATGGACATCTAGGGCCCCAAGGTGATTTAAATGTGGAATTTCGGAAAGATTCTTAAAGCAGTTTCTGAGAAACTGTGATAACAAGAAAAGTTTCAGAAAATGACTAAGTTCCATAGCCCAGAAAATCCAGAAAAATGTCCGGAATGAATCCATAATATGAGGTGCACATCTTCAACATATATATATAAACATCCTACAAAGTTTCAAGCTTCTATGTCAAAAACTCCAGGAGTTAATTCTACAAAACTGGTATTCCCCACCCGCCTGCCCGACATTCACCATACTATAACCCGGATCTAAACTATGTGCAACCTGGCCAACAAGAAAATTTGTGTTTACATAAGTTAAAATTCAAGATACAAAATGATGTTTAACTACTTGAAATAGTATACAACAGCTTTCCTGTGAAAATTTTAAAAATGCAATAACCAACATCAATTTTGTAATTGTCACAAAAAATAAAATTGGCCTGCATAACAAACAAGCTAGGACAAAAATATACTTTACCAAAACATTTCTCTGGAAGGATTCAAAGAGGAAACTCACCTTTTCACGTTCTTGTTTAAGTTGCCATGGTTTTTCTACACTCACCTTCCTACTTTGTTGTTTAAGTTGCCATGGTTTTTCTACACTTACCTTCCTACTTTGTTGTATAAGTTGCCATGGTTTTTCTGATTTTTCCAAGTGTTTCTCAGAGACTCCTTTGTCCAAGAGAACTTCAATCAGACTGAAATTTTCTGGATAGGCATCCTATAAACATCAAAACAACAATCATTATTACAGCACATTCATTTCAACAACCAATATAGCAATAACTAGATAAAGCAGAATAGGGAAACCTACAAGATCACTCACTATGCTACCCTTCGTCTCCAAAACCTAATCTTGGAAAACATCAACTTTAACATACATCTCAGGAAAATTCTTGACACAATCCTTAACTAACTATGCAATATTCCACTATGACCAAATGCAGTGTCAAGTGATAAGTGTCACCACAATCAATACCTATAATTAAGTCTTTTGTTTGGTGATTCATAAAATATCGGGGGCTATACTGATACTGTTGTGAAATGGTGACACTACCAAAACATTCAACTTGTATTATGCTCAAAATCATGCTTACTGAACCTTCAATAAATCTGGACAAACTCAAAAGATGTAGAAAAATATGTAAATCATTGAGAACTAAACATTCAGACTTTACAGGTAATTCTTAAGATATAAACTAATCCACTTTTCATGTAAATTATTCTAACACTTCAAAGAATATTCCTGAAAGCAGAGACATCATTTTCATACATACATGAAGTCCAAATTTTCTGAGAGCAATTTTGATAACTTCTTCTGCTGTGGTGTCTTTTGTCACTTCTACAATCTTGTACGGAGCAGACACCCTGGAAAAGAAAATCAATTAAATGATGTGGTGTCTTTTCATACTTAAACAATCTTGTACAGAGCAGACAACCTGGAACAGAAAATCATTTTGATAGACATGACATGACATCATTTTGATAAACCAGACATGTCATCATTTTGAGAGACAAGACATGCATAATTTTGATAGAACAGACATGTCATCATTTTGATAGACTAGACATGGCATCATTTGATATTTTGATTAACTAGATGTCATCGTTTTGACAAAAGAGTCATGTCATCTTTAAAGAAAAAGACATGTTATCATTAACATAAATTAGACATAATTTATATAGACATACATGTCTATAGACATAAAATGTCATCAATTACATAGAACAATCAGAGTCTATGAAGCATTCCACTGAATAAATTCTGAAACAGATATTCATAGAACTGACAAAACTCTCAAAATGACCCATCTTTTAGAATCTGAAACTATTTCCCCAATATAATGGTATCTATCGTGACAGCATTCTGCTACACTAACTTAACTCACCTCAGGCCACCTGGATAGATCTTCAGATGCCCTTTTTCTGGGTCTCTATCCTTGTATCTCAGGAAGATAGACGGGCGTTTGCCATCTGGTGTCTTGAGTTGTTGCCTGATAGGACTATTTTCCTCCAGTTCTCGCTCACCTGAAACATGCAGGGCTGCTCACCATTAGAATACAAACTCCTACAAAACTATTAGCATACATACTCCTACAAAACCATTAGAATACAAACTCCTACAAAACCATTAGAATACATACTCCTACAAAACCATTAGAACACAAACTCCAACAAAACCATTAGAATACAAACTCCTACAAAACCATTAGAACACAAACTCCTACAAAACCATTAGAACACAAACTCCTACAAAACCATTAGAACACAAACTCCTACAAAACCATTAGAACACAAACTCCTACAAAACCATTAGAATACAAACTCCTACAAAACCATTAGAATACAAACTCCAACAAAACCATTAGAATACAAACTCCTACAAAACTGTTGGAATACAAACTCCAACAAAACCGTTAGAATACAAACTCCAACAAAACCATTAGAACACAAACTCCTACAAAACCATTAGAATACAAACTCTAACTCCAACAAAACCATTAGAACACAAACTCCTACAAAACCGTTAGAACACAAACTCCTACAAAACCGTTAGAACACAAACTCCTACAAAACTGTTGGAATACAAACTCCAACAAAACCATTAGAATACAAACTCCTACAAAACCATTAGAATACAAACTCCTACAAAACCATTAGAATACAAACTCCTACAAAACTGTTGGAATACAAACTCCAACAAAACCGTTAGAATACAAACTCCTACAAAACTGTTGGAATACAAACTCCTAAAAAACCATTAGAATAGAAACTCCTACAAAATCGTTAGAATACAAACTCCTAAAAAACCATTAGAATAGAAACTCCTACAAAACCATCAGAATACATAATCCTACTCTCCCTCTCTATACTACTTATTTATCCATCCCAATTTTATGGCTATTTAAAAATGCCCGATATTTCAATAAATCTACTTGCACTTATTTTAGAAGTTTGTGGACAGAAATTTGTGGAGTAATAAAATCAGTGAAAATAAATCACTCACAAAAACTAATCACAGAGTTACTAAACTCTGATGAAGATCTTTGGTTCGTTAGAGAGTAACTAAAGTCTGATGATGAAGATCTTGGGTTCCTTACATAATTACTAAAGTCTGATGAAGATCTTGGGTTCCTTACAAAATTACTAAACTCTGATGATGTAGATCTTGGGATCCTTACATAATTACTAAACTCTGATGATGTAGATCTTGGGTTCCTTACATAATTACTAAAGTCTGATGATGTAGATCTTGGGTTCCTTACATAATTACTAAAGTCTGATGATGTAGATCTTGGGTTCCTTACATTATTACTAAAGTCTGATGATGAAGATCTTGGGTTCCTTACATAATTACTAAAGTCTGATGATGAAGATCTTGGGTTCCTTACATAATTACTAAAGTCTGATGATGAAGATCTTGGGTTCCTTACATTATTACTAAAGTCTGATGATGTAGATCTTGGGTTCCTTACATAATTACTAAAGTCTGATGATGAAGATCTTGGGATCCTTACATAATTACTAAAGTCTGATGAAGATCTTGGGATCCTTACATAATTACTAAAGTCTGATGATGAAGATCTTGGGTTCCTTACATAATTACTAAAGTCTGATGATGAAGATCTTGGGTTCCTTACATAATTACTAAAGTCTGATGAAGATCTTGGGTTCCTTACATTATTACTAAAGTCTGATGATGTAGATCTTGGGTTCCTTACATTATTACTAAAGTCTGATGATGTAGATCTTGGGTTCCTTACATAATTACTAAAGTCTGATGATGAAGATCTTGGGATCCTTACATAATTACTAAAGTCTGATGAAGATCTTGGGTTCCTTACATAATTACTAAACTCTGATGAAGATCTTGGGTTCCTTACATTATTACTAAAGTCTGATGATGAAGATCTTGGGTTCCTTACATAATTACTAAAGTCTGATGATGAAGATCTTGGGATAATCACATATAAGAGTACTTACCAAACTCAGAAGCTTCTGACACATAGTAATTCTTGGGATCATCAGATATGTGGAATGTTTTGAGGGCAGCTTCCAGGATGGCCTGAGCTGGGGCATTCTTTGCGACAGATATTGTGCGGTACATCCTTTTCCTCATGGAGGAATTCCCATCAAACACTCGAATGATCTCAGCTGAAATCAAAATGGTCAGGTCAACTTCTTGATAAGAAAGGCAACATTTTAGGGTCTTTCATAAAATCTTCTCCATACATTTATCATCTAGTTGGAGGTTTTCATCCATTCAACCGCTAAAAATAACAAAAGCAACTGGCTGTATTTGACAAGTTTTCAGTACTGCTACACAAGTGAGTTTGACACCAACCTTTTCCTACCTTTAACATTTCATTGTTATGTATTTGATAGGCAGTTCAGTGGCACAGTGGTAACACACTTATATAGAAATCAAGAGATCTTTATTGCATACCCTTAAAAGGTATGTGAGGTCACCTTTCCCACTTTGGGTTTTCCCCCCCAATCAGGACCAACATGACTGATTTATAAATCTAAATATCTTGTTTTGAATTTGTTGTGAAATGAGACAATTCAGTGAATTACAATACCCCGTGAAATTATATGCAAAACAAACTGTTTTTTTTTCAAGATGAAGTTCAGAGTGACCTACTTTTGACACACCACCTTACAAAAGTGAACTATACCCAAAAAATGAAATTCCAGTGACAAGTAGTGTAGGATTTAGAGCTTAGACAAATCTTTTCACTGATATAGGTCAAAGGTCAAAATGCAAGTCAGAGTGACCTACTTTTGATTCATAACAAACCACCACCATACCAAAGTAAACCCATACCCCAAAAATAAAGTTACAGAGACAAGAAGTGTAGGATAAAGAGCTAGGACAATCATTTTCAGACGAATGTTTTCTCTGATATAGGTAAAACATCAAAATGTAGGTCATGGTAACCTAGTTTTAATACTCAACACACTAAATTACTAAGGTGAAACCATATTCCAAGTATGACCTACTTTTGATACACAACACACTAAATTACCAAGGTGAAACCATATTCCAAGTATAACCTACTTTTGATACACAACACACTTAATTACCAAGGTGAAACCATATTCCAAGTATGACCTACTTTTGATACACAACACACTAAATTACCAAGGTGAAACCATATTCCAAGTATGACCTACTTTTGATACACAACACACTAAATTACCAAGGTGAAACCATATTCCAAGTATGACCTACTTTTGATACACAACACACTAAATTACCAAGGTGACCCCTTATTCCAAGTATAACCTACTTTTGATACACAACACACTAAATCACCAAGGTGAGCCCTTATTCCAAGTAAAAGAGTTCCACCACTAGACAAGTACTGTAGGAGATAGAGCTTGGATATGATAGCAGAAGTATCATCAATCACAACTGTGAACCGATATCTACGCATGATGACAGCTATCTGGACAATTTCATTTAAAGGTGCAAAAGCATTAGGACTGTCCCTGTACCCAAATACATCAGATAACTTACATTCTGGGTCCCTCTCTTTATCCCTACTCTCCTTTTCTCGTGGGGAGCGACGTTCTTTCTCTTCATCATCATTCTTTGATTCGCCACTGGATGGCCATTCCTCAGAAACAGTTCTCACTGAAAACAGCCAGCATCAATAACCATCAAAATAGATATCACTAATACATTTCAACATTGTTTGCGTAATAATAACTTCGCTTAATTTACTTTGAAACTGTAAAATGCAGAAATCTCATTCTGGTTACACCATAGCTACTTCTTTTCACAGCTTTAACCTCCTAAGAGTATATTTTTCCTACAACTGCACTGAGATTGTTAGAATACAGCTATCGTATATATTTTTGCTGTATTCGGCAGTGACAGAAACAGCTGTGCTTCAAACTCTGCATTAATTTGACAGAATTTATTGGATTAACTTAACCATTTCATTAAAAAATATAAATCACTGTTTGAATAAATAAGTGATATCTTTTATTGTAACAAACCAGTTCATTTATCAAAATTCATAAAATGGCTTTTTATATTCATTGAAGTTTGACCCTTTGTTTTACACAGACTAGTTATTTTTAAGCATGTCATCGGGCACAATTCAGAGTTATGTGAATGTCTGGTAAACAAAAACAGAATAGACCTAATCAACTGTTAAAGTTTCCACTCTGAGTTTGTAAGAAGTTTTGCAGAATACACAGAATACATGGTAAGTGTCTTAAAATACAAGCTGCATTTTGGTTTAGGACAGAAAGACAAAATGGCTGACTTTTCCAGTTTTTCTTCACTCTTGCCAAAATTCAGCTTTTATTTTAAGACAATCATGTATTCTCTATGTAGCTTATGCATACCTCACAGAACATGATATTGGAGGCCCGTCACATATGAAGTAAAGTATTTGTATTTATATAGCAAATAGGAGTACAGTATGGCAAAATATTATATGCCCGTCCCACACCAAAGAAATGTATGGAAATGGTAATAATAAGTCTACATGTTTAAAGGGCAGATGAGAAATGGATTGCAAAACAGAAAAACACAGTGAATTACTGTCCAAAAATTACAGTGATGGAACTTGTCTGAGGTATGAATCTTTCAATGAAGCTAATCTGTTGTTAACTACTTGCAATATCATACAGACATTGTTTTTGTGATAAAAAGAATGGCTATAACTCCTTAAATTTTTGTCTGAAAATTGGTATTCATTGAATGGGTGGGAGCTTTCATAGTGATGAAGTTTCCTATAAAGTGTAAGTTGATCTGTTGATAACTACTCGTGATTTTGAGCAGACATCTTTTTTGTAATTGAATTTGGGGCCGTAACTCCATGAAATACAGTACGAAAATAACAGTGATTGAATTTGTATGAGCTATCAAGCTATTTAACCTTTCTATGAACACTGAAGTTGATTCATTGAAAACTACTTGTGATATTGAGCAGACATTTTTTTGGTAATTGAATAAAGGGCTATAACTCTGTGAATTCCAAGTTGTCATGGCAATGAACATCACTTTTGTTTGAAGTTTGAAGTTGATCCATTGTAAATTACTCAAGTTATCAAAGGGACGCTAAATGTGCCTTCCTGCAAGCCTGCCTGCCAGACTATCGACATGATAACGTAATATGACTTTTGTTTTGATATGCATTTAAAAACCCAAGGCCTGATAATAGGCCAACAAATAATTAATGTTGTTGTGCTTGTCTACTTACTAATGACATTTCATTGTTGTGTAATATACCCAACTCACGTGACTCTGAGGGAATCTGTATGTAGGATATACATGGTAAGAGAACAAGTTTTCAAGTTGCAAGTGTATGTTTTCCTCAAATGTTCAAATAAAATTTTCATAAAACCCAAACAACTTTTTATAAAAATGAATTAAGAAATACAAAGTAAAACATTTTGGTTGAAAAACGACATTGCAGTATCAAGATTGATTGGACATAAAAATTCTAAAATTCTGAAAACAGAAATTGAATTGAAAAAAAAACATCAAAGAATGATTACAAATCAGAGGTAACACTACACAACTCCAACGGGCCTTCCTCTGGTCATCATGGCAACCAAATGACAACCATTTCTTTTTACTCCAGTTTTCAACTTCATCAGATAATATCTTAATTTTGACGGATCAACAACCTCCAATGTATTTCCATGGTTTCACTTTTCAAATTTCTGCTTCACATAGTTCCTAACATCCCTGTGTAGTTTCATTGAAATCAGTCCACAACATGCGAAGTAGTCTGGAAAAGATATGTCTAATCATGGGCCTTATGTGGTTACCATAGCAACCAAATGACATCAAATGATTTTGGAAATGGTACCTTTCTGAATGCCTCCCCCAAAAACTCTTTTCAATTTTCAGCACAACAGTTTCAATAAAATTGATCAAAGGATTGATATGTCAAGGCCGTTACATAAAAACCTGTTTATAGTGACCTGGTTATGGCAACCAAAACTTCTACAAAAAAAAAAAAAAAAAAACTGCATGCACATAAAATAAAAGCATTTAACTCTATGTGTTAAAACCTACCTGGAACAGCTGATCCACAGGTGGCACAAAGAAAGAAACATACACATCATTTATCGTATCTAACTTCACAAATTCCCCAAAATATGCACTCTTACATAAATACCTGAGATCTATGTAATATTAATCTCCCTCGTTCAAAGTATCTGACAGTTACCTCCCTTGATAATTTGATAAATATTTAATTACATCAGTTATGTCCCTTCGCTTAATGATTGATATTCATCCCACCATGATTTTTACAATTTGTGGATGTGTTGAGGTTTATCAGTTACCTCCCTTCATCTAACCATATCTATCATATGGTGTTTAGTATTATACTTTTCTCTATCAATGTATACTCACAATCACCCTTCTTGTTAAAGCCAAGAATAGTCTCCATGCTGATGTCCATTCTAGGAATGGTCAGACAACTGGGAGGAAGCATGATTTTCCTCAGGCTCCCAAAGTTACACTCCACTGGCAGACTTTTGTAACAGCCTCCATGGGCCTGTAAAATACAAAAGTAGGATTTTTCTCTGAAAAATTGAATCCAGAGTAGGTTTTGAAAATTTTTAAGAAAACTACTCCATTATAGATCATAATTTATTAAGTACAGTTTTACCACAGCACAAGTCACATCATCACTTACCGTAACCCCACACCACTCACAGCGCATGCCTGCCAGGCATTCTGCTGACCAGCATGTTTTCTTGCAGGCCACACATTTGGAGTTGGCTGGCAGGTTTCCCTCCCTCCACTGATGATACTGGACAACATTTACCTGTCAACACAACACATCCTGTTATTTTCGGTGCTGGAGAATGGATATTATTGTTAGGATGTTCTATTGCTACATAGTTAAGGTAATGATTGTGTTCAAATCACGACTTTAATCTTAAATAATAAACATGTTTATAGTTAGTGTTGCATGCAAAACTAGCCACCTGTCATTAATTCAATTTGCTACGCAACACATACTTTGATAGCAATGAATAGATGTCTCATTTTAACAATTGAAATCTTTTCTCCCAAAAAGCCAGTGTCTTGACATGAAAGAAAAAAAAACAGAAATAATGTGAAGGGAAAAAACTTTATATGCACTCAATTGCACTTAATACTGTCTGAAGTTTTAAAAAAGTTTGTCATCCTTAATTCAAGTAGGTGATTACCTGTAAAACAAACTAAAACATTGACATGTCAGAAAGGATTCAATTTTGTGTCCGGTTACATTGTCAGTATACACATGAAAAGATGTTTAATATTTGATCTTGACCTTTTGACACTGTGACCTTGAATGTTGGTCAGCTGACTACTTGTGCTATTCTGATCAACTTTGCTTCCCGCATCTTTGATGTGGGCTCTAAACATGGAGATAAATGTCTATTGTAGTTGGTGACCTTAACAGTCTTCACAGTTGACCTTTCGACCCCAAAATTAATCCCATCCTATATATTTTCTAATAATATTAGATTGCATCAAGTCTCAATACAATCCATCAACCCTATCACCAGTTATCATCTGGAAGCCAAAATATGACAATAAATTTATTTTTTAGTAACAGTGATCTTCGTAGTAGACCATTTAACCCCCACAAAAAAAATCACTATATTACTTCAGAAGCTAACATTAAATGGATTTTCATTCAAATCCCTCCAACTTTTCTCAAGTTATCATTGGGAAACCAACATCCAGACAGACAGATGGACTGATGGACAGTCAGACAGATGGATGGACAGATGGATGGATGGACAGATGGATGGATGGACAGACAGATGGAGACCAGCACTATGGTCCCCTCTGATTTTACCAGCAGGAGACTAAAAAAAAAGTGATAAATGTGATCATTGTCATGTGTCCCCTAAAATTCAATGATCTCAAAGTTTAATTTTGAATGACCATGAGGCTTACGATTAAAATTAAAATTAAGATTAGGGTGACCTTCACATTAATGTTACTAACAAAAGGTTCGACCTTGAGGTTTCTAAGACATTAATACCAATCAACAGCTAATTAAGAACTCACCAGCTACTTTAGGTTTGAAAATAAGGTGACAAAGACAGTGATGCCATTCACTAGTTCCTTGTAGTGATCTTAACATAATGTTTCTCACCATCTACTTACAGATTGATTTTTGGATGACCTTGCCATTAATGGTAATCATCAGATCCATAGACATAAACACTAATCACTGGTAATTTATAACATGACCCTCGCATAAAGCTTCTTGCAAACAACTAAAGGTTTGACCTTAAGGTGACCTTGACATTAATGTTAATCACCAACTCCTTGACGTTTGACCTTGAGGTGAACTAAACATTATTAGTAATCACACCACCAGTTCCTTCAGGTTTGACCTTGAGATGACCTAGAGATTAATGGTAATCCCCGGTTGCTTCAGGTTTGACCTTGAGGTGAATAAGACATCAATGGTAATCACCAGCTCCTTCAGGTTTGACCTTGAGGTGATGAAGTAATGTCAATGCCACTTCCTTGAAATGACCTTGACATAATGCTTCTTACAAGACACTAATTGCCTTTGACCTTGAGGGGACATTATCATTAATGGTACAACAGAGCACCCTGAAATAACCTCTATATTATTGATACTCACCAGTTCTATTAGGTCTAAAGTGTGACCTTGAGGTGACCTAAACATTAATGATATAATGGTACTTACCAGCTCCTTGTGTGGTACATAGGTTGCACATTCCTTACAGTCACTGACTACAAAGTCCTGGCAGTCCAAATGAGCATAATACTCACATACTGAAATATAGAACAAGATATTTACTAACACATTAAAATGTAAATGTTTACTTTCAAACTGTCAAGTCGCCTAGATATCAGTTGAAACTTAGGAGATTAATATGTAGCCCAAAATATGTCTTCCTACCTAGATACTGCCATCTGTGTTCTCATGACACACCTTCACACAAAGTCCATGCATGAAACAGTAGCTGAGATATGCATCAAAAACTATTGCGCTGTTTTTAGTATTTCCAATAACGGTCAAAAGTCAAGAAGAAGTTACATACAGGTTTAGTATTAGACACATTGCAATCTCACATTGTATTTCTTAAGTACTAGGCTTTTCCCCCCAGTATTTATGATTAAGGTCAACAGTCCAGTAGAGGAAGCAGTGACCACATTTTCATATCACTGCCACACACTGCATTCTCAGGTTGTCCTTAGTCGTAGTCACCACATTTCACTCTGTGATGCCACACACTGCGTTTTTCAGGTTGTCTTTACTGGTAGTCACCACATTTCAGTTTGTGATGCCACACACTGCATTTTTCAGGTTGTCTTTAGTCGTAGTGACCATATTTCAGTTTGTGATGCCACACACTGCGTTTTTCAGGTTGTCTTTAGTCGTAGTGACCATATTTCAGTTTGTGATGCTACACACACTGCATTCTCAGGTCGTCTTTAGTCGTAGTCACCACATTTCACTCTGTGATGCCACACACTGCGTTTTTCAGGTTGTCTTTACTGGTAGTCACCACATTTCAGTTTGTGATGCCACACACTGCATTTTTCAGGTTGTCTTTAGTCGTAGTGACCATATTTCAGTTTGTGATGCCACACACTGCGTTTTTCAGGTTGTCTTTAGTCGTAGTGACCATATTTCAGTTTGTGATGCCACACACTGCGTTTTTCAGGTTGTCTTTAGTCGCAGTGACCACATTTCAGTTTGTGATGCCACACACTGCGTTTTTCAGGTTGTCTTTACTGGTAGTCACCACATTTCAGTTTGTGATGCCACACACTGCATTTTTCAGGTTGTCTTTAGTCGTAGTGACCATATTTCAGTTTGTGATGCCACACACTGCGTTTTTCAGGTTGTCTTTACTGGTAGTCACCATATTTTCGTATGAGTCACTACGACTAAAGAAAGAAAGTATCGAGTTTGAGGTTTAATGACCCCTAGTGACGTCAACATGAAATGCAATTTTCTATTAAAAGTTTAGCAATGATCTCAAGGTTTATCTTCTGACTGATCCCAATCAAGTGTGACCAGAACATAAACCATGCAATCAGTTTGACTGAGCAAAGGTAATTGATCTTATCATTCAGAAACCAAATGTTTTGTTTTAAAATTTGGAACAGATCTTGACCATCAACATTTAAATCTTTGAACCTGCTTTTCTCTGGTAATTAATTATACATGTGTATTGTAAAGATGCCCTGGTAACCTGGCTCTGGTTTTCATATTGTTGTGAATGTAAGTGACGAGTTGCTGTTAGTCCATTTTGCTCGTGACAACTCGTCCTGAGGGTGGTATTTGTAGCAGTATGCTACAATACTCAGTTTATTGAACACATGGTCAAGCTTGCTGACATATTTAATGCTACTGTAGTTTTTATCATACACTACACCTGCCATTCATGGCACATCATGGACTTCTGCTATATCTTTGTATATTCACAATGATCCCAATAACACCAAGCCAAGTTGCATTGATGAACAGCAAATACTGTATAACTGGCAATATTTGTGGGGGATTTAATTTCACTTTATTTGTTGTCATTTAAGATGGCACAAAATCAAAAATCCTACATACATTTTAACTATGATTCAAAATCTAGAAAAATGTTTATCATCACCTCTGTATTGGATACTAATCCATTGAAATGTGCTTAATATAATCCCTGTGAACATGCCCAAAATGTGACATCTGAGAAATATTATCCCTGCAAAATGTATCAACTATACAGTATATGAGGAGGCATTACTATGTCTTTAAAGAAATAGCAGCAGGAGTTAACTTTGACTAGACAGAAGAAGCAGATAATTTCAAAAGAACCAAAATCGGTTCATGAATATGGAACAGGCAGAAAGGGCAGCATGGAAGCAGGCTTGATACTAGCAATAAATAGCAAGAGTCAAGGAGTCATGGGCAGACATCCATCAGAGAATGAGTTTCCCAGTAGAGATGGCTTGACCTCCAATCCACCAAGATCATGGAGGAGGTAAACAAAAGAAAACAATAGAAATGCCAGCAGTTGGTGGACAAGTGTCTCAAGTATATATGAAGGATATGATGTTTGCCATAGGAGGCTGGTTACAGGGCAGGTGTGTGCTTTACAACAGTTCAGGGTCATAAGAAACAGGTAGGAGCAGGAAACACCAGACATAGTGCTAGACATCAGCATTATCATTCATAGTGATACAACATGAAAAATGAGAAAGCTTTGTGAACATTAAGCAAAACAAGCATTGACAACAAAAAGCAGCAGTGAAAACCGCTGAATCCTTGATCCACCTCAACCTGAGGATGGAACTGGTCAGCATTGGGTTGTTCAAGGTACTAAGGATGAAGTTTACATTTGATGAGCCAAAAGGAAGTCAAAATCCAATTTTCTATTTATAGTTTATCTATCACATCATGCTTTCACCTTCAGACCTAAACAGCAATCCCAAGAAAATAAGATTCTGAATTTAATGGGAAATAAGTTTAACACTCCAAGACCATTGTTTTATCAAGAGAAAGAGAAGTTTACCTTAACCTTATAATGCATGAAAAGCAAGCAATACATAAATCAGTAAGATGGAACGCCCCCCCCCCCCCCAATTAAAAGTTTTGTGTGGAAGCTTATTTCCTAGTATCATAATGATAACCTTTGTGTCCTGACTGGAAAAGCAATCACGAACATGCAATTTTGAAGAAGCACTCTATGAAGTTTAAAACTTGGAGGGCAAAAGAAAACTGAAATTATACTTTCTATTACAGGTTTTTTCTTTTCAAATATTCTTCAAAAATTAAGCATGGCACCAAGTCACCTGTACTCAAAATTACATGAGGTGGTCTGGAGAAATCTCTTTGTTTTATTTTTTGTCCTCTAACATATCAAAAAAGTGGGTCATTGTGACCTAATCATGACAAACTGCATTTTGACCAAATTGTTGTAAAATATGCCTGCACTTCCTTCTTTGGCTAAACTGGGGCTCATTAAAGCACAAAGTCTAACCAAAACAGATGGATGTTTTCACATAGAATTTTCCTTTAAATATTTTTTTCAACATTTTCTTTTCAATCTTGATGACATCATTGTCAGATCCTCCATTCAGCATCTTTGAATAGTAAGATTAAGAAACTGATCAAAAAAATCTACATTCAGTATGGATAAGGAATCCACTACAAAGTAAATAAAATGGCAGGATGAGCCCAAACAATAATGACTATACTTAAAATTGTACATTAACAACAGGTAATACTCACATTCACATCTTATGGCGAGGCTGTCTTCCAGGCGCTTGCGACACACATTGCAGAACTTGCGTTTGAAGTGACTTGGCTCTGACCAACAGTGGGCAACAGGATTCTGGAATGTATTTAACACTTTAAGGTAGAAAGAATCGAATGCTTATTTCAAAGACAGTCCTGTGAGAAACTATACTTCATGCAGTTACTTCCCTTGAATATGATCACCATCACTACAAAAAGCAATTACATCAAATTCTCAAAATCTTGGACCTCTGGCTCTTGATAAACAAAACAACCCTATAATTTATTATGAAAATCTTAATTCTGAAAAAAGATTTCCCCTTTTTCTATCCATACATGTTGCAGAAAACACTACAAACAAGAAAGAAGAATTTTGATCTCTGATCTAATCAATGGTTTGTTATAGCATGAGCTTTACTATTGCAGTATGTCAAATCAATAAATGGTGTTTGATAAATTCTATATGATATGGTAAGAGTGAGATACTATTCATCACAAGACATGTATTCAGAAGGAGAAACAAGAAAAACTCTCCAATTGATTTCCAAATATAACAGGTACCCTTTGACCTGGATTTGGTTTGTCTTCCACGGCTAACATGGTGACAGAGTTTATACATAAGACATTACATCATAAATTTTCTTAGTCCTTGTTTTTTTTCTGACAAATTAACAAAACATTGAATTGTGATTGAAAAGAAGACAAAGTGTACAAAACTGATTTATCTCTATGAATGAATAACACATCATCTTTGAGTAAATAAAAAACTTCAAGACATCGTATCATCATAGATTTTTAAGAAAATGTACACTACAATTAAGTAAGGAATAGAAATATCTTGAAAATATAAGGCCTTCAGTGAATTTCTAATACAATTGGATACTGTTAAACATATACCTCAATACATACCTTGATAAGATTGGTAGCAATGCTGGAACAAGGGGAGACAACTGTCTTCAGACAGCGTTCATGTACCACGAAGTTACAGACTGAAAAAAGACAAATAGTGAAATTCAGACTACACATTTCATTTGCAAGCATAAGTTTCCCAGGTCAATTTTTTTTAGTTTAATTTGATATTGATTCATTGGTTTTGAGAAAAAATCTAGAACACTTACAGATGATCGGAGCCAACCCGGTGTGGCTATATTACATATCACTCAATGTTGTTTAATCACGAATCATTATGTCCTTGCCTTTCAGTTAAGATCCAGTGACCCAGTTGAATTCTGACCAACTTTTCTTCATATATCATAAAATAATGTTCATCTGTGTCAACAAGGTTCAAAATTTGACCTTGATCTCTGACGAAGTTGCATAAAAATCCTCTTTGACAGGGTGGCCTTTACATTTAGTCTGTTGATTCCAGTATCACAGTAGATATGTAGTGTGGGTCGGTATCACAGTAGATATGTAGTGTGGGTCAGTATCACAGTAGATGTGTAGTGTGGGTCGGTATCACAGTAGATATGTAGTGTGGGTCAGTATCACAGTAGATATGCAGTGTGGTCAGTATCACAGTATATATGTAGTGTGGGTCAGTATCACAGTAGATATGTAGAATGGGTCGGTATCACAGTAGATATGTAGTGTGGGTCGGTATCACAGTAGATATGTAGTGTGGGTCAGTATGTCAGATATGTAGTGTGGGTCAGTATCACAGTAGATATGCAGTGTGGTCAGTATCACAGTAGATATGTAGTGTGGGTCGGTATCACAGTAGATATGTAGTGTGGGTTGGTATCACAGTAGATATGTAGTGTGGGTCGGTATCACAGTAGATATGTAGTGTTGGTCGGTATCACAGTAGATATGTAGTGTGGGTCAGTATCACAGTAGATATGTAGTGTGGGTCAGTATCACAGTAGATATGTAGTGTGGGTCGGTATCACAGTAGATATGTAGTGTGGGTAAGTATCACAGTAGATATGTAGTGTTGGTCAGTATCACAGTAGATATGTAGTGTGGGTCGGTATCACAGTAGATATGTAGTGTGGGTCAGTATCACAGTAGATATGCAGTGTGGTCAGTATCACAGTAGATATGCAGTGTGGTCAGTATCACAGTATATATGTAGTGTGGGTCAGTATCACAGTAGATATGTAGTGTGGGTCGGTATCACAGTAAATATGTAGTGTGGGTCAGTATGTCAGATATGTAGTGTGGGTCAGTATCACAGTAGATATGCAGTGTGGTCAGTATCACAGTAGATATGTAGTGTGGGTCGGTATCACAGTAGATATGTAGTGTGGGTCAGTATCACAGTAGATATGTAGTGTGGGTCGGTATCACAGTAGATATGTAGTGTTGGTCGGTATCACAGTAGATATGTAGTGTGGGTCAGTATCACAGTAGATATGTAGTGTGGGTCAGTATCACAGTAGATATGTAGTGTGGGTCGGTATCACAGTAGATATGTAGTGTGGGTCAGTATCACAGTAGATATGTAGTGTTGGTCAGTACCACAGTAGATATGTAGTGTGGGTCGGTATCACAGTAGATATGTAGTGTGGGTCAGTATCACAGTAGATATGCAGTGTGGTCAGTATCACAGTAGATATGTAGTGTGGGTCAGTATCACAGTAGATATGTAGTGTTGGTCAGTATCACAGTAGATATGTAGTGTGGGTCAGTATCACAGTAGATATGTAGTGTGGGTCAGTATCACAGTAGATATGTAGTGTGGGTCAGTATCACAGTAGATATGTAGTGTGGGTCGGTATCACAGTAGATATGTAGTGTGGGTCGGGATCACAGTAGATATGTAGTGTGGGTCGGTATAACAGTAGATATGTCGTGTGTGGGTCTGTATCACGGTAGATATGTAGTGTGGGTCGGTAGCACAGTAGATATGTAGTGTGGTCAGTATCACAGTAGATATGTAGTGTGGGTTGGTATCACAGTAGATATGTAGTGTGGGTCAGTATGTCAGATATGTAGTGTGGGTCAGTATCACAGTAGATATGTAGTGTGGGTCAGTATCACAGTAGATATGTAGTGTGGGTCGGTATCACAGTAGATATGTAGTGTGGGTCAGTATCACAGTAGATATGTAGTGTGGGTCAGTATCACAGTAGATATGTAGTGTGGGTAAGTATCACAGTAGATATGTAGTGTGGGTCAGTATCACAGTAGATATGTAGTGTTGGCCAGTATCACAGTAGATATGTAGTGTGGGTCAGTATCACAGTAGATATGTAGTGTGGGTCAGTATCACAGTAGATATGTAGTGTGGGTCAGTATGTCAGATATGCAGTGTGGGTCAGTATCACAGTAGATATGTAGTGTGGGTCGGTATCACAGTAGATATGTAGTGTGGGTCGGTATCACAGTAGGTATGTAGTGTGGGTCTGTATCACATTAGATATGTAGTGTGGGTCGGTATCACAGTAGATATGTAGTGTGGGTCGGTATCACAGTAGATATGTAGTGTGGGTCGGTATCACAGTAGATATGTAGTGTGGGTCGGTATCACAGAAGATATGTAGTTTGGGTCGGTATCACAGTAGATATGAAGTGTGGGTCAGTATGTCAGATATGTAGTGTGGGTCAGTATCACAGTAGATATGTAGTGTGGGTCAGTATCACAGTAGATATGTAGTGTGGGTCAGTATGTCAGATATGTAGTGTGGGTCAGTATCACAGTAGATATGTAGTGTGGGTCAGTATGTCAGATATGTAGTGGTAGTTCCTGGTCAGTACTACTTTAGTTAAGTAGTTCAACCAAAGAAAAAATCTGGTCAGTAAAAGGTTTCCCCATTCCAATTTTTCTGATCACAGTATCTGTGTATCTGTGCAAAATGGCTGACCCTGCTAGGTGAGGCATGTTGTTATATTTTTCAACAACTACCAGGTCAGTAAGGCCTGGGCCTTTCATAGAAAAGTCTGAGACAAAACCAGAACAAAAAGTAATTGCGGATGTTAAATTAAGGTCAGGCAATATTGTTTAAGGAACACTGAAAGTGCACTTATTCATGGTTTTATGACGGCGAGTAAAATGTAATGAAATGTGAATATTGTTCAGTTAATGAGAACGCAGCCAAAATGGGAAGTAAGTCAATTTTTAGGTGCTCACAATTAAAAAAAAGTGACAATCATGAACAGTTCTACCCATAAAATAACAACGAAACATTTTCTTAGCAAAATAAAACAGATTGTGTCCTCTTTCCAACCACAAAGTAGGAAAGCTGACAAAGAAACTGTCAATGAACTTACGATTAAGTTTAATACAGACAATGGAATACCAACGGAGGAGTTACCACTTACAAAATTCTGCACACTGCTTCAGATTCAAAAGGATAATGACCTTGTTATTAACAAAATGTACGAGAATGACGTGTGTAGAAATTATCCACTGCTTCAGCTCCACACTGAAGAACAAACTCGTCAATCATTAGAAAGATAGTAAGTTTTTCAGTGTCCTTAATGATGCTGTTGCAAACTTATCTAGAATTAAGTAATGATCAGTATAGCATGAGCTTTTAGAAATGGGGTCAAAGTTGCAGAATCATCAGCATTATCTAACTATCTACCAGAACAAGTCACATTAATTAGGTTGAACTTTTAATTACAAAATTTGAGTTACAAAATAACATATTATAGTGACATGTTAGAGCTTGCTATTATGGACATTATAGAATCAGATATAGGAGCAAAGGTTATTGCTGTTTTTCATCTTATTTATCAAACATGTCACTACAGTAAATCTAGAGAAGTACAAACCTTAGCTGACAGCCTATAAGTGTTAATCAAGTCCATGTCCCCACTCACGGGAACATATTGATCTCCACTTACAGAAAAAAAACACTGATGAACCTTTGCTTCCATAAAAAGGCAAAACCAACAAAGATGAAGGTCATTATTCCATGATCTATCAATATATGGAGTACCTGGCAATGACCTCAAAAAATGCAGACATCAGAACCAAATATCTAACAAAGATTAAGAAGTCCTTAAAATTGTTAGCATTTTGCCATCTTTTGTGAGACATTTTAAAGATCTTTAGTAGTCAGAGTTTCCCACTACAAGCTACAAGTGCTATTGATCATGTATGAATGATCTTGCTTTACAGGTGATACAGCAATGTATTTTTTGGACCTGTATGACCGTATATGTGGACCTATATGACAGTGTATGTAGACTTGTATGACAGAATCTGAATTCCTGTATGTCAGTATATAAGGACATGTATGACAGTATATGTGGACCTGTATGATAGTATATGTAGACCTGTATGATAGTATATGTAGACCTGTATGACAGTATATGTGGACCTGTATGACAGTATATGTGGACCTATATGACAGTGTATGCAAACTTGTATGACAGAATCTAAGTTCCTGTATGTCAGTATATGTGGACCTGTATGTCAGTATATGTGGACCTGTATGACGGTATATATGGACCTGTATGACAGTATATATGGACCTGTATGACAGTATATGTGGACCTGTATGACAGTATATATGTGGACCTGTATACAGTATATGTGGATCTGTATGAAAGTATAGGTGAACTAGTATGACAGTATCTATGGACCTGTATTACAGTATATGTGAACTGGTATGATGTCTATGTGGACCTGTATGACATCTTTCTACTTACATGACAGTATATGTTTAACTGTATGACAGTAATTATGGACCTGTGCAACAGAATATGTCAACCTGTATGAAAATGTGGAAATGTATGATGTCTATGAGAATCTCTATGATGTCTCTTTGTACCTGCATGACTGTTTATGTGGACCTGTATGGCAGTATATATATGAACCCATATTATGGTGTTAGTGGACCTGTACGACAGTATCAGTGAATCTGTATGACAACATACATGGCCTTGTATTACAGTATATGTGGACCTGTGTGACAGTATATGTGGACCTGTATGACAGTATATGTGGACCTGACTACAGTATATGTGGACCTGTATGACAATATATGTGGACCTGTATACAGTATATGTGGACCTGTGTGACAGTATATGTGGACCTGTGTGACAGTATATATGGACCTGTATGACAGTATATGTGGACCTGACTACAGTATATGTGGACCTGTATGACAATATATGTGGACCTGTATACAGTATATGTGGACCTGTGTGACAGTATATTTGGACCTGTATGACAGTACATATGGACCTGTATGACGGTATATATGGATCTGTATGACAGCATATATGGACCTGTATGACAGTATATGTGGACCTGTATGACAATATATCTGGACCTGTATGACAGTATATGTGGACCTGTATGACAGTATATGTGGACCTGTATGACGGTATATAAAGATCTGTATGACAGCATATACGGACCTGTATGACAGTATATGTGGACCTGTATGACTATATATCTGGACCTGTATGACAGTATATGTGGACCTGTATGACAGTATATGTGGACCTGTATGACGGTATATATGGATCTGTATGACAGCATATATGGACCTGTATGACAGTATATGTGGACCTGTATGACAATATATCTGGACCTGTATGACAGTATATATGAACATGTATGACGGTATATGTGGACCTGTATGACAGTATATGTGGACCTGTATGACAGTATATGTGGACCTGTATGACAATATATAAGGACCTGTATGACGGTTGATGTGGACCTGTATGACAATATATGTGGACCTCTATACAGTATATGTGGACCTGTGTGACAGTATATGTGGACCTGTGTGATAGTATATGTGGACCTGTATGACAGTATATGTGGACCTGTATGACAGTATATGTGGACCTGTATGACAATATATGTGGACCTGTATGACAGTATATGTGGACCTGTATGACAGTATATGTGGACCTGTATGACAATATATAAGGACCTGTATACAGTATATGTGGACCGGTATGACGGTATATATGGACCTGTATGAAAGTATATGTGGACCTGTATGACAGTATATGTGGACCTGTATAACGGTATATGTGGACCTGTATGACAGTATATGTGGACCTGTATGACAGTATATGTGGACCTATATGACGTATATGTGGACCTGTATGACAGTATATGTGGACCTGTATGACAGTATATGTGGACCTGTATGACGTCTATGTGCCTGTTATGTGGTGGTGAGACTAAGAGTTCCCGGCATTGAGTCGATCGATAGTAGCAGCCATTCAGTGCCGCAGCTAACATGGGTGTCCGTAGCTCTGATCGATGTGGAAAGCGCCTGTCGTCATCTCGGGGCTGTGTACGCATGCATTAATTAAACCCAACCCCACATTGCACCCTACCCCCACACTATACTACCAACGAGTCCCCTGCCCGGCCCCCGGGCGAACGCGAGAACGCCGGGCAAAATACACACACACATAACAAGCGCATTTCGTTTTCACCATAAATTAGCGACTGGCGAATAGGGCGAGACTCCGAATCACCTACCTTCACAAACAAAGCCTTGACCAATGAGTCCCCAGAGCATGTCTGTACAGTGATGACAGTATGTTGGTTTGTGAAATGTCTTCTTGATAAAGAAATGTCCATGACCATGCTCGTCTGGGTCTGCTCCACACTGTAACATGTTGTTTTCCGCAAGGCTAGATTCATCCATGGATGCTGGTCGTCACTAGTGGTGGTGGTTAAAGATTTCCTGTTGTTCTATTTAACCTCCGTTACAACATCCGAACGAAAACTGAGGAATTCACAACAAACGCTAGGACGAGATGGCGAGACGGTGGCAAACATTGCTGGTGTAACCATCGTATCTTCTCCGCCACTTCGCCTATACATCACTTCCATTTGCCAAATCTGTCATGTGCGGAAATGAGGGAAAGTGTTCGGAAACGAGGCTCGGAGAGAATCCGCGGAGAGATTCTATGATAGCGGTTGCTGAGCCTGGCTGATCGATGGTAGTGTATCTCATACTTAGGCGTACGTATATATATATGTACACACAGATCTAGACATCGGTCCGACACTGTGTCATTCACGCGGACACACAGGCAACTGTGCAAATAGTTTCCCGTAGTCTTTCCTTGGATAATCAACATTAAATAAAAAATGAATATTAAATACCAATTGTATTTTTCGAATCAAAGAAAATCGTGTGGTAATTATTATAATATACAAAGTTCAATTATCATACACGTGTGGAAATTCTTGGTGTATTTACAATGAGCCGTTAACTTGACAAGTATACCGGCTGATTAAACTGGAGCACCCGGAGGATGTTATAGCAATAAATAGCTGATATATCGTCATGCTTTTACAGTTCAAATGAGTAAAGTTAGTATAGTTTATATATAAGACCTTCGGCGGTGATCCACCTGAAAGTAAATTACAGATTTTTGTATTGTCATATACACCCTATACTTTTCGAGTTTGTATTATCCTGGTCATAGCTGCCTTTGTTTGTTAGAGCTTGCGTGAGCATAGTTCACGGTTTTAACGATCCGTGACCGTTACTCTTTACTAATAGGGTAGCTAAGGGGGAGGGCGAGGGAGGTTTCTTTACTAATAGGGTAGCTAATTGTGGTCAAGTTAAGCTAACAAGCAGAATAACTATGCAGTTTTATGCTGGCTAGCTACCTCGTAAAATATACTTAATAAGGAACTTCTTCAGCTTCGCCCGAATTTCAAGGGATAGGGTAATGGTATGAAAATCCATTGATTAAACATGATAAATTAACCCTCACATCTTGGTGAACCTACACAACAATTAAATACCAAGTCATACCTGCGATGTCTAGATACCAGTTACTTTTAGCTGTTGAACCGTGAATATATATATATATATATATATACAGTTACTATGCACCTGAAGATCTAATACAGTGAAAGCGCTAGTGCAAAATGTAACGTCTTTCTTCTTTTGTCAAAAATCATTTATATATATATATATATATATACGCTATTTTACTCTTAAACTAAACGCCTGTAGGACATCTACGTATCCTATTTTTACCTGTGTCTAATCTTGTTTTAAATCAAAAACTCTTCAACTAAACTATATCAAAATATTGTAAGATATCACAGGAAAATGGAGCTGTACGTGTCTATAGGATGACTTTGGATTGTCATCACACAGACGCTGTTATATAAAGCGGCTGTGACACTGAGGATATTCAGTACATCTTGAACACTCCATCATGGACATTGCGATTTACCTTTTATATTCGTTTTGTTGTGTCTTGTACGTTATTTCATAACAAAATACGAAATTTTCTTCAAAGTATTTTTTTAATTATATAAACTGGAGCCGTGAAAAGCTTACAGATATTTGCACTGAAACCTTTCCCCTTTATTGTGAACTATCGAGTGAATAAATAGTTCATTGTTTGTAACTGTGGGTCACGCTTGGCCTGCATGACTGACCAGGACGACTGATCATGACCCCACACTGCCCATAGCTTATCTTCTTTCAAAAGTTTAGCTCAAACCAGTTGTCCACTGAAGATCAAAATCAGTCTCATTACCAAACCGAGAATACCGTTGTATGTTAATCTATGATGAGATAACATCTTCTCATGTCACTTCGGATCACGTTGTATTAGGACGTGTCATCTTATTCTAATGACGATAAACTCTTTTTATCTAGATTCCAATGTACAGTGTTTCGTGTCAATACGATATTTAGCTCCTACTTGGAAGTTCACGTATCAACTTCAACCAGGGACCCACCTTTCTGCACTCAAAAACTGGTCGTGTAAAAAGTACATCCACGTTCTCGACAGATTTGCTGTCAGTTGTGAGCAGGGATTTTATGATCCTTTTGTCCATAAAGATATATCGAAACGTTCAACCATTTTGCATTACAGTTATTATTTAATCAAATTATTGAAAATAAGAAATGGAATGTAAAATTCTATTTATTATTATATGTCCCTGGGATACAGACCATATATATATATATATATATATATATATATATTAAATGTGACGTCTACATGCCATGGAGTAACTAGACTCTAGAAGGTTCAATTTGTATATATGTGAACTCGAAATAATTCCTTCCTTGTAACCCAAATATGAACATTATAACATTATCGCTTATTACACATATATGATATAACCTAATGTGACGTCAGGTTTAGATAATGAAATGACGTCACACACTTACGTGTTCCATTGTGACGTAAGAATGGAGACCATAGGTATCGATGACTTTCAATGTGGTGTGAGAATGTGCATTTTCTATTAATGATTTGCCTAATAACTAATTTTCCGTTTGATACGGTATTTATGAAACTCGTCATATAAAAAAAACCCTTTATCTCGCTTATACCCTTTGACTCATTCCATAAAAACATATCAAGTGGAACCTCCTGTAAAATCATGTATATCAAACCTACAAGAGGCTTCGGTCACGTGATATTCCCACGTAAATTTGTCTATATTGTTCACTTTATCATCAAAACAGAAGATAAGTTGTACAGCGTATTACAACAAGAAAACCCAGAGGTACCAACCATTGCACGAGACTCGCATTTTTCCTCTTTTCGATTTTGCTATGACATGTCCCAGAGGTGCAGAGAGCGAAAGTAATCATAGCCCCTGGTGTATAGAGCATGAAGTGATCGTAGCCCCTGCTGTATCGAGGATGAAGTGATTGTAACACCTGGTGTATCGAGGATGTAGTGATCGTAACCCCTGGAGTATCGATGATGTAGCGATTGTAACCCCTGGAGTATCGAGGATGTAGCGATTGTAACCCCTGGAGTATCGAGGATGCAGTGATCGTAACCCCTGGAGTATCGAGGACGTAGCGATTGTAACCCCTGGTGTATAGAGGATGAAGCGATGGTAACCCCTGGAGTATCGAGGATGTAGCGATGGTAACCCCTGGTGTATAGTACATGTAGTGACCGTAGCCCCTGGTGTATCGAGGATGTAGTGACCGTAGGCCCTGTAGTATCGAGGATGTAGTGATTGTAACCCCTGGTGTATCGAGGATGCAGTGATCGTAACCCCTGGAGTATCGAGGACGTAGCGATTGTAACCCCTGGTGTATAGAGGATGTAGCGATGGTAACCCCTGGTGTATAGTACATGTAGTGACCGTAGCCCCTGGTGTATCGAGGATGTAGTGACTATAACCCCTGGTGTATAGAGGATGTAGTGATCGTAACCCCTGGAGTATCGAGGACGTAGCGATTGTAACCCCTGGTGTATAGAGGATGTAGCGATGGTAACCCCTGGAGTATCGAGGATGTAGCGATGGTAACCCCTGGTGTATAGTACATGTAGTGACCGTAGCCCCTGGAGTATCGAGGATGTATACCCCCCTGGAGTATAGAGGATGTAGCGATCGTATAACCCCTGGTGTATAGAGGATGTAGCGATTGTAACCCCTGGTGTATAGAGGATGAAGCGATGGTAACCCCTGGAGTATCGAGGATGTAGCGATGGTAACCCCTGGAGTATCGAGGATGTAGCGATGGTAACCCCTGGTGTATAGTATATGTAGTGACCGTAGCCCCTGGTGTATCGAGGATGTAGTGACCGTAGCCCCTGGTGTATCGAGGATGTAGTGACCGTAGCCCCTGGTGTATCGAGGATGTAGTGATCGTAACCCCTGGTGTATAGAGGATGTAGTGACTATAACCCCTGGTGTATAGAGGATGTAGTGACTATAACCCCTGGTGTATAGAGGATGTAGTGACTATAACCCCTGGTGTATAGAGGATGTAGTGACTATAACCCCTGGTGTATAGAGGATGCTTATTTCCATGTTGATTTGATAGATAGATGACTATTGATGGCATGGATAAGGACTGAAAATCTGTCGGCCATTCCACCATTTTAACAATCAGTCCCAAAACGCAGAACGACTATCGCTAACACACTAATAAAAATATTCTATATTTCTCACGAGCGCCAATTGATAGCCATCTGTCCGTCATTTCATTTTACAACTCTTGAGCCTCAGGTGTGTATTGTATATCAACTCTGACCCTTAGGTGTGTATTTTATATCAACTCTGACCAGCAGGTGTGTATTGTATATCAACTCTACCCCTCAGGTGTGTATTGTTTATCAATTCTGACCCTCAGGTGTGTATTGTGTATCAACTCTGACCCTCAGGTGTGTATTGTGTATCAACTCTGACCCTCAGGTGTATATTGTGTATCAACTCTGACCCTCAGGTGTGTATTGTGTATCAACTCTGACCCTCAGGTGTATATTGTGTATCAACTCTGACCCTCAGGTGTGTATTGTGTATCAACTCTGACCCTCAGGTGTGTATTGTATATCAACTCTGACCCTTAGGTGTGTATTTTATATCAACTCTGACCCTCAGGTGTGCATTGTGTATCAACTCTGACCCTAAGGTGTGTATTGTTTATCAACTCTGACCCTCAGGTGTGTATTGTATATCAACTCTGACCCTCAGGTGTGCATTGTATATCAACTCTGACCCTCAGGTGTGTATTGTTTATCAACTCTGACCCTCAGGTGTGTATTTTATATCAACTCTGACCCTCAAGTGTGTATTGCTTATCAGCTCTGACCCTCAGGTGTGTATTGTATATCAACTCTGACCTTCAGGTGTGTATTTCATATCAACTCTGACCCTCAGGTGTGTATTGTTTATCAGCTCTGACCCTCAGGTGTGTTTTGTTTATCAGCTCTGACCCTCAGGTGTGTATTTTATATCAACTCTGATCCTCAGGTGTGTATATATCAACTCTGACCCTCAAGTGTGTATTGTTTATCCGCTGTGAACCAATCATATTGGTCCCTTTGTTTAAAATCTCAGAGACCTTTTTGATACATAAATTCAAAGTCTGCTAATATTTACTGAAATTATTTTGTTCAAAAGGGCCATGGTAATTAGCTTAAAGTGCCATAACTCTGTAAATTACAGTCAAATCAGTCACATTTATATACGGCTGTAAAGTCTGTTCATATTTGCTCAAATTATTGTGTCCAAAAGGTCTGTGGTAATAAAATTGCTCAGCCATAACTCTGTTAATTTTGATTGAATCTGTCCCATTATTGAACTCATTCAAAATCTCATAAATACAAGATGCCCAGGGCCCTAATCATTCATCTCGGTGAGCTCACAAGCAGAAACAATTGGAATGAATGTGTCGTATATAGAAGAGGATATCAGAAATACTTTTTTGCACCGTAATAGAAGAGTTTTTCTGAAATTGTAACAGGGGTAATGAAATTTACAATTTTGGTAAAGTACTAAACCCTTCAACCCATAAAAAATGTCCAACTCTACCATATTTGGTTATCAGGAGTTTTTTTAGTTTATTTGATCCTTTTCCAACACATCCATCAGTCCCATGGGGTCAGCTTGGGTCAATGTCTGCATAACATCAAACTGTCAGCCTTTACTAACAATTCTGAGTTTCACTAATTCCTAATAAGAAATAAACAAATTCAGCTCAAAAATGTATTTTTCCACCATGAACAATTGTAAAATTTAAAACCTTCCCGAGGGGAAATGGGACACCCTAGTGTCTTGAGACTTACACTTTGGTAAAGCACCTTAAGACCCTTCCATTTATAATGGGTATTGAAATGAAGATCTTTGAAATTTCAGTCAGTTTGATCCTTTTCGGCCACAGCTATTAACTGTCAGCCAGAGTCAATAGGAGAACAACATTAAACTGTCATTCAGTACTAGCAATTTTAACAAGGTTTGATCAATTTCCGATAAATTATGCTAAAAAATGTTATTTTCCTTGATATAATAAAATTTAACCCCTTAGTCAGTTTGACCCTTTTTGGCCAGCCCCCTCAGGCCCCAGGGTATGGGGGACAATATAATACAAAATTTTTTTTTTACCTTTGACTATGGAGTGTTTCTGCCAAATTTCCAGGTTTTATAGAAGAATAAGAATGTAAAAAGTTCGTGGATACACAATGGACAACAAAACAGTATCGCAATAGGTCATTAGACTTCGTCTTAGGTGACCTTAAAGACTTACATACCAAGTTTCAGTAAAATTGTTTTATATCTAAAGTAATATGTTCACAAAGCTCAAGGGTAAGTGGTTTAATGAGCCATAAGTCTGTAAGGCACTGTTGAATTCATCCTATTGACAAACTCATCCTAGATTTTATCACACCAGTTCATATTACTCCAAGTTATTGGGTTCACAAAATTCATGCATGACTTGCGTTGCACAACGGGCAAATAACAATCATTATAGATCACAATGCCCTCTTAAAGGATATTTCTCAAGAAATGTGCACAAAAAAACTGTCTCTGTAAAAGCAAAAGGCATCAACAGCCTGTATCACTCACATGGACATTAAAGAAAAGACTGGCAAAATAATTGTGTTTTAACAACCCTTTTCAAGGTACCATTGTACATTACAAATATTTGAAATTATTTCATTTATTTGAGGAACAACTTTAGTGATCAGGATCACAGATACCTGCTTGCTTGAGGCCAAAGCTTCTGAAACTCATGGGAGAATTCTTAAATATTTTCAAAAAATATTTGACCCTTGTGACCCTGAAAACAAGTTAAGAATGTTTTTAAGTGGAAACTCTAAAACACCTCATCCAGGCCGAATATTCATACCCTGGGTCTTTTATCACTTAAAACAATTCCCAAAAATGTTTACATTCAACATCCTTGATATTGAAAGAGATTTTAGATCATTAATTTGAACAAGCGTGTCAGCCATTCATCTAACCATGCCACAGAACTTTAAGCAGCACCCAATATTTTAACATATTTGACCCCTGTAACTTTGCAAGAGGGTCAAGGTGAATCACTTGAACAAACTTGGTAGCCCTTCATGCCAGCATAGAACATATCCAATATCAACACCCTGGGTATTTAGGCTTGCGAGAAGTCGTTAGAGGATGTTAACATATTTGACTTGTGACCTTGAAAGTGCATCAACATTAATCATTTGGCCTTCTGATTATTAAGAAGTTGGTTGAATATTTTTTACACATTTGACCTCAGTGACCTTGAAAGTAGATAAACATCTTTTGCTTTAACAGTCGTATTGACACCAGCATACTGAACATCCAATTTCAGCACCTCAGGCCTTCCTATTATTGAGAAGTCCTTTGAAGATTATTACATATTTGACCATTGACCTTGAAAATGGGTCAAGGTGAATTATTTGAACACAATCTGTAATCCTTCACATCGTCATGGTACAGACACAATATTGACAAATTTTAGCCTTTTTGAAAAGAAATCCTTTAAGGATTATAAAATATTTGGCCCCTCTGATGTTGAAAGTGGGTCAACGTACATCATTTGAAATAATAGCCCTTCATCCTAGCATATTACATGCCCATTATCAGCACCTGGTTCTTTAGATTAATGATAATTGTTTAAAGATATTTATATATTTGACACATCTGTGACCTTGAAAATGGGTAAAGGTGATCATATATAAGAAATTGAAAGCCTTTCATTAAAGCATGCTATAAGCCCAATATCAGCAATCCCAGTCTTTTGGTTATTGAGAAGTGGTTTATAAGCCTTTTAATTTTATTTTAATTTAATCCTTTGACCTTGAAAGTAGTCAAGGTCAATAATTTCAACAAGCTTTGTGACCCTTCATCCTAGCTACAGATTCAATATCATCATCCTAATCCTTTTGGTTATTGAGAGATCATTTGAAGGTTTGAATATATTTGACCTGTGATATTAAAAGCGGGTCAAGGTCATCTATTGAAACAAATTTGACATCGTTTTATCCGAGCATGCCGAAATAAATTGAAAAGTTGAATTGATGCTCAACAGATACCAAGCCCCATCTTAATATCACTTGCTCTATGGGCATTTGAGCTGATAACCAAATAAATTGAGCCCCTTCATCTGTACAATCGTGAATCGCCATCTCCTATAAATGTTTCGACCCAAATATGAGTAATATCTAATGCATAGTTTTAAAGTAGCCGTCTATAGCAATATAGCCAAACTACCTTCAAGACAGTTGGTCAAAGCTCCATTATTTGTATAATTTTGAATCCACACCACCTAAACATGCTTCCAGTCACTTTTTCAAAATTCTAAGCAGTAGTTTATAACAAGTTGTTCAAAGAAATTGTTGGTGTATGAGAGATAAATGCCTGGGTATGGCATAAGCTCTTTTTCACTAGGGCTTCACCATTTTCCTTGTATCACTCATCTTGTCTTAATTTATGCCTTATTTGTAACTATGTGGTATAAATTAATTTTGATATCCATGACTTAAGAAGAACTGACTTTGACAAATATAATGGTAACAGTTTTCTATGAACAGGACTTTGTTTTCATTACTGTCACATCTGTGACTTTAAATATGGATGAAAGGTAATTTCTTTGGTATGGTTTCATATCCAATTATGCTAGCCAAATAACATGTTTTCTATGTTTTTGTGAATCATGAGAAATCATGTCCCTGTGTCAGATTTAACCCATGTAACCTTAAATGTTGATTGCCAGACTGGCACATTCCATCCCAGGATTATACTAGCTTTTCTGAATGGTTGTACAGAAGTTTTTAAGAGACATTGACAAACACTGTGCCACTCGGCCATCAGGTCTATGTAAGCCAAAAATTAAAAACACTGATTTTCTCGTCACAGCCCCTTTAATGCCGATAGAGAAGTAATGTCTTTTTTTTTCTGTCACTGTCTCTTTTTACTTCCCAGGAAGAATGATGCCATCATACTGAAAAGATAAAAAAGCAAATCATTTGTGAGCTGCCTATGATGGTGAATATAACAAATTAAGAAAAGCTCTAATCAAACAAACCATAATCTAATAGAACTCATTCAGAAAGGTAGAACTCGTTTCTATGAGCAACCATAACCTGTGTTTTGATATTAAGTAACCTCTACTGTCAAATCCAAATCTTATGCAATAAGTATAACTCATCAATTTCTGTTCAAGTTTTGTCACATTGAAATCTTTTGCAATGTAAAGCTTAACTCAATAATGCAATTAAGAATTTATGCATATATAATATTTGCGAAGGAAAAGGAAATTACTGTATTTGCTTCTTTTAATTTAATACTTGCAGCATAAGTATTCCATAGAAATTGAAAATATACTTGCAGCTGTATGATCAACAATACAAAATGTTTATTGATGGTCATATATGAAAAAAATTCATGAAAATATTCTAGTATCACCCGATTTCCTGCTTAAATTTGGTTTGCAACTGAATCTCACACTAGTTTCAGATTAAATGACAATATCAGCTGATACCAATTTTCATGAAAATTAAAACAACCCAAGAAGAATAACTTCACTGGTGCCAAATTAAGTTTCATGAAAGTCAAGAATTATGAAACTGGTACCATAAAATTTATTAATATAGGGGCTTCCTTGACAATTTTGGGAATTCCTATTGGAGACTGCATTAGGAAAGATTCAGAGACATTTTGAAAATTACTCCTGACACATATAACAAAAGTAATTTCCCAGTTGGATTAAAGAATAATTAACGAACTTCATTTTTAAAGTCAATGGGAGTGCCATCTATATTTAGGGTCATCTATATCTTCAGGAAATTCCCTGGATTAGTTAAGTTGTACTAATGTACAGGCTCTGAGAGATAAAGTTTTATTGGAGCCCTTATTGATGCAATATAGTTGTATGTGTATACAAGTTGATACATTGTGCACACATTTAAAGAATATGAGTTTAAAAAGTATAGAGGTTTAGGAAGTAAGAGAATACAGGTTTAGAGTGTACCTTCTGTTGGAACCACTTCATGGATTCCTCCTTGTTGACTTTGTGTTGACAGCCAATCTTGCTCTTCCTTCTCCTCCTCTGTGAAATGTTGAAACCTGTAACCACAAAAAATATGATTATCTCCCTTCCATTAATTTAATTAATTAGCACGATACAATTTATTTCAAAAACTTCATTTTTTCAAAGACCTTTCTTACAGAAATACATAGTGATCCCTTTCTACCTTTTCACCTTTTGATCAGAAACAGTTTTTTGTATAGAATTGTAAATTTGGCAGAGTGATTTCTGATCAAACTTGTTAAACGAGTATTAGTTATATCAATGACCACTACAAAATTAACAAGGTGCAGGAACTACATTGGATTGGGACATCTTGTGTGGATTTTTCTAAATTCTGCCAGATACCTTTCACATATAAACAATCAAAACCTCACAATTCAATTTCAATCATGTGGCATGTTTGTATCACCATCGTGTAACTAACATCACAACACATGTGTGTCAGTGTTGCAAAGATGTTGACCTTTATTTTGCACAAAGATAAAAGCAGTCGGAGGCATTACAGCAAAAACCTCAGTCTGTGCCAATGTGCTTACAACCTGTACCAGAAAACTTTTAGGTTGTTATTCATTTAAAATTTTTAAAAAATTGACAAAAGGTTTTGAACATTCCCAGTTTTTGTTACATAATACCAGGAAGTTTAAAAGTTTTTAATCTGCAGTTATTTTCAGTTGTGTCTGATTTACTTAACTTCAATATTTATTTATGTTTTGTCCCACCCAGAATTCATAAATGTAATTTCTTTTATTATTCCTGCCACAATGATCTGGGCTATGGAAAACGATCAAATAAAACCTATCACAATCGTGTAACTAACATAACAAAAGTTTCGGAAGCATTACAGCAAAAACTTCAGACTGTGCCAATATGCAATTATATTAACTATTAGGCTGATGTTCTATTTCACTGGTCAAACTGTCTGGGACTTCAATTACATCAAATGAAAACTGTTAAAAGCATCTAGTAAATGCTTTACTTCATGGACACTTCAAAGATTTTTTTGTCAAATGCTCTTTAATTTACACTAAATTAGTTTTCTCTGTAAGTTTGAACTGCGGTCACATACTGTAAAATAGCTTTGAAAAAAACAAGTTTCATTTTCAGAGGAATATATAATGGCAAAGTGTGTAAAGTTTGAAAAAATTCTCAAGGAATTAAGCTGCTACATTGCTGACAAATTTGGGAGATACGTACTCCTCCACGGAAAGAATGTGCTTTCATTTCATCAGTGATTATAAAGGACGAATTTCAGTTCCTGGACTATAAGAATAAATCCAACCTTACTGTATCACCATCGTGTAACTAACATCACAACACATGTGTGTCAGTGTTGCAAAGATGTTGACCTTAATTTTGCACAAAGATAAAAGCAGTCAGAGGCATTACAGCAAAAACCTCAGTCTGTGCCAATGTGCATGCCAAATACTGTGGAATCAGAAACATGTACTGTTTTTGAATATAAAAGAATATCAAGGGTTGTATTTAGGAGAAAATTTCAGATTATATAAAATCTTTATTTTCATGTTGAAGCATCTCTTGCTTAATTTCACTAAATAATGAAAAAAAAAGTATACCTCTTAAAATTTATTTTTGCACAAATTACACATGTTAAAGAAACACGGGACCTATGGGCCTTTAAGTTTACCTGTAATTTTCCACCCTTTACCTCCCTCGGGGACAAAAGCCATTTCTTTTATCTATTTTCATCCTCAAAATATTAAAATCTAATGCTATATTTCATAATAAAAGTAGAAAATAAAACCATTAGCCCCACCTCTCAGCCATCTAAATAAAGAAGCTATACTATCAATTCAGATGCTCACTGCCAAGTGATGCTAACCATCACATTTCATCTAAATCTGAAAAAAACATTTTTGAGGCAAAATGGGCTATGTAGTTTTAATCTTAATAGCTTCAAACTTCTCAGAAACTTCAGGCCAGAAGTCAAAAGTACATGAGATGTGATGTGATCTTGATCTGTAGATCTGATCACTTAAAATACAGAATGCTATTTGTCATATACTCTTTTAGAATACTTTGATCAGAGTCTATGAGGATGGATAAAGTGTGTACAAGATCAGGGTTTTCTATAAGAGCCGGTCGCCGGCCAATTTGACTGGCTACTTTGATCCGCCTACACCAATCCAGTTCCGTAATAATGTTCCGTACACGACCACACATACACGGCAGGCCAGCCTCCTACTTTCACTACACAGCCTACTACTAACAAAATTATGGAAAACCCTGACAAGATTATATATCTGGTGTATCTTTAGAGCAACTTAAGCTGCACAATGCACAACCAGAAGGAAATCATGAATGTCATATTTAGTTGAACAACAATCAATGCAATACTGATTTTTATGCAAGAATAATGTTAAAAGAATACAAACCTGGTCTTCCAAGAACAATGTAAAAATCCATGCCGTAGATTCCAATGGAAGGATCATATTTGATTCCTAAATCGATGTGTTCCTGGATACCAAAACCAAAGTTTCCTGTGGCTGAGAAGTTGTTCTTTCTCAATTCGTATTCTCTAACCTGAAGCAAAATTAAAAATTTTGTTAGATTTTTCATCTTTTTCAAATCAAATCAAATTTCAACTGAATATCATCAACAATACAGTGCATGCTAAATTGGACAGTGGGGGAGTACACACGAACGTGCCTATATCTGATATCAGGACACAAACAAGTGTGAAAGCTTATTGGAACAAAGTCTCAAAAGCAACTTAAATTTCCATTCTGAAAACTTGCCTTCAAACCACGCTCCAAAATCTCCTCTGCTTTGGCTCCACGGACAGTACAATGAACAGCGATGGTTTCGTTTCTTCTGATTCCAAAAGAACGTACAGTGTAGCGGGCTGAAATTACAATTTTTTTAACCAAATTTCAGGTCGATATATATATACAATGTATTCAGACTATAAATACAAAAGCATTGTTCAGTAGGAAATCTGCGGGTTTAGTATACTATGTCATTCATGGCAAAATGATATTAACTGGTATGTTGTCACAGGTGATAAATTATATATAAAATCAACCCTCAGAAGATTAGATTTGACCTCATTTCTACTCAAATGAGGATAATTGTCGGATTGTTGCTAAAATTTGAGTCACAAAAACAAAGTAGATTAGAATATTGATTTGGTTATTCTATCATTCATTTTCACATTTTTCAGATACTGTATTCAAATATCAAACACCAATGTTCTGTTTATAAAAGTCCCTATCCCGTTTACAGGCTCCTTACAGTTTTGGCACTCAACACTAATCTGCACAATTGCAAAGACTTTTATGCCTGTTTAGGCAAATCTGGTCTCCCAGCAACTAAATACTAATAATTATTGCTGGTGAAAGTGGTTTTTAAATCACTCTTTACAAGAATAATTTTACTGTCAGCCTTAAAAGTATGCCGTTCTTCATGAGAATTTTTGTCAAAATTAATTCTATTACATTCCTCTCCAATTTTAGGATTTTTTTTATGGACGTAAATGGTATCTACGTCCCTGGTTTTGTGCACTTAATGGGTTGGATATAGCACATACAACTTTGGACCAAAAACACACCCTTAGAAAAAACTGGCTGTTGACCAGTGAGCTGTTCCAATACTTTGGCTGCCCTCGTCAATCTGTCACCAGATTCCCCAACACAGATGTTCAGACAGAGTTTGACGATGCGCAACTGGCGCATGACGTTGTTCTTCCTTTTGTCTGCCTCGGCCTGCAGGAAACAAAATAGAAAATACGTTGTAAATGCAGATTGCTCACAGGAAGAAAAAACATGAAGTTCAGGGAGTATAAAAAACAACAGGCATGGAATGTAGGAATATATATTCACATCGAATAGAATAACTCCAAAACCGAATATGAGATAACGTAAAACAGATAGAAAGAAGAAGTCGTTTCAACCTTAGTCCCTAGTTCTGTGATCACGGATTCTACAATCTTGCAACTTCCACTTGTTTTGGAATAAAATACTCAAATTAAGACATATTTTGCCCAATTAAAATTTTCATTGATAGGAAAATGTCGTAGGCTGTCACTAAAACATTCAAAAATGCAGTTTATTTATCTTGATAACAGTAATATATTCGAAAATTTATCGTCCAACCAAGTGTGTACGTAGTTTCGAACAGATATAACAGCCGTTATTATTACTTGATTCAGTAAAGCGAATCATTAAATAGTCGATGTAGCTTGCAGATAGAATATTGAAAAACACAGGATTGCATTTAGACCATCCACTTTTAATACTGAAAGGGAGATGGTTATCGATTGAGATTCATTTTGATATCATGTGAGGAAAATGACACTGACCGCCATGTTGGGATTTTACCGGAAAAGGAAGTCGACGTCTATACGCTTCTGAAATATCATTATAAATTGGTCCTAAAAAAACATAGTCATGTGACCACATCATGCATTGAATGAAATAATTCAGTGGAGTATAATAGTTTCCAATAGTTTTATTAAAATTATTATTATTTTCATAAATACCGGAAGTTTATCATAACATTTAGTCACGTGATTCCAAAGCCTCCGCATAGCAACTAACACAACTTCCTGTGTTCTTGCAAGTACGGCATTTTATATAATACACGACATAGGATAAAAATGAGCTCAAGTGGAGAGGAAGAAGAGGCTGGACCTAATGTAGATTCTAATGATCCAGACGAACGTATCGCCGCTCGGAGAATTCGAATTACAAGACGAGTTGAGGCAGCAAAACGGTAACGTTATTATCAATATTGGACAACACCATAAACACCAAAAAATGGAATCGTTTTTATCTTACCGATTCGTACTTGCGTGCACTCAGTGTTTTGATAAGAAATTATTCACTAACGTTTCCGTCTTTTGATAAGAAATTATTCATCTTGCACTAGAAAGTCAATTCACTGTCATTTCACGTCATCATATAACATACCGCTGGGATACTGGGATAAATATATTCATCTCTTTTTATCCAGTGCTGAACTTGGTGAGGATCCTAATGAAAAGAAAGAGGTGAAGGAGGAGCTTAGTAAGAGCAGAAAACAGATTGAACAGAGTCGACTGTTGCTTTCGAAACTGAACCAAGATGCATTCGAGCTTGTCACAAACATTCGTGTAGCTGGCGATGCTAGAGAGGCGGCAAGAAGAACAGAAGAGGAGGAAGCCAAGAGACTTAGGTATACAGTGTTAATTGTTTTAATAAACATTTACTTCATATATATATTTAGCGAGGACGAGCAACTAGAGTGCATTTTGTGAAAATCATTGGAATTTCTTTACTTAACATATTTTTATTGTTAACCTCTGTCTGATGTACATATGTGTATGTATGTTTTAAAATGAAAATCATATGACTCATTTTGAAAAGGAAGGAGAGACTGGAACAAGAAGCCAAAACAGGAGCTGAAAAGTTCGAAGAGGTAAGATTTATTTATGCATTTACAGTATATATATATATACATGTATTTCTTTTTTTAAAAAAATTTTCATTGGTTAAGTTTTTTGATATTTTACAAAAACTTTAATGCAAAAGTTTTTTTTTCAATGCTTTTGAGATCTGTCATTTTTTACCTCATTCTCTGAAATAGCAAATGCCCTCAAAAATAGCAACCTTTACAGTCATTTGAAATTACTACTAGCCTTTCTTGGTCAAAGTATGCTTTTTACTGTAGTATAAGTGGTTGCAAATCAGAGCCCCAGAATGGACAGGATCTCCTTCCACATGGTCATATTACATATTGCATGTACACAATATTGGTAATATCAGTGTACATGAAAAAGAAGCAAATTCTGTATGATATACACTGGTATATTCCTGTTTAGCAGAAAGATTTATTTACATAGCATTTATTTTCCTTTATAACCTATCCTCTTTGAAATTGTTCTTTGAGAAAACAGCCTATATGACAGAAACTTGGAGAAACTTTGAGCAGAACAGCCCATTAATGGCAATGAGGAAGGTGTGACACTATGATAATGTAAAACAATTTTCTTATATTTGGAGTTCAGATCACAAAGAAATGGGAATCAGCACTTCAAAAGGAAATTCCCCAAGCTTTACATCAGGTATGAAATCTCAAATTGATTAATGATTTTCAAGAATCTTTAGCTAGTCTTAAAATTATAAGCTTAGAACTAAAATTATTTTTACTTATAAAAATCAGAGATGAATCTTGATCAACAATTTGAAATTCAATGAAGATGCCACTTGTCTTTTAATTTTATTCCAATTTCTAGATAATTTTCAAAATACTTGTTGTATGAATTTGAAATCTGATGAGATATATTATCCAGAAAAAGTTGTGTCCCAGTAGTACTGTTTGTGTTAATAGAACGCAAAGAAAAGAGGTAAAGTTTAACATATCTGTTTTGTCCTTTAGATGCTCCGTCAGCAGAAACAGAATTGTGACACCATTGTTGGTGACAAAAACAAGCTGATCAATGACTTTCAACAGGTAGTTACTCCAGGATGTGTCTGTTTTACCTCCTGTTGTAAGGCTGGTACTGGAATCACAACATATCCTCTAGAACTGTATCTTTTTGTCTGTGGATTGAAATCTATGTTAATAGTTTTAATCACCCCTAATTTTTATCAAATATTCAAATAGGAAAACAACAATTATTGTAATTATGATTCTCTATTCCAATATTGCTGACTTCCCCAAGAAAATATTTACAACAATTGTTTTTTATACACGTTAAGTAATTTGGCTTAATCACAGGTGTGAAAGCTTCTGGAGTTTAACTGTATTATTTCAATTGATTGAATATTTATAAAATTTTGGTATTTACAGTTTGGAATTTATAGAAAAACAATCTAGGTGATATTGGAATCTTGATTGTGGATCAATTCTTTTAATCTTTCTGCCAATCCACAGGAGCTGAAGATCAAGGATGATCAATATGTGAAGGACCTGAAGAAACAAGCTGAGGATGTGGACCTGATGATAGAGAGAATGGAGGAACAGATGAAGAAAGTTACAAAAGCAGCACGAAAGCAGCTCAATGAGACAGAGGTTGGTGCCAATCCTGTACACTGGTTCTTCTCAGTTCCGAAGTATAACACAATCATTTCGTGATTTTATTCAGAATTTATAATCTGTTTTGTGAAATTCTTACATATGTATTCAAAGATAGTGGAAATTTCTACAATACACCAAAAATTTCAGTGGGGGGGGGGGGGGGACATTTGTATCTGTAGAAAGTGTTTGTATGTATAATGAAACAAAATAAGAAATGGAAGATATATGATTAAAATATTGTCCATCATGAACTGTTGGAATTTGTACAGGTTTACACGATCCAGATTCATGATAGGGAAACATAGAATGTTTATAGTGCTTTATGAAATTATACTGAAGATATGGAAAATTACTAATTCATTTCAAATTCATGAAGATTATTAATTTACAATAAAACAATATATATATATATATATGTATATATATGTGTGTGTGTATATTTATAATACATCAATATCATAAACATATATATGAATAATTAATGCATAATAACCATTCATACTGATATTAAGTTAACAATAATTTATTTTGATCAGCTTCTAAGGAAATCTGTTACTTACACCATGAACTTTATAATGAGATAACTGTGACCAATTTTCTCCAAGACATGACCATATTAATTGTTTCATTGGTCCATACTGGAAATATTTCTCTATATCATTGTAAAGGAATTGATAACATGGCTTTAAAAGGCTACCATTAATGAGCCACATCCTATTATGTAGTGAGGGTTTTGATTAAAATACAAAAATAAAATTCATATATTAATTATACCTTCAATTTCTTGGACAGATGGCTTTCAATGCAGAAAGAAATGAACTGTTGGACACACATAAGAAGAAATGGGAAGAAAGGATGGAACATCGCCGCCAGAAGGAAATAGATTACATGAAGGCACGTGAGAAACGTGTCGAGGATTACGAACAGCAAATCCACACGATACGTGTTCAGGATGCTGAGGAATATAATATGATAAAAATTCGCCTGGAAACAGATGTGCAGGTAACTACCATTTATTTCTGGTTACAAATAAGGCCAGTCCCTTGAAAAGGACTATACCTTCAGGCAGATATTTTGTGGAAGAGAGTTTTCCTTCTGACAGTTAAAATAAATGTATACAAATGCAACATAATGATAGGCATTAACTTTTACTAATATAATATACTGCACTTCTACAGAAATATTAAGTACTTAAATCATTATTTTATAATCTAACATCTCTGGTAAGTTAGAAATTTAATAGATCATTTTGTATTGTTCTGTTGAAACATCATGCCACAGACTAATATATAGGTGCCTTTTTAGTCTTGGACCATAGGATTTGGATTATTACTTTTTAGCAGGCCAAGTAAAATATAGGCAATGAAGAGCTGTATTCTTCACCATAAACTTTCTTTACTTATTTGTCAAATCAGTTTTATATTTAGATGATGGAGCTTCTTTGTCATTAGTTTTAAAATTTAATGTAACTGAAAAAGAATGACTTTTTAATTTGAAGAAAAAGTATTGTTGTTGTTCTATAAAATATAGCTTCATGTCAAGTTTTTGCTTTTTTGATATTGTGAAAAAATGATAAAAGATTTTAAGTTGACATTAAGTATGATTTAATGCTCCCAAACGGAAAGCATTTAGTCGCCATTTTGTCCATCCGTCCATCCTTCCATATCACAAAAGTTAAAATGGGTATGAACATGAAACTTCACATCTCGATAAGGAGAGAAGTGCAGTGTAGAAGAACCATAACTCTTTTGCATAGTTTAGGCTTTTGATATATATCAAGGGTGACAGCTTCATTTTATATCATTGAATTGTGCATAAATTTCATATAAAAACATGATTAATTTTGCAAAGTTCTAGTCTTAAGACATTAACAGAATAGGAATGCATCTGATTGAAATGTGTCAGTTGCAATTTACTTGGTTGGTTGGGCAGAATATTCATAACACACCTTTCACCTGATGTTGGGTACCCAGAATTGACTAGAAAAGTTTTCCTCAGGTACTCTGGTTTCCTCCCACAGTAAGACCCATCACACCATCTGATTAGTATAAGTATGAATAACTTGTTCCACAATCGTTGTAAAATGAGCAACATTAAATTCAACCATTTCCTTATCATTTCAGATCCTTGAGCAACAGTTACAGCAGATGAAAGCCACATACCAACTAAACCAGGAAAAACTGGAATACAACTTCCAAGTTCTGAAGAAAAGAGACGATGAAAACACAATCACTAGATCACAGCAAAAACGAAAGATTACAAGGTTTTTCTTGTTTGTTTGTTTTTTTTCTTCAAATATTTTTCAAAATAATTTTTTATCTAAATTATGAAAAAAAAAAAATGATCGAAATATCAAGTAAATAAGTGTTTCTATTGTAAAAAAACATACCCACTTTTACATGTTATATCTTGTAATACAAATATAATATTTTGTCATTGTTTTACAGGCTGCAGGATGTCTTGAATAGCCTGCGTATCAAACTGGCCAAACAGGAAAAACAGTTCAAGTAAGAAGGATTTCTTTATGTAAATGTTAAACAAAAAAGATCGTACATGAAAACAGATTTAGTTTAAATCTTAGATTTTTTGTGACTTTTTGAATGTTTTATGTCAATTTAATTTCTAGACACCTTTAAAATAATATTTATAGTTTACACAAACATCATTGTGTCTGTAACAAGTTACAATTAAGAACACAATCTAACCATGTATTTGAAGTTTTGCTTAGATAAAACAGGACCAAGTTACAAACGTAGTATATACTGTTGATTCACGGTGTATGGTTGACATATATTTGGTCGATAATGAACGGTTTACTCTAAACCTGATCCAATGTTTTCCTATAGAGATGAGAACCAGCAACTGACTGAGGATTATAAAAGAATTACAGAACAGTTTAGAGACCTGCAGAGAAAGTCGAGGTAAGAATTACCAGGGTTTTCCAGGGGACCCTCAGATTTTATGAACGTACAAGTCCAAGGACTCAAATCACATATAACATCGAGTAAAACTGTATCAGTTCTGTCCTTTGTCAATTTAACAAGTCAAAATGCAGGTTTTAAGGGTCAGGGAAATCCATGTAAAACCTGCTTTTTACATTTTCGAGACTTTTATTTTCAACTGTCACTCATAACTTGTCTAGATTTATTCCATTTTTGATCTTGTCAGCCAGTTGGGGTAGGGTTGGATTATACGAGGAGTCAAGTTGGTTGGGACTCAGGGATCACCATTCTATCTCTTCATCTGTCTTATGTCATGTGTTGGATTTTGGCCCACGTTATAGTCCTTAACACTGAATGTTTTAATTTCTTTTACACCGTATAAAACTTGGTACAGCAAATGTGTGGTATATGTTATTACTGATAATGTAGACACAAAATGTACATATGAAATATACATAAAGAAAGGAGTTCTTTCAATGTTGAGAAATTCTGCTGATGTTATGGTCTTTGGCAACAGAGCGGGTTGTGCTGTGACACCTCCAGTTACTGTTCTCACTTACAGCCTCTTTGAACATTTAATATAAAATTCCATTGTCCTGAGCAGTAGCCACACCAACACAACTAATGTAGGTCACTGTGACTCATACCATCTGCGCTCACTGAAATTCTTCTATGAAAACTTTGTAACTTTGTAATTAGGTTAGACTTCATCAAACAGGATGGAGATCAAACATGTATTCTCTGTTTAAAATGATTAATCATGGAGGATAATTACATTTCTTGATATCTTGGCTTCTCTTAATCAGTGGAAAATTGGTCATGTGTACACAACATGATAGCTTTTTAAAATACATGAATTTTCAGTGATAATGGATTTCGTGAGTTTTATTTTCCCATAAAATCAAGTGTCATCAATTTTAGTTTTTTTCAGAGAACTTTGAATTGTTATATGATTTTACATAACTATACACTTCACACTTAAAAACTGCAAACAAGGTGGTGTTCTTTTTGTTATGTCATTTTATTTTATCTGTGAAATTTTCTTATTGTCAGACATTTCATGGCGGCCGATCACAAAAAGTTTCATGATGTGTGGTGTATGAACGAGGAAGAATGTAAAGAACTTGTAAATGCGATTCTAGAAGCTGACCGCATCATCCATGAACATCAGCTTGGCCTTATGTATCAGACACCAGATATGTAAGTCAACCAATCAAAATCAGTCTTGCTGTCTTGATAGATTCATGGGAATTAAACAGTTTTTCTTCTAGAATGTTTAAACCTAAATAACCCTGACTTATATTTTAGTGTTTATTGTACCTGAGAATGATAAATACATGTAGAATCTTTCACTCCTGGCAGGTGATATCTCTCAACCTTAGGGGTAAGATTCTTAATTTGCTTTACTGGCCATTTTATATATGTAATGTTGTCATTATCTCAATGCTATTGTTACTGTGACATCTGTTGATATTTTCAAATCAATTTATAACATTTTTGCATTTTTGATATCTTACTGTACTCTTATCTTCAATGAAAAACAAACATTTATTCATGATGTCTTTTGATGTTGCACCACAGTAATTTCTTAGAAAATGCTGGTCCCATCGTTAGTGAAGCAACCAAGAGGAAAGGGGTCTCAGCTCAACAAATTATACAGGAAGTGATGTCACAAACAGGTGAGACAATGTCTAATGGTGAAGAGTTATACATCGTTAGACCAAGGTAACACAAAGTCCCTCTCCTCAAAGATCACTTAAATCAAGTCTCAGATGAAAGACCTAAATTACTTACTGAGGGTACAAGATTAACTAATGACCAAGTAACTTTCACCGGTTAAAGAAATTATGAAATCAAGAAAGGACAAGCTTTTTATCAATTCTAATTGAAATTCTACCTTCACATTACTTTTAACTGACTGAAGGGAGTCACCACACGGCTGGAGAGGAGGAAGAGGATGAAGATGGTGAACTGGATGAAAATGCAGATGGGAGTCTCCCTCCAGACCACCAACCAGTCAAGAGCACGCTTCTGTCCAAAATCAACGCCACCACCATCAAACTGATCCTGGAACTTCTCTGTGATGAGTCGGTAGGTACTTTTCTTTTTGTGAGATTTTAGAATTTTATCCTGTTTTAGTCTAAAGAAGTATTAGGTACACAATCTTGTTTTTAGTCCGAAGTGTTTTAAACATGCTCATCCAAGGTCAAAGTTCATACAAATATTATCTCAAGTCAGATGTCATACACAGAGGATTGAATGCCAAATGTCTTATACACTGTATCTAAGATCAGATGTCATACACATGGTATCCAAGGTCAGATGTCATACACATGGTATCCAAGGTCAGATGTCATACAAACAGTATCCAAAGTCAGATGTCATGCACACAGTATCCAAGGTCAGATGTCATGCACACAGTTTCCAAGGTTAGATGTCATACACAGAATCCAAGGTCAGATGTCAAACACACAGTATCCAAGGGCAGATGTCATGCACACAGTATTCTAGGTCAAATGTCATGCAAACAGTATCCAAGGTCAGATGTTATGCACACAGTATCCAAGGTCAAATGTCATACAAACAGTATCCAAGGTTAGATGTCATACACACAGTATCCAAGGTCAGATGTCATACACACAGTATCCAAGGTTAGATGTCATACACACAGTATCCAAGGTCAAATGTCATACTCACAGTATCCAAGGTCAAATGTCATACACACAGTATCCAAGGTCAGGTGTCATACACACAGTATTCTAGGTCAAATATCATGCAAACAGTATCCAAGGTCAGATGTTATGCACACAGTATTCAAGGTCAAATGTCATGCAAACAGTATCCAAGGTTAGATGTCATACACACAGTATCCAAAGTCAAATGTCATACTCACAGTATCCAAGGTCAAATGTCATACACACAGTATCCAAGGTCAGGTGTCATACAGACAGTATCTAAGGTCAGGTGTCATACACACAGTATCCAAGGTCAGGTGTCATACACACAGTATTCAAGGTCAGGTGTAATACACACAGTGTTCAAGGTCAGGTGTCATACACACAATATCCAAGGATAGATGTCATACACACAGTATCCAAGGTCAGGTGTCATACACACAGTATCCAAGGTCAAATATCATGCACAGTATCCATGATCATATTTCATACTAAGGTCAAATATATCATATACACAGTATTCAAAGTCAGATATCATACACCGAGTCATTAGTCATACTAAAGACATCTGAGATCAAATGCCAACTCAGAGTTAACCCTTCAGATGTTAAAGATTCAATATCAATACTAAAATACACACCACAGTTTGAAAACAAAACAAACTTGGAATTCTACCCAAGGACATATCGGATATTGTTTAATTCATCTTGTTTACTTTGACAGGGATTTTTGGTGGAGTCCAAATTAAACAAGCTGCTGGCTCCTCTGGAAAAAGATGAGCGCTCATTAATGAAATTGGATGCAATCTTTAGTGTAAGTACATTAATCAGGAACATTTTAAATGTTTGACATACACATATTTGTTTCTATTGGTATTAAAAAACCTGTATCTGGTCGAATTCAAATGAAGTTAAAGCAACAAGTAACTTTGTTCTTTCATATGCCTTCATCTGTCCACCTTCTTTGTTCATCCATTGGTGAATATCTTCTCTAATCTTAAATCCTCAAAAAAGTATTCAAAGCCACAAAAGAAGGTCAAAGGTCAAATTGTCGTATCATTATATGAGTTTAACTACTTGTGCTCCTTTACAGCTGAGAAATATCAATGTAACCTTATGATATACACAATATATGACAACACACTTGTTCAAATTTCCTACCTTTGACTGAAATTGTTTTAAGTTAAGTATTTTAGGAATAAAAGAAAAATATTAAACATAACCTGTTCTGAGATTTTTTAATCCTTGACTCGATAGAAGTTAAGGCTGTGCTCTCTTCTGTTTAAATGTATGGATCATGTGACATTATTTCAGGCCCTAGGAATAGACACGGAGGAAGATGTCCATCTGTTGGCTAGTTATTTCATGCATATCAAAGGTCGAAAACAGCCACAGGATGAGGAGGTATGTTTGAATGCTGCAAATGTTATTATTTTAAGTAGGACTTGAAATGATTTACATTTAACACTACAAACCATATAATGAACAGCTAATATTTTACAGTTGAATTTTTATATCTTTACTTTTCAAAAAACAGGTGTTTCTTGAGATATATAGGGATTATTTGTATTTTCAGAAGGAGACAGTCGTGGATGAGCCCTCTCAGACAGAAGTCAGTGGAGAGGTATGTGTGTATGCTAAAACCTCAGAAAATTTGTATGGATTGTTATACTGAATAGCAAACTTCACCTTGGGTTTACCAATAATTCCGACCAAAAAACAAATATGTTCTCTTTTATGTTTATTCTTGTATTAAGATTTCATCAAACTAAACTTCCTGCACATACAATCAATTGTTCTCCTTTTTGAAGCTGGACGATATTGATGAAGAGATTCGAAAGCTTACAGGAAAAGAGGGCGACCTGGAATCAACTAAGAGTGAGACAGTGGAACTGATCCATCCCAATGAAGTTTTGAAGGCTCTTCGGGCATTTGTTGAGGAAAACCGACAACCCACCAAGTATGTTTTCCTTATCCAAGAATAAAAATTCTTCCATCTCATTCTGTAAACACAGCTTACTATCATTGGATTACCCTCCTCAAATTCTTAAGAATAATAAAAGTAAAACAAACATACCAAGAATGGACCCAGTGAATTTCAATTATCAGAAATAGACCCTAGACTAGATGTAATGTATATCTGGGGTCATGAAATTCATAATTTTGGTGACCCTTTCAACTATGAAGACTGTTTTTTGAAATTTAACTCAGTTTGGCCCCTTTTGCCCTGCCTATAAAGCCTGTGGTGGGGGTCAGCATTGGGTAGATATGTGTCATCCTGTCATTCTATTATAATACATGCAATTCTAAAAATAATTCTTTCCAGTTATGCTAAAAGATGTAATTTTCCTAGTATGATTAACGTCATCCTCTGTCCTTTAAATACATTATGCTTTTGCAGGGAGAAAGGGAAGCAGTCCCAGTTTAAGATTGTCTCCCTTGAAGAGCGTGACAGTTCAGACGATTCTGATTACTGGGCGAAGTATCCATCTCTCATCTCTACAAACAAGGAAAGACTCTGGGATGCTTTACTAGAGGGACTAGAAAAATACAGGTACCAAGACATGTTTTAAATGGACATGTATATGTCCAGTGCTTCTATATAGTTAGAGCACTGATCTTTCCTGTTTTTTTTTGTGGGAGATCAGAAATTGTCTTTCCGGTAGTTTTGATGTTTATTCATTTCCTCTTTACGCTGTCTTTGATTTTAGTTTTTGTCCATTTGTATTGATGTGATCATCGCCTTCAGCAAGTCTGTCCCGTTTCCTTGTAAAAGTTTGGTCATTAGCAATCCATTTACATAATGTATGTAACTATGGTCCATACAATTCTAGCCAGAGCAGCAACCCTCGGTTTAAAGTCTAACCACAGTGTGATGGGACCTACAGCCTTTCATAACGGGGGTATAGCGACACAATTTCTCAACCCAAAATCACAGCATAATAATGTTAACAAACAGTAGAGCTTTGAATTTTAGAAAATATTACTGTGTTGTTTACAGTGAGACCCTAACGAGTCGGTCAACACTTATCAATGAGACAGACGCACTGCGCCAACAGAACGCAGAACTGAGAATGTTGCTTCACCAATATGTCAACTCTAAGGTACTAATAACGACTATCAAGGTTGCAGTCAATCACCTTATCAATCTTATAATGTTCTTCATATATCACACTAAGATATCTATTCATAGGTGATTTTTTTATTGTAAATATCCATTTTTGTCTGATTTTCAAAGTGGAATTAATTTTGTAGGGAAATGTTTATATCACTAAATAATTTGTTGTCTATAAATGTGAAAGTAACAAGCTCCTAATTGCATCTCAGTAAAGTTTGTCAATTTTGTAAAACGATTGATTCTATTAAAAAATTTGTAATTCATGAAAACAGTATATCTTGCCATGTTACTTATAAATTATGACTATGTTTTAACAGGTGAATGCAGAACTTGAAATTCCTCCAACACGAGTTCTCCAGTTAGAAATGAATCCAAATGTTCAAAAATAAATATGGTAACCATGACGACCAGGAATCATCAAGTGTAAAAGGATGTGATGTACTCGTTTACTGAGTCTGCTGGCTTCTACATTGGATCAAGATGCTATCTTTACATAAAATTTATCTAGAGACAACAAAAAATCTGGGAGGCATATCGGAGATATTGTGAAGTCTTTCGAAATAGTATAATGTGGTCAGAACTGACACAATATGATTTTATACTGTGAGAATGAAAAACATTGATTTTTATCAAGACAATGAGGAATATTGTTGAATATTCAATCCTAGAAATCAGTGATTCATAAGCTACAGTATTTTGATGTGTATTTCACAGCTTATACTCTGATAAGATCTGGCATACAAATTAAAAGATGATGTATGTACTTCTGGGAGAATTTCAGCTGGACTTTGGGAGGCTTGACTGTGATAAAATAACACATTATTGATATGTACTATCAATGTATTTAAAGTGTAAATATTATTTTAAGATTTTTTTCTGTAAAATCATGTGTAAGAATTAAATATGTAAATAAATATGTGAATACCTTAAATATGATTCACACTTCAGAAATTGTTTTCATAATGGTGGCTACAGACATGGACTGGTTATAAATGTATATTGAGAGAATCACAACCTTTTCCTTTCCTGTATCAAACAACCAGCTCATTGTTTGATATATGGCATGATGTAGTTGCATGCATAATGCTGATTGCTGTATACAAGATTTACAATACAGGTCAACGTATAAGACCTGACAACAAAATGACACTAAAACATCTGGAAAGCATTCCATTTCTAAATGAATTCAAGGAATTTTTGAAGCTGGAAGTTCTTAAAAGTTTTTACACCAAACTTTAAATGTTGTTAATACTCATAAATCTAGAGTTTGTCTACGGGGTGATGTATTACAAATGATTTTAATACAAAGTGTTCTGATAAATATTGCACTTTTATTTTTTAATTTCAATCAAATAACAAGTAAAAGTACTGTCAGTATAATTCCACAAAAACAAAAATAACATTATTTATGTTGGTCATCTCGTAAAAAGTCATTGTATAATACATTATGTTTGGACCCTAATCCAGGAATTATTCCTGGCTGATAAAATTGTTCATGAAAAGTAGATGCCATACTATTGGCTGGTGAGGTGTACTCTTCCTTGTGAGAAGAAGTGTAATTGGCTGGTGAGGAGTACTCTGCATTGTATGAAGGTGTGTGATTGGCTGGTGAGGAAAAATCTGCATTGTAAGAAGACATGCGATTGGCCGGTGAGGAATATTCCATGCTGTAAGAGGCCATGCCACTAGAAGATGTATCCTCTCCACTGTAAGATGATTTTTTATTGGATGATATAGTGTCTGAGTTGTAAGAAGAGTTCTTATTGGCTGACAACTCAGGGTCTGTAATATTTGATGTTGTAGAGGGAATCATGGGATCTTCGCACACAAATCCTGATAGTTGATTGACAGCTAGCCTGCAAACAGAGGAAATCATAGGATAAAACATGTATATAGTGACTCAATATAAACCTCGCTTGAAGTTGAAATGATCTGTGACAGAATAAAATAATGACAGGGTCTGTGTCACAAACATAAACTAAACAGGATGTTGACAGGGTCTGTGTCACAAACATAGACTTAACAGGATGTTGACAAGGTCTGTGTTTTTCATTTGTTTATGATGGTGTACTCAAAATTTTGAAATGCTGGTCTAAAGAGAGCTTAAGTGACAAGAACAGTCTTCTTTAAGCTTCTCAGTGAGTTATCTTATGTTTCCCTCTGTGTTACCATGTCTCCCTCTGAGTTACCCCATGTCTTCCTCTGAGTTACCCCATGTCTTCCTCTGAGTTACCCCATGTCTTCCTCTGAGTTACCCCATGTCTGCCTCTGAGTTACCCCATGTCTTCCTCTGAGTTACCGCATGTCTTCCTCTGAGTTACCCCATATCTTCCTCTGAGTTACCCCATATCTTCCTCTGTGTTACCATGTCTGCCTCTGAGTTACCCCCATGTCTTCCTCTGAGTTACCCCATGTCTCCCTCTGAGTTACCCCATGTCTTCCTCTGAGTTACCCCATGTCTTCCTCTGAGTTACCCCATGTCTTCCTCTGAGTTACCCCATGTCTTCCTCTGAGTTACCCATGTCTCCCTCTGAGTTACCCCCACGTCTCCCTCTGAGTTACCCCATGTCTCCCTGTGAGTTACCCAATGTCTCCCTCTGGGTTGTCCCATGTTTTATTGAGTTCCCCATGTCTTCCTCTGAGCTACCCCATGTCTCCCTCTGAGTTACCCATGTCTCCCTCTGGGTTGTCCTATGTCTCCAATAGAGTTTTCCCATGTATATCTCTGAATTGTACCATGTCTCCGATTTAGTTACCCATGTCTCCCACTGAATTGTACCATGTCTCCCATTTAGTTATCCATGTCTCCCTCTGAATTGTACCATGTCTCCCATTTAGTTACCCATGTCTCCCTTTGAATTGTACCATGTCTCCCGTTTAGTTACCCATGTCTCCCTCTGAGTTTCGAGAGTAGATATCAATGCGTTGGATGTATTTAGTGATTCTTTCATGTCAAAAAACTCCTACATATCTCATGTTTATCTCTCAGTAGAGAGGGTAGAAACAGATTTTGTAGAAGTACTCACCAGACAGCATGAGATTGTGTTACTGTTATGTCAAAAAACTGGAGAGATATTACAGAAGAAACCATCTGTAAAGAAAATTGGCAGCATAAAATATTACATCGAAATATCACAATATATATAAACTAAAAACATGGAAGGGTTTCACTCCCTGATTGGGACAAAATATCAGTATGAAAAATAACAAAGGGCGATAACTCCTAAATTATGCTAAAAAGAGTGAGGGTTCTTGTGCATTGTACTTCTTGCTGAGATCTATCTACCTATGAAGTTTCATGATGATAACTCTAATAGTTTTAGTGTTATGCTCTGAACAAAATGTAAGTATGAAAAATTACAAAGGGCAACAACTCCTAAATTATTCAAAAGAGAGTGGTGATTTTTGTGCACAGCATTTCTCCTTGTTAAGATTTATCTATCTATGAAGCTTCATGTTGATATCTCTAATAGTTTTTGTGTTATACTGCAGACAAAATTATGATGGACAGACAGATGGACAGAAGAACAAAGCGGTGACTATATGCTCTCCCTTTGGGGAGCGTAAAACAATATTGGAAAAATTTTACCCTACCATGAAAATGATACTTTTTGGGTGCTGGTAAAAACTTGCCTGAGAAAAACATTGTTTTCTTCACGTTTCAGTGTTAACATTTTGTGTTACATGTAAAATTTTGTGAAATTGGTGAAAGTTTCCCAATACATAGCATTATAAATAATATACATGTTATTACAAGATGTTCTGTTAAGTACTATTAACTTAGATAATAGCTAATTTTCTGGCTATATTTTCTGGTAAACCTTTATATCTAGAATTCATAACATATAATTCAATGACCGAGGTATGTCCACTTTGCATTGACTTTATACAGCAAAAGAATTTTTTTTTCAAGATCGGTGAGGTGACGATCAACATGACAGTGACTTTTGATTCTATTTAATTATCATTGTGAAATATTTCCTTCTAAGGAACTATCATTATTATCATTATCTTTCAAGGTTTTGTTTACCTTGGCGAAGCCTTGTATCCTGACAAACTCAATGGACTCCAGATAAGCCTCCTGTAGACGTATCGTATATAGGTTCAACAGCACACCAAACACACCACTGAAATATTTTAAAAATCTCCACTATTTCAAAGAAATAACTTGTGAACCACTGCAACCCAAAAGTAGATCAAGGTCACTTACACATGTACTAGAACAAGAGATCACAGAGTGCCCACCATTATTTCATTTTTATTTGTTCTTTGAAAGTTGGATTTTTCTTCCCTCTTTTCTCTTCTCTGTTTTTGCTCTTAATGGTAGAAAATATGAACATTCCTTTGCAGCAAAAGCAATGATAATCTTTACCTGACATATCCAAGATGGTAACCTGAAAGCCATTTTGATTTTTCTGATCAGTCCCACAATCAAATGGGCACAAGAAGAGACTAAAGGGAAGATATGTATAAAATTTGAGAGAGACCCATTCAGTACTTGTTAAGAAATAGAGATAACCATCTGTACTAGGCAAAATCCAAGATGACCAACTGTCGACCATTTTTGTTTTTCTGATCATTCCCAAAATCAAACAGGCACAACTGGGGATCAGAAGAAACATACACATGAAATTTGACAAAAATCTTTGATGTACTTCTCAAGAAATAGCGATAACAAACTTTCTTGGTCAAAATCAAAGATGATCAACTGTCGACCATTTTATTTTTCTGATCAGACCCAAAATCAAACAAAATGGCTAAAGGGTGGTCATCTTGGATTTTTTCAATAAAGATTGTTCTCCCTATTTCATGAAAAGTGCCACATGGATCTCTCTCAAATTTCATATGTAGGTTCCCCTTGGTCCCCAGTTGTGCCAGATTGATTTTTGGTCTGAGCAGAAAGGCAAAATGGCCGATAGATGGTCATCTTTGATTTCGGCAAGTTTGTTATTGCTTTTTCTTGAGAAGACTCAATTGATCTCTCTCAGATTTCATATGTATGTTTACTTTGATTCCATGCTAAACTTTGACCTTAACACTACATAGTGGAAGTAGATTGCTAATATTAATTTATGTGTTTTGGTTTGAGAAATCAAAGCTTTTATGTAAAGGAAGTATACTACATTTTTGTTCCCTGTGACCTAGTAGTAATAATAAAGGATTTTCGACACCACTTCATTGACAAAGATGTAAGTTTTTATCAAAATCATTCTGAAACTACAATTAGCATTATCATGTTTTAGTGCAAAATGAACTAAATTAAGATTACCACTAAACGATATACATTGACATTGTGTTTTTTATCCTGTAACTGGCACTAACATTGTGGGAATACACCTACCACATCATTTTTGCTGTATTTCGCATTGACGAAAACAGGAATTTGAATTTACTAAAAAAAATACATTTCTCAATAAAATTTATTGTTGAAATAAGTGATTTTATATGTTGTAACATCCTAGTTTATTTTCAAAAATTCATAAAATTCATATCCCTTGAAATTTGGAATTCTATTTCTGTTTGGGACAATTACTTCTGTGTGCATGTCAATCATCAGACTAAATTCAGTGTAACATCAATGTCAGGTAAACAAAGATTGGATCAAAAAATTGTAGAAGTTTTGATGGACTGATTTACTGGATAGAAAGAATACATGGTCAGTGTCTTGGTTCGGGTCTTCCTTCACTGTCGCCAAAATACAGCTCATATTTTAAGATACTGACCATGTATTCTCTGTATATTTCATAGACAAAAGCATGTTAAATTTTGATACTTGCCTGAATATACAGCCTATGTAGAATTTGGAGAAGTATAGGTAAGGAAATTTGATGGCGTCAAGTGCATCCCCAATCAGGTAACTACAGGGTGCTAGGAGGACCATGCTGGCAACAAATAAAGATGTAAAGTATTTCTCTGACTAACATATAGGACAAAACTATCAAAGTTATATCACATACAATACATATTCACTGGTTGTTCACTTCTTGAAATATCAATTTTGTGTACAAGTTTCAAAAACAAGAGAGTACAACATGCAAACTGTTAACACAAAATTCATAAAAATAGGGCAATATACGAATTAAAGAAAGACTTTCATGAAGACCCTTGAAGCAACGTATACAATTTCCATGTTACAGCACTTGTTTCCAGCAACATCTTAATAAAATCTAATGCCTGGAATTCAGTTGAAGTAAAACCAGTAAAACACGCTCAAGGTTTGGGGCTAAATCTACTCGACCAGCACTGGCTAGAAGAGGATCTAGTCAAGATGAACCCCCTTTGATTTTCTCAACCTCATGAATTCTGAAAACACATCATTTTCCATTCAATTTTCATACATTATTGTTTAAATATTTCTTCATTTAATTTCATTATTGTTTAAATATTTCTTCATTTAATTTCATTATTGTTTAAATATTTCTTTGTTTAATTTCAGCAGATCAATTCGTCAGATGACTTTTTGCTACAGTTATTTCCCTTAAATATAACCTTTCTATGTGTTAGGCCAAAAAGTCAATGATTTGTAAAGCTTTAACAGTAATATTTTTAAATCAAAATTCAGTGAACTAGGACACTTTATCTATATTATCAGAGAAAGTTGGTGACCTTTGAACTCTTACCTGTATATGTAGTTGCAGTAAAGTTTTTCATGTGAGCTGAAATTAAGATAATTACAGTTATATTTTTAGCCGCATTTTGTGTATGTTTTCTGCAAATAAGTAAATCAATATATTCACTTGTAATAAGTTGAACATTTAAGGACATTTATAGACAACAAATCATAATTATCCATCAAAAGTTTACAGTTTCTTTATTTCATGATAACCCTCGAGTCAGGAAAACATCTTCTATAAAACAGAAAGAGCAAGAAAGAAACATGTAGCATGATTAAAGCACGGGGTGGAGACACAACATCCCTGTCGATGAAGATAGGTGAAATATGTCTTGGAAAGGCCGTGGATACTATTAGTATACAGAGTCCCCACTAAAACTCTTTAAAATGAAATTCCCAGAGCGAAAATAAAACCTGAATTGGAGAGGATTGGACTGTGTTATTGTCACTGTGGGAATTTCATTGATTGTTCAGTAAGTGTATAGATATACATGGAAGATTTCATTTCCCTATATTCATGGCATTAGGTATCCACCAAATACTTTTACAACTAATCCAACGGTCAGAAAATTACAGAAGGGGGGAATGCACAAAATTTCATATGTGTGAAGCCACCATATCAGAACAAATGTGAAATAGTAACCCAGAAAATTAAACCACTATACAGAGTAAGATATGCATGGTTAGGGTTGGGATTTCAAGTGTTTCAATATGATAACCAGTTGAAAAATATCTCCAGGGGCAAGTGACCTTCATGTCAGTGCATTTACATGTAAATATATTTCCTTGGTTATTGAGTGAGTAAGTCCAACTGAGTGTGGTGTGGGGGAAATTGGGTGGAAAGTGGGGCGAGTGGTTTCATTCCTTTATTCATATGTTTTTTCTGAACATCACAACTCGAGGATAACTTGACAATTTGTTTTTGTAGTTAACATCTAAAAGTTTTATGGTCAAACTATTCCCTTTTGAGCCTGTACATTTAGCCACCAGAGGGTCAGTCACTCAATTTGAAGAACCCATCTTTCTTTGTCTAAACAATATATATCTTAAGTCAAAGTTCATCATTTTGTTTAGAGATTTCAAACTAGAAAACATTTGTGAAAATTTCTATATCCATCAATATGACACACAACCTCATTTCAGGCCATATAGTTATGATTACCATTGTGTTAAAGTTTTATCAAAATAAAAGGAAACAGTGAGTTTGGACTTTGAACCCTGAAACATGAATTCATGCAATGTTTGATCATAATCCTGAGAAATGAAGTCACTTGAGTGAGGACACCAAGTTTTATATATCCTACCGTCACACATATTTTACAACTCTATCCAGTGACCTGTACATACCTTATTTTTAATCTGCCTTTTGTCAGTTTTGAATAAATCTGTAAAGCACCTACAAAAAAAACCCAGCAAAACATTTGTTAAGCAATGCAACAGAATGTGAAACACATGGTTTGGATCGAAACATTGTCAATACTATCCTTCCACCTTTTTCAGATTTGCAAACATGTATTTTTATGTCTCAGTAACTGATAAAGAAAATGGCATTTTTGAGGAATCTGCTTTTTTCATCATTTTTGAGGATTTAATGAAATCTTCAAAAATACTAAAATGAAATAAATAAATAAAAAAATCAATTAAAAAAACTTTCAAGCTTGAAAACTGACAGAGAAAAGTCAGAAAACAAAGTTCTTTTATGACAAGCATGAAAAATTCATCCTTTCTTTCATTGATAAAACCATGAATATTTGAACCATCAAAAATAACCTTGAAAGAATGCATCAAACATATATATCTATTAGGATATGGTGCCAATGTTTGACTTGATCTTTATTGTTATATATACCACGTACTTAATAGACCCTTTATTTGATACCTTTTCTCTTAGATGTCAAAAAGCTGCAGTTTGAGTTAAGACTTAAGGACATATGCTACCTTTCCCATTATACCTGTGATTTGTGTTAAAGTTAAGGATATATTCCACCTTACACATCATACTTGTGATTTACATTAGAGCTTGGGACAGATGATACATATATATACATATGTACCACATTAAAGCTGCTGTCAGAGTTAGGGATATACACTACATATCCCTCAAACATTACACCTGTGACTTGTGTTACACTTAAGGATATATGCTACCTTTCACACTTGTGTTACAGTTAAGAATATATGCTACCTTACACATTATATCTGTGATTTGTGTTACAGTTAAGGCTATATGCTACTTCAAACATTATACTTGTGATTTGTGTTACAGTTAAGGCAATATGCTACTTCAAACATTATACCTGAGATTTGTGTTACAGTTAAGGCAATATGCTACCTCAAACATTATACCTGAGATTTGTGTTGCAGTTAAGGATATATGCTACCTCAAACATTATACCTGAGATTTGTGTTGCAGTTAAGGTTATATGCTACCTTACACATTATACCTGTGATTTGTGTTACAGTTAAGGATATATGCTACCTTAAAAACATGTGGTTTAGCTTGATATGTATTTGCATTAATTATAAATGAATTACTATTTCAAGTGGAATAAAAAGTAAAATTTATTAATATTGTTACAGTACTGCAAGAGTCATACAGCATCCATGAAATGTGCTAGCTGAACAGTTCTTCTACTATAAATATATAAATGCTTAGTTCAGAGGAAATCTTATTACCTGTGCAAATAATATGAATACACATCCAGAAATATCCATCAGCACTAAACTGAAAATGAAAAGAAAAGACTAGTTCACCAATAGATTCCAGTATTTGTACAAGTAATAATCACAGAACTTCAATGAATAGATAATTATATACTTAGAAGTTGGAGAATAGAAAACAGAGTATCCGAGTTGGTATACAATATAAATTGAGGGTCAGAGTTGATACACAATACACACCTGAGGGTCAGAGTTGATATACAATACACACCTGAGGTTCAGAGTTGATAAACAACACACACCTGAGGGTCAGAGTTTATATAAAGTACACACCTGAGGGTCTGTGTTGAAATATTATAAACACCTGAGGGTCAGAGTTTATATAAAGTACATACCTGAGAGTCTGTGTTGATAGAGTATACACACCTGAGGGTCAGAGTTTATATAAAGTACACACCTGAGGGTCTGTGTTGAAATATTATACACACCGGAAGGTCAGAGTTTAAGTAAAGTACACACCTGAGGGTCTGTGTTGATGGTTCCTATTGATGAAGTAATGACCAACATTAACATCAGGTAACTAAATAAGCTCATCAGCTGCAAGAGATAAGATAATAATACTGTTATAGTTCTTACTCCAGCCAAACATTTACATATTTTATTGGTTAATTCATTCAGCATTTAGCTAATACTGTTTAAACAAGAGAACCAAGAAGCAGCATGGTTAAACATGTAAAAGGTGAGCCAAAAATAATCCATTGAAAACCAGACAGAAATTCTTGATAGAAGAATGAAATGATAAATAAAACAAAGAGAAATACTAAAACATGTAATCAATATGAATTGATTCACAAAAAACATAACTACATATTATGAAGGTAACAGAGAGGAAATCTTTGTAAAAAAAAAGTTAACAGCAAACAAATAAATATCAGGTATTGTCTCACCAACAAACGTCAGTGTTCTGGCGACATGAGGGGCGACCTGCATCCCCGTCAGAGGGCTGAAACCGTCTGTAACAATGTATTTGATTATGCTAGTTTTAGAAGACGACTCCAGGGCCTAATAATGCCTAATCCTAACTCTAGTAGTCTAAAAAATGTTCAAAAGTGGAAAGGAGGGATAAGGGGCCTACATAGATTAGGTTTATGTTCGGGTAATTTTGAAGTTCATCAAATGCCTTAAAACATCTGCATGGCCTAGCACTACCCCTATACCCCTGGAGCAGTTTTATCATGCTTGCTCTTTTTTGAAAAGCCACTGGGGATCTTCAGCATGTGACAGCAGAAAGTCCTCACAGGGGCATGTAGCATCAGAAGTCACATCAGTCATATCAGTGACAGTAGCCAATCAAATACCATCTTACATCAGGGGTCACAAGAGTTATATCAGTGACAGTAGCTAATCAAATACCATCTTACAACAGGGGTCATATGGGTTTTATCACTGACAGTAGCATGTTAAATACATTGTCACATATGAGAGCCACTAACCTTTCTAGAGATGGCCATCTGTGTTGTACAGTTTATCACTGTGACTAGATTCTGAAGAGAGAGGAAAACAGGAAGAGACTGGAAACAAAAAAAAACAAACATGTACCAAAATTACACAATATATAGACTCTTAACCAGTAGGCCTATACAAACATGTACCAAAATTACACAATATATAGACTCTTAACCAGTAGGCCTATACAAACATGTACCAAAATTACACAATATATAGACTCTTAACCAGTAGGCCTATACAAACATGGAGAACATTAAAAATAACAAGAAAACAACTTTATATTTACCCAACAAAGGCCAATTATCTTAGTATGAACAATGTATAAAAAAAGTTTCATTATCCCAGTTTAAATGCAAGCAAAGCTCTGCTTGGGACACAAAAGATTTAACAAGGACAACAACTCTATAATGGACTGCATGCCCTGACTTTGGTAAATAACACATTGTCTTAGTATGACCAATATTAACACCAAATTTCATGATCCTTGCTTAAATGTTCACAAACATATGCTCCTGACACAAAAGCATGGACAGAAATAAAAATGGACAAACAAAGCAGCAACTATATGCATATGGGGGAGCATAACAAACAGGTAACACAATGACTCATTGTCTAGGTTTCTGACTGGTACACATACAGGGAGAGAGTCAGAGAAACAAACAAAACAGGTAACACGACTCATTGTCTAGGTTTCTGACAGGTACACATACAGGGAGAGAGTCAGAGAAACAAACAAAACAGGTAACACAATGACTCATTGTCTAGGTTTCTGACTGGTACACATACAGGGAGAGAGCCAGAGAAACAAACAAAACAGGTAACACAATGACTCATTGTCTAGGTTTCTGACAGGTACACATACAGGGAGAGAGTCAGAGAAACAAACAAAACAGGTAACACAATGACTCATTGTCTAGGTTTCTGACAGGTACACATACAGGGAGAGAGTCAGAGAAACAAACAAAACAGGTAACACAATGACTCATTGTCTAGGTTTCTACACATACAGACAAACACAGGTTTCTGAGAGAGAGAGCCAGAGAAACAAACAAAACAGGTAACACAATGACTCATTGTCTAGGTTTCTGACAGGTACACATACAGGGAGAGAGTCAGGTAACACAATGACTCATTGAAACAAACAAGAGAGCCAGGTAACACAATGACTCATTGTCTAGGTTTCTGACAGGTACACATACAGGGAGAGAGTCAGAGAAACAAACAAAACAGGTAACACAATGACTCATTGTCTAGGTTTCTGACAGGTACACATACAGGGAGAGAGTCAGAGAAACAAACAAAACAGGTAACACAATGACTCATTGTCTAGGTTTCTGACAGGTACACATACAGGGAGAGAGTCAGAGAAACAAACAAAACAGGTAACACGACTCATTGTCTAGGTTTCTGACAGGTACACATACAGGGAGAGAGTAACAGAGAAAGAGAGCAAACAAAACAGGTAACACAATGACTCATTGTCTAGGTTTCTGACAGGTACACATACAGGGAGAGAGCCAGAGAAACAAACAAAACAGGTAACACAAAGAATCATTGTCTAGGTTTCTGACAGGTACACATACAGGGAGAGAGCCAGAGAAACAAACAAAACAGGTAACACAATGACTCATTGTCTAGGTTTCTGACTGGTACACATACAGGGAGAGAGCCAGAGAAACAAACAAAACAGGTAACACAATGACTCATTGTCTAGGTTTCTGACTGGTACACATACAGGGAGAGAGCCAGAGAAACAAACAAAACAGGTAACACAATGACTCATTGTCTAGGTTTCTGACAGGTACACATACAGGGAGAGAGCCAGAGAAACAAACAAAACAGGTAACACAATGACTCATTGTCAAGGTTTCTGACAGGTACACATACAGGGAGAGAGTCAGAGAAACAAACAAAACAGGTAACACAATGACTCATTGTCTAGGTTTCTGACAGGTACACATACAGGGAGAGAGCCAAAGAAACAAACAAAACAGGTAACACAACGACTCATTGTCAAGGTTTCTGACAGGTACACATACAGGGAGAGAGCCAGAGAAACAAACAAAACAGGTAACACAATGACTCATTGTCTGGGTTTCTGACATTTTATTTTTGTGGTTAGCCTACAGCCACATAACAAATGTTTGTACACAAGGTATTTCAGAAGATCCAATTCCCTCATGTCAGCAGCTAACTTGAATTTTTAAAAGATATGAATATCAATCAAATCAAACAAAGCTCAATTGCAAATCTAATTGATATGAAAGAGAAATTCATCACACATTTCATTATATGTGAAATGATATGTTAATATTGAAAATTCTAATAATAGAATGTGAGACTTCCTTTTTATAACCAGGTAGTGACACAAAATCTTGACAGAAGTGATGATGGTTGTGAGTAAATGTGCGAAGTTGCATGACAATCAGATCAAAACAAAATGAACTTGACAATTTTTCCATTATGATTACAGTGACCTCAATTTTGACCCTTTGAGGTCCAAATGCCAACTTGTACCAGAGATGATGGATGTGAATAGGTGTGTTTAGTTTTTTCAAAACTGAGTGAGAGTTTGGTTAAGAAATCTATATATAGTAATTATCCTTAATTTAGATCCTGGGAGATCAGACTTAAACTGGTGTAACAGATCATAATTGTGAGAAAGCGTGTTAAGTAAGTTTCCGGACAGTCCAATGATCCATGCAGTCAATAGAGCAAGGATAATGTTGTCGGGTTACATACATATTCTGACACAAGAAAGGTTAACAAGGTTCTGTTGTTTATACTGACCAGATTAGCTAAGGCCTTGGATCCTGAGTATATCACTGATACAAACAACATCATGCCAGGGATCCACATCACTGCTCTACGTCTGAAATAAAGACCAACGTCATCTGTACAAGTCAAGGTCATGCTATCTGTTAAAAAAAAACATTAAAATAACATACGTAATTAAATGTCTCACCAGTCTTGCTTTGTTATGGCCATTCTTGAGCAAACTACAAAATACACTAAAACATGTGTCACCCTCTTCCCAAATACTAAAATTTCATGTTGATGTATAAACACAATCGAACATTAAATACATTGTTACATTGTAAAACAAATTTTGTAAATTCTTCATTTTCCAAAATTTACAAAATCGTGACATTTTCACCCCCAAAATATCACCATTCTTGAGGAGGAAGAACAAAACTCCTCTAATACCATAAAACAACATGTAAATCTGAGATGAATAGAACAAGCTATAAAGATTCTGTAATCATTTCTCAAAATCTGACATTTTTGTCCAAAATATACACACAAAATTATCTATTTATTGGGTTCAGATGTCAATACTACAACATAACCATATTCCAGATTTGATTGGATTACAAATAACTGAGCTAAACTTTAAAATTTAGTTTCTCAGCATTTCTAATGTTCAGAGCTGCTGGAATGTATAATCTGTTAGATACTGTGTAAAAATAGAAGTGTTTAGGTGTCTACAACATGATCTAGCTGTATTACTGAATTTGGTCAATGTTCACTAATAAGATATGAGTTACAGATGTAAATACATTTAATTGCTTCCATGACTTTTCATCACAAGTGAAACAAAAAATGTATATAGGATACTTCAGAGCTCCAAACAACAATTCATAACACTTTTTTTCGGTTTTGAAAAAAAAATGAATTTTACTTCTTCAAAATCTGGAAATTTGGCAGTCTAAAATATTGTAATCATATACAAAGCTACTTATACCACCAATATCATTAACAGATAAAACATAAACAGTATCGTGTTGTGTCACGATTTCATGTTTACTTTATGACATTTATCTCGTAACTGCTTACAAACCTGATAGTTTCCTTGTCTGTCAGCATGGAGGGCAAGTGTTTGGTGACCACACCCATCCTGATAACCAGGAAACCAACAAATGTCTGCCATCTACATAATAAAAACATTTACATGTGCAAATACAGCCTATTTACAATACATTACCTGTCTGCCATCTACAAAACAAAACTGCTTACTAATCCCTGACTCATTTTTAGTAACACAACTTATAGGGAAAGAAACATAATGGCAAATGAAGTTAGGTAAACTCTCTGTTGCATTTCTTAATTCCCTTATGTTAATACACATTTCACCAATTAAGTATCCAAAACTGTACATCCACTGAATACACAGATCAGTTCCAGTGGATATTCAAAATCATAATCATTCTACCAGAGAGATGAGGTAAATATTGTAAGTGTAACTTGTGATAAAAATGTCTGAAATGTTGCAAATTGAAATTTGAATTTGAGCAACCCACTCATGAGGACTTGATTATTCATATTACATGCTACACACAGGTAATGCCAATAAAGAATAATTGCTGTCTTCAGTGAGATACTAGATCCCTGTACTCCAAGGGAGACAACTATTTCCAATGTAGGATTATCACTTCCTGAGTGTGACAATCATAATATGGCACGGATAATCATCTTCTGAAGGAGGCAAGTGCATTCATTTGAGGCAAGTGCTTTCCAAGGGAGAAAACTGAGAATTAATTGCCTCCATAGTCAGTCAATGGCATTTCTAGTGAGATAATGACCTTATAATTATAAAAATATGCATTCATAGGGACATCATTGCTGTCCAAGAAAGACAAACTTCTGAGACACAAAAATGTCTTAAATGCCATACAGTCCCGTTTTGAGGGAGATCATTCCATTCTGAGGGTGAAAAATGACTTCTGGGAGAGACTGTTACTTTCAACGTGTGATAAACTGGCTCCTGAGAATTTGCATTCCAAGGGAGACAATCACCTTCTAGAAGAAGGTGAGACATTTTTTTCTTAAAGAGGCAATGGTCTTCCAAAAAAGGAAAATTGTCTTTATACATTAAACAACTAATTAATTAGCTCATTTAATACAACATTTAAAACACTTACCCTTGGAATATAGTAGGATACTTGAACTCAAGAACTGACAAGACATACTGAAACAGAATAACACAAACACTGTAAAATTGTGCCAATCCTTTAGTAAAATGTATTGATTTATACCAAGTCTGATCACTTTAGAGACAATATCTCTAACTATTACAGTACTTTATATCTTAGGGTGGTCAGGTGCAAACCAAGTCATCCAGGGTTCAATTCCAAGTAATGGATGTGAAAAGGTATGTGGTCACCTGTCTGATCATGTGGGTTTTCCTTGGGTACTTTGGTTTCCTCACATAGTAAGACCTTCATGCCCTTCCATTCGAGCCAACAGCAATGATTGATATAATCTGATAGCTTGTTTCGCAATTATTGTAAAATGAATAAAAGTTCATATTTTCACCTTAAATTTTAACCCTTTCCTATACATCCATTGCTCTGTTGTTCCATTAAATGTTACATGTATTACTATTTTCTTATGTTAAAAAATTTTACTTTATTTTCACATGATATCTCAGTTATTGAATGAACTTCTTTTCTTCTGTGTTTAACATTTTAGCATCCTGTTTTCACACTATCTAGTAAACCATTACTACTCACAGAACCTCCCATATTTTTTTTACCATTTTACAGTATTTTCCATATTTATAAATTGTAAAATGCTTATAACTCAACTTTGCACTTTCTAATATTTACATTCTTAGATTATCTCTCAAATTATTTTACATCACATTTCATTATAAATTGTCTCACCTATTTTTATATTACCTCCCCTTCTTACTTACATTATCTTTCTTTATCTTATCATTAACCTTGTAATTACTTGTAATATGCTCACATTACTTCATATTATTTTCCATGTTTTTACATTATTTTCTTTCTTATTATGTCATTTTCCTTGGAATGAATAAATGAATTGTCTCCCCTGTTTTTAAATAAAATGCCTTTTTACATTTTCTCATCTCCTCTCACTTCACTTTAAATCAATACCTATTCTTAAACTATATCTCCTGTTCTTTGTATTTCATTTTTGCTATTAATAATACATTGTCTACTCTGATATAATTACCTTAAATGTTATCTCCCTCATTACTTACCTTATTGACAAAGTTTGTCACCAAGAACAACACACAAAAGATGAAGCATCTTGTCACTGTATTCTTCAAAAAGTCCATGATATCCCTTAGAGACTTTTCACTATAACGTCAGATGAGCTCTATCCATCGTTGATACACCCTATAGCACATCAGAGTTAGATAAGGTTTTATATTCAAATTGATATTTGATTTTTAATTCATCAATTTGTATAAATGTCAATGTTTCAATTATCATCTTACGTCTAAATTTTGTTTCCTCAAAAATTAACATTTAAATGATTTATTCATTCTAGTGAGAAGCTCTTTATCCAATACAGGATCGTTTGTGATAATGCATGATGGATTCTGTTAGAGTGGTATCAATTTATCTCCCTTAAATTATTGTTCAATAAAAGTCAACCTTGTGATATTTTCATTTCACTGATTAACTTACAAAAAAGTACCTAAGTTAAAAGGACACCAAGTAGTCTTATCTGTAAACGAACAACCTTTATTATTTTGCTATGGAAATGCCTCTGTTCTAAAAATATAACGGGAACTTTAACTATGATCAAAGTTCTTGTACTTCTATGAATTATACGAAATGTGCCTTTAAGCAAGGAGATATGATATGGGGGAGGGGGAGGGGGAAAGGGAAGGGGAGGGAGGGGTCAAAAATGAGTAATTCTCTTTGTAACACACTAGCAAAGACGTCTTCTTAAAAAAATATACACTACTAATGACTGCACTAACTTTTGAAACAAAAACAAAATGCAATTTTAAGCTAATTACAACTGAAATACCATCCTTTATTGTATTGTATGCAAGTTTCAGTCAGAAATATGAAGAAAATAAATAAATGGCATTAAAAAGCTGATTAATTTTCTTATTTACTTACATTGGTTTTGTGACACATTAATTTAATCCAAAAGTATCAATTTTTAATGTGATTCACTTCTCACTTGTCAACAAAATGACTCTGGTCAGGTCAGTGCAAAGTTCACACTAGCTACAGTATGGGGCATGACAAGAACTGTGATGGAAAAGGGACTGCAGTGACCTCATGACTTAAAGCAAAAACACAAAAGCTAATGCCAGAGAAATAACCACTTGGCCTAATTACTTATCCCTCTGTATTATATTTCCCTGCGATAAGTTTAATTTTCCATTTAGTATGATAGCAATTGCCATAAGTAAATGTTAATACTTGTTTTGTTTACGTTTCAGTCTAGATACATTCGTGCCTCTGTAATCTGATGTTTCTTGTCCCCATAAGCATGTCCTTTTCCTAATGCACGTTGGAGAGGTGGCACGGGACAAAAAAATATCAATGTCGGTTGAACTTACCACGCCAGGTCTTCTTCGATTCATTTATTTCATTAACAGCTGGATAAACGAGGTCTGCTGCATGGAAATTATTGTTGTGCAAAGTCATCAGTGCGTTTATAGATCGTCAAATGTCAATGAGATTTTCAAAGCGTCGGGTACACCCAGAGCCTGATCAATTCTGCTTCCGGTGCCGACACGCTTTCGAGTGTAAATGTGTTGTTTTTATTGACATCGCAATGGATTATAAAAGAAAGCTCACAGAAGGGGCCGTGGTGCCTAGCAAAAAGCCAAGAAATGACATGATTGTTGATTTAACATCTCAAGAAAATGCCTTGTTACAAACTGTAAGAAAACTGAAACCGTTATGCATTGATAAAACATGTTTGCAGTATCATAATATACAGTGCTACTCAAATGTAATAATATATGTATTAAATGATCGTTTTGATAATACTTGAGTAATATTTACTTCTCTCAGCTATTTTTTCAAACAAGAGCATACACTATTTGGAAGGGGTAGGTCGATGTCTGATATGATACTTGTCAAGAGACGGTGTTCGCACTACCACAATCAGTCCCATGCCTCGTTAGCCATGCATTGTTGCCCTTTGGTATTTGGTAGTACCATTGATTATCACGCCGAGGACTAGGTTCGATTCCTGTTGAGATATTTCTCTAACCTATGTTATTAAATTGATATTCATCTTAAAAATTTATATATATACATTAAATAAATATATATATATTCTTTGTTATATTCATCATTTAACATTCCTTATAATATTTGCTTTATTGTCAAGAATTTCTGATACTGATATCTTAGTATGCTTTATTTAATGATTTCATATTCGTTTCTATTTGAAGGGCCCACCAAGAATTTCTAACCTTGAGGCACCAATCATGTTACTGACTGGTCATGAAGGCGATATATTCACCACGAAGTTTTCTCCAGATGGACAACTTCTTGCTTCCTCCGGATTTGACAGATTGATTTGTATGTACATGTTTAAGGTTGCTATTTTTTACAGACTGATACATACAGGTATATCATTTCCATTTGATTTTAAATTGATATAATAGAATTTGATGACTTGAATGAAAATTTGTAAGTATATTCATAAAGCATTCAGCAATAATTAGGATATTTGTCAACTCTTAGCGTATAGCTATCTTGCATAATTTTTAAAAATAATTCGCCTCAGATTTTAGTACAGGGGACTCAACTAATTTTTTATTAAAACTGAAATAAATTACGCATATTAATATTCTAAGATGCAAAGAATCGAACATTCACCCGAGTCAATTGTGATTTGCTGTATATGTATATATTACTGTACATATGAAGAATATGTAACTGTAAGGAATACTTACAATAATTTGTCCATTGCAGAAATGAAGGTATTTTAATTCAGATGATTTTTTTCTGTGAATTTCAGATTTTTGGCTTGTATATGGAGAATGCGAAAACATTGCTGTCCTTAAAGGGCACACAGGAGCAGTGATGGAGCTTCAGTTTTCCACTGATGGAAAGTAAGACATTACTGTAGGGGTTTATTGTGTTCAGGTTAAATGTTATTTAATGTCGGTGCATGTATTAGAAACCTGAAATTAAGAAAATTAATTTAGATATAGCAAATTTTCTGTAATCAGCTTAGTACTAGTACTGTTATTCGTTAAATTGTTTTCCATTCATCTGCTTATTGTACCTTACTATTCATTTTATTGAGTAATGTAAACTTTCATTTGGTAAGAATAAACTTCTAAAAATAATTTACTTTGCATATCAATGAAAAAAATGTTTCCTTGAATTTTTATCTGTAATTTTTTAAATTTCATTTTCTGAGTTCAATTTTGTATACTTACTGGTTTCAGAAAACTTGTGATTTCATTTCTATAAAAGTTTCCTTCCATTTTGCATAAAACAATACTAGTAGTAGTTAACACCTCAACAATAGGATCAGGTGGTTTATGAAAAATGAAATCCTAGAGAAAAAAGAGGTAAGATGGAGGTTAAATATCAGCCATTACATGATTAGTGTAAGTGTGAAAGTGAACAGTAGAACTAAACCCAGTCATTTTTACTACAGCACTGTATTTACGGCAGCCACAGACAAGACTGTTGCATTATGGGATGTAGAGGTCGGTGAACGCATCAAAAAATTCAAAGGCCACCAGACATTTGTAAATTCAGTAAGCGTTGCCAGACGAGGTCCACAACTAGTATGTAGTGGCAGTGATGACGGCACAATCAAGGTAAGTAGTATCAAGTGATTTTACATTCTCTGCACTGTAAGAATCAAGTACACCCAAAGTGATCTAGCTAATATTAACATAGATATGATCAATTAAAAAATAAACAGTATGGACAAGTGAATTGTCAAATTTTCAAGGCAATTTGCCCCTTTATCAAGACACAGATATTACATAATTTAAATTACATACCTAGAATATAAAACAATTACCAAGGTATAAAGTTAAATCAAGAGCTGTGGTGTAAATTTAGGTATCTCGATAATCCCTTCAGCCAATGGATGCCAAAGGTCCTTTGTAAGAGACAAATAAACCATCCGAAGTTGTTGTATGGAAGATGGTGATTAGAATATCAAAAATGTTTTATATCGATTTAGGTATGTTTTGCGCTGTGGACACTGAGTATATATATTTATAGTATCTCATGAAGTATTTACTACTAAAGCCAGTATGTTGAGAACAGCCTAGTGGTATTTGATGTTGCCACCTAGGTGAGATGGGTCAGTTGAGAAATTGATTTAGAAATTTTCTAGTTATGATGTAAAGTTAAAAACTGCAGAATGCTGTCAGCGTTTTTGTCATTGATCGGCAAAATACTAGGATACTGGCAGCACTGATATGCAGGTCATAGTCCAAAGAAAGATCTTTGTGGAATTGACGTGACACATGACATATTAGAGTGTAACTCTTGAATGTTTTAGTTATGGGACTCAAGAAAGCGCGGAGTGTTACAGACCTTTCAGAGTGTATACCAGGTTACTGCATGTACCTTCAATGATACGGCTGAGCAGATCATTTCTGGGGGTATTGACAACGACATCAAGGTTTGTATCCAGCCTCTACTGATGTGCAGTAGCATCAGTGTGTCAGAGGATAATTAAAACACCATCTATGAAATACCACTCTTTAGACATGCAGAAGGAAGAATTCTAACAGATTAAGGACTGTAAATGTTTAAAAGTACACTGAATCTCTGTGACTCCCTTACTCTCTCTGATTCCCTGACTCTCCTAGACTCCCTGACTCTCTTAGACTCCCTGACTCTCCTAGACTCCCTTGCTCTCCTAGATTCCCTGACTCTCCTAGACTCATTGACTCTCCTAGACTCCCTGACTCTCCTAGACTCCTTGACTCTCCTAGATTCCCAGACTCTCCTAGACTCTCTTACTCTCCCAGACTTCTTGACTCTCTCTGACTCCCTGACTCTCCTTGACTCCCTGACTCTCTCTGACTCCCTGACTCTCCTTGACTTCCTGACTCTCCTAGACTCCCTGACTCTCTCTGATTCCCTTACTCTCCTAGATTCCCAGACTCTCCTAGACTCTCTTACTCTCCCAGACTTCTTGACTCTCTCTGACTCCCTGACTCTCCTAGACTCCTTGACTCTCTCTGACTCCATGACTCTCCTTGACTTCCTGACTCCCTGACTCTCTCTGACTCCCTGACTCTCCTTGACTTCCTGACTCTCTCTGACTCCATGACTCTCCTTGACTTCCTGACTCCCTGACTCTCTCTGACTCCCTGACTCTCCTTGACTTCCTGACTCTCCTTGACTCCTTGACTCTCCTCGACTTCCTGACTCTCTCTGATTCCCTTACTCTCCTAGACTCTCTTACTCTCCCAGACTTCTTGACTCTCTCTGACTCCCTGACTCTCCTTGACTCCCTGACTCTCTCTGACTCCCTGACTCTCCTTGACTTCCTGACTCCCTGACTCTCTCTCTGATTCCCTGACTTCGACCAAGGGGTTACAATTTGTTTTCTCTAGGTTAATATGACAAGGTTTAATTAAAACATGTGTTTTGGGTTTTCTTACCTTTCCATTCTCTCTGTACAATAAAACCATGAACAACCACAAGGGACCACTAACAATGTAATATATAAGGCTATACATGAAGCCTGTACAGGGCTCTCGTTCTACCAGATTTGGGGCCAAATATTCCCAATGCAAAATAGTATCTTTTTTTCCCAATTTAGACCCCAAGTTTTCCCATTTCTCAGGGAAACGCCGCTATTTTCCCCAATTCTAAGGGCCTGGGCCCTAGTCCCAAAATGGGGTGTGGGAGCCCTGCTGTAACGTTGCAAACATGATGGTGTTTGTTTTTATGTGAATCATTTGGTGTTGTGCATCAGATGTTGAGGTTGTGTCAGATATTGAAACTGGGTGTTTACAGGTGTTGAGATTGGAGGACTACTTGTGTTGATATAGGATGCTTACAGGTGTTTAGAATGGATGTTAACATGTGATTTGATATTTACAGGTGTGGGACCTTAGGAAAAATGACATGCTTTATAGATTGCGAGGACACGCTGACACTGTGACAGGGATGGAACTTAGCCCTGATGGTTCTTACCTCCTCTCTAACTCTATGGACAACACAGGTATTGTGTGAAATTACCAACTCCATCAATGTATTACACACATGAAAGAGATCTTTCACTAGCAGGTGGTAGGACAGAGAAATCTCCACCTCAAGGAGGAGATTATTGATTGTTTTACCCGAGGCTTTGCGTGAAGGATGTCTTGCCTGGGCACAATAGAGATATCTTCTCTACACGAGAAGTGTGGATATTTCTGTCTGGTGGGGTAAAACATTGTCGCCATCATTTCTGCAACAGAATATTTTTCTTTCCTTCCCTTTGCTGTAACTTGTCTAAACTACTCCTCTTCGACCCTCAAGACAATTTTAATGAAATTAATCATATCATAATTACCCCCTGAAATCTCATGTTAAACTTTTAAACTTTTAATCAGTTCTTACAGATTGATTCACCACTAAAATAGATAAAAAATAGAATAAATCTTTCTCTGGAAATATCCTCCTGTACTGTTAGATTTATTTCAGTGAAACTGGCAGTGTTTACTGAGGTGAGATGAACACCTCAGTAGACAATGCCATTGAGGTGTTCATCTCACCCAGGAGGCAATATTAGACTTAATCAAACTTTAAAGAGGTATCATCAATTTGAACAATATTATTGTTATTGTTTTTTAACTGATTTTTCCATAGTCACTGAAACTGATCTCTGATTATAAAAATGCTTTGGCCTGTTGAATCTTTAGCCCATCATCTGAGGATATTTCTGAAACTTGATGTGTAGGTCCCTCATGGTCGCTAGTTTTGCCCCTTTTTATTTTGGGACTGTTCTGGAAAAGAAATGTGAGACAGGCAACCATCTTGGATTTCATAGTTTAATATTATTATTGCTGTTTCTGGAGATGAAATTTCAAATCTTATGCATCAATAATTGAGAGCAAAAATAGGAAAGAAGAGAAAAGAAATGCAAATATCAAAATTTTAAGGAACAAATACAGATCAAACAATTTTGGATGTCAAGATCATTCAAGGATTTCTCATGTCTCAAGATTTGAATTGTCACAGAAGAAAGTGTAGCTGAAATCTACTGACTTCTGTGTTATTAATGATTTCCCACCTGTGGCTCTAAAAGAAGATTATGTTCGTCCATTTCTCTAAAGTTACGTATCATGAAAGTGTGTTGCATGTTACTTTCATATCCATTACTTTGAACCAAGGTGAAGGATACTAAGAAAGTTCCTCTAAATGCTAGTCCAGTTCAAAACTGTTACCCTGTTTCTGTCGCTCTGTAACCCATTATTGTATCACAAGTGATGTGGGGAACATACTTGATTTATAATACTATTTGTATGCTGGCATTCATTTTCGTACTGATTTAAGGGCTGTCAAGGTCAAAGAAACACTAAGCGGTAAAGGTCATGGTGACACTTAGGGTTAAAGGTTAAAATCTTCTGCTTGTACAGACCTGAACATGTTCATCGAGTGATCATAGATGAATGTGTAACTTGGTATTATGTCTTATCATGAAAATGATTTGGATGATGAAAAATAATGAGCTTATACTAAATGTATGATAACCTGGTCATGTTTTCTACAAAATTTCAGTGAGGGTTTGGGATATCAGGCCTTTTGCACCACAAGAACGATGTGTGAAAATATTACAGGGACATCAACATACATTTGAAAAGGTAGGTCAGCTGAATCTGTCAATGCTTGTTAAATATGAAAATGACTAAATGATTGGCTGTTTATTAGCCGCCAATTCAGCAAACAGCCAATCATATTGAATGTATTTGTTACTTCTATGAAATGGTCAAGAATTAAGGGACCAAACTATATTTCATGAAAAAGATAATGAGGTTTGATAGTGTTAACACTGTTTTTCTCATAATGTGCCTGTTATCCAGTGACTTCACCTCTGTATTTCCTTCTGTATACCACAGATCAGTGCCTCTGTTTGATATTTTCCTCCCCATTCTTTCTGTACACCAAAATAGAACTTTTCTCAGTTAATATGTGATAAAAAGTTTGTTTTCATTCCATACAAGATTTCATAAAACTTGTTTTAAAATGTTAATTTGTGAAGTCCAAGGCATGCCAAAAATAATGACTTCAAAGACATGTGTCATAAAATCTCACATAAACTGGAAACTTGTCTAAGATCTGATATAAATCCAACGGTTTTACTTCCAGAGTTGTGTAAAAGTATTCAGTCATGATTTACTGATATATTTAATGTAAGATATTAACCAACAGAGAGAGCGATATCCAGCAACACCTCCTTCACTTCCTCTTTAAGGGGTACAAAGGCAAATTACGAAAGATAGTTGGTCACTGTATAATGTCAGATGTCTGCACTGTACTTTTACAATAGTGATTAATATAATGTATCATATCAAATTTGTTAAACCAATGATCTGACAAAGTTTGCAGGTAATAAAAAACTGAAACTGAAAGCATTCCCACATTTGTAGACAAACACTATCTAGGGCTGATTTTTATAAGCTTATTAGTTATTGTAGTGGGTTTTTATTAATTGGTTATAACCACAGTAATTCAAAAAAACATTGAATACCTGATGAACTGTGGAGGTCAATTGGGGCTCTTGTTTTTAAGTTTCATTACAGATTCTTAAAATGAAATGGAGCTTAATAAGCAAAAACATACATGTTTCAGAATCTCTTGAGGTGTGCATGGTCACCTGATGGAAGTAAGGTCTCCGCGGGGTCAGGTGATCGCTACGTATATGTTTGGGACACAACGTCACGTCGTATTCTCTATAAGCTTCCTGGCCATGCTGGGTCAGTGAATGAGGTGGACTTCCATCCAACAGAACCAGTCAGTAAGTAGGCTTGTATCCTCTGCTCAGCAAACTTTTGAGTTTTTTTAACGTTTGTATTGACCAGTATAAATTTGATCATGTAGTACTACTGTAAAGGTTGCATTCTTTGATGGTTTACATTTTTGTGGGTTTATAAAAAAACAGAGCACCAAGAATATCTTATTAAAATTTATCATATTGACTTGTTTTCAATGTACATGTTTTTGGTGGTTTAATTGCAATCTTCAGAGATATTTCCTATATACATTTATTTAAAGAAATATTTCAAGGGATCTTATTTCTGTAACAAATTAAGCTCCTAGTAAAGATATCACATTTCAGCACTTGTTTAAGTAACCAGTATCTCAACCTCTAAGGGTCAAATCGATTTAGTTCATTTGAGGAACTACAGTTCACATTTATCTGAATTCTATACATTATTGAAACTTCTCAATGAAGTAAACTGAACTAAGATTGGAAAATAATATCATTTAGGTGCAGCTGATCATGTACATCACCCTTCATCACATGACATCAATGGTCCTATGATATCTATGGTCATATGATAGTTGAATGATGTCTACGATATATTTGATTTCCTGACAATAATTGTCACAATTCTTTTGTTCAATTTCAGTTGCATCCTGTTCAAGTGATAAGAAGATATACCTAGGAGAGATAGAATAACAGTGCTGTATGGAGTATGTGTGTCAAACATTTACCAAGGATGAGTGTTGAACAATTACATAGGATGACATGTGTGGATCATTTACATTGGATGATTGTGGGACATTTACAGAGGATGTATGTGGGACATTTCCAGAGGATGTATGTGGAACATTAGTGGAGGATGTATGTCAGATATCTACATGTGAGGATGAGTTTTAATCGTTTGAGGAGAATTTATGTTAAATACATTGTGTATTTGCAGATGAAAGTGTGTTGAGAAATAACAAATGAAAAGGATGTGCAACAACCTGACAAGTTTACGAAAATAAATATTTAAAATCATATCTTTGATATTTTATATACAACTATTACTTTTGTGTGATGCTGACAAAAAAATCTCAATCCTTTAGAGTAAGATTTTTGAGTGTCCAGATGACAGTGCAACCTCTTTGCTGGCAAACTTAACCCTAAGTTGGGGTTATTCAATCTGAATTACACAATTGTAAAAGGCTTGTTGTCATAAAGAAATTTTGAGGTGTTGGCCAACCAACACATCTAAGATGTCAAAACATATTGTCCAACAGCTGAGGATTCCACCCAAAATACACTGTCGTATACATTAGCCAGTGGTGATTAGTATTAGATAATCAGATACATAATGTGAAAGATTTGTTTTATTTTCTATATTTTTTTTTCACTCTGGATATTCAGCATCAGTGCTATTCCACAAATAATTGTGTCCGTGTTGTATTGTGGAGTAAGGGTGGGAGTGTTGGAGGTTGAGCGACATTTTAGATTTACTACTTATCTGTGTGGTGTAATAAAAAAAAGCCACCATTTATTTTCATGAATAGATTGATTCTGGAACAACCATCTTTACTTTCCTTATTGTGTGTAAATAAATAATTTCATTGAAAGTATTGCATTCTTTGTTTTGTAGTCATTGCCAGTTAAATATTTAAGAACAATATGGTAAGATGTCGTATGGAACTCAACTTGTATGGGATCAATATTTTAAGAAAATTCTGTCGTTTATGAGTTCTTTTGATTCTTTAGAGACATCCCCATTATTGTACGGTTATACATATGTATCCCGGTAGAACACTAGCTGCAGTATATGGCTCGGCTTGAGAGAACTTCTCTTTAGCTCCATTGTTTGAGCATCAGACAGGTAAACCAGAGGACCTGGGTCTAAATCCTTGCAGAGGCATTGAAATAAATAGTGACCTCTGTTACATTGGTGCCTTTGTAGGGACCTGTTGATAATCAATGATGTTACTGTCACCAGCATCACTGTAATCCCTGGAAACTCGAAGACAAGTCATTTCCTGAAGGGCGAGTATGTAACCCTGGTAAAGGACAGGACACAACTAATCGCGCCAAGAGAATTTCTCTTTAACTCAATCTGTTGAGCATCAGACTAGTAAACCAGAGGCCCTGTATTCAAATCCTAGTAGAGGTATGGAAATAAATAATGACCTCTGTTACATTTATCATGTACGTGTTGTAAAGGTGCTGTCACACTCTAGCGTATAGACCCAGCGCATGAGGAATGTGTCAAATATTTCGAAAAATTCTTTATATGCACAACATTTCAGCGTATGAGGTCGATTTTTGGTTAATGACAGTTACAGTAACGTGAGCCTAGCTTACCATCAGTGTACTAGTAGCGCACGCATAGCATATGTGATGTGATGTGTATTTGAGTTGGACGTATAGCGACGTATGGGTAACATATATCAGCGTACCTGCGACGTATGAGAAACGTATGCGGAATGTCAGCCTATCATATGAAGAGCGTACACAGGGGTGGGGTTATAAAATTTAACCATAAAGTCATACATACGTGCTCACACACCTGTGTGACCCCATTGACCCCAATGTTCCTGTACCATTGATAAATTAAATATATATCTATATTTAAGTCTGTGTGACATATATATATATATATATATATATATCTATATCTAAATCTGTGTTATATATAAAAGTCCATTTTACATAGATATATACATACGCTGGAAATATGCATGTAAAACACATGGGATAAGTTGGCTGTACGCTCAGAACATGTTAGGCATAAGTTGAGTATGTTAGACTGTCGTTAGAACTACTATCATAATGTTAGCCATTCATTAGACACACGTCAGACACACGTTCATTATAAGCTCCTCTAACACTTGGTTTCCTGACCCACTCAATCTCAACATATGAGAAGTGTATTCGATGTATGAATAAAATACCTTCAAGGTACCTCTAGCGTGTTCAGCATATGAGGAACGTATGAGGAGCGAAAAATTCATATGTCAGCATACGCTGAAAATTTTTGTGCATGTTCAAAAAATTGTTTGGCAGTCAGCGTACATTAGCATACCCCGGCATACTAGAAACATATTCCAGCGTACCCCTAGCCTGTTTTAGCGTATGTACATTCCTCATACGCTGACTCTATACGCTAGAGTGTGACAGCGCCTTTAAGGAACAGAAAAGCATAAAAGAAATTTGAACATCTTGTATTACAACATTTTTAATTTGTACAAAACATAGTTCAAAAGCATGTACAGATTGATACTCTCATACTACTCACACCCTCCCTCAAAAGTTTTTACACTTGGCTTTCTTCACATAGCAACATCTCTTTCAAAACTTACGAGACACTTGACTGTATTATCCAATACACAAGGAACAAAATAGATAGCAAAAAAATATTAGAAAAAAAGTCTATTTAAAATCAATATTTGATTCAATCACACTGCATGTTATTTACCTCTGCCTACACCGCTTCTTTCTTCGTAGACATGTTAAGTGATCCTCATCAGAATTTCACAATTCAATTTGATATTACTGTACTCAAAATTCCAGTCTTTTCAGGGAATTCAAGACTCTATTTTGTTTTTTCTCTTTTTTTGTGTGTGTGTTTCAAACTGGTATTTCTTTCACTTTCACAAAATGTAATTTTGTTTGCACTGTTTTTCACTTTTTACTTCAACAGATAAATATATTTTCATAAATCCACTTTCTTTGAATTGCAGCTTCTCTTCAGAAGAAAACTAATACATGTACAGTGTACCTTGTGAAATTTAAAAGCCTGTTATACAAATAATCACTGAGTTGGATTTTACAAGACAACAGAGTAACACCATTGTGAAATTATAAAGTCATTACTACTAGATAATAGAGAAATCATTTATTCTATTCTCTATTCACTGTCATTTTGACTTTATCACATTTAAAAATCAAAAATGAAATATTAAAATCAATACCCGTCATTTTATATAATGGTTATTGTGATATATATTAAGAAGGTTAAGATCTCAATTCAAATTTTGTACAGCACTCAGTAAGGTTTTTTCATAAGTGATCTTGTCATTGATTTTTTTCTTTCAAAGAAATTTTCTTGAAATTATAGAATTCCTTTTTTGTGTGTGGAAAACAAGATTTCTACATCAACTATTGGATGCATGGACCCTTTTCTTTGCTTATTATGTGTAGATGTATGTAGTTTAAAGAAACAAATATATTATATACCAAAAGATCACTTGTGACTTTTAAACAATGTTTTTGAGGGTTTTTTTATATGATGTTGGGGAAATAATGACCACCCCACCCCTACCTTAATTTCTGAAATTTTGCAAATTTACTCCCAAAAAATTCCTACTCAATTCACCAATTTTCCTTCCCAAATGCGGCAAAAAATTGCCCAATTCCAAGCCAGTGGAAAACCCTGTTCTACGACAATGTATTCAGTTAATAATTGCGTACTAAATTTCTAAACACATTAAATAATTTATACAAAAATATTTTACTTATTGTGTGTGTTATCTACCATACCACAATAACAGGGTCCATTAGGTCACTACAATCTTACTACAGTTGTACTATGAATTAATGATGACAACCAATCTATTAACAATTGTCAATCTTTACATCCTTTCGTCCAGTTCTCATGCTGTATCTCCAGCTCACTTCAGTCCTGTTGTACTGAAGTTATATTGTTCTGCTGTTAAAATACAGCCACTTCTAATCTAGTTGTATTAATAAAATACTTTTAATGCATTCAAATCTGGCACATCAAATCTGAAAGTTGGCAACCCTGTTGCCAAACCTGTGAAACAGTCAAATATATGCAGGAGAGTCCAGTTGAACTTCGCTTCAAGTGGGATTCCCCACCAGCAGCCTCATTCTGATCTCCGACCTGCGAGATAGGAGATGCTACCTGCTTTTAATGGAAGCATATTTCATACTGAACTCCTCTCGCTTGAATTTTTGCGGAGTATTACGCATAGATACTTCTATTTTTTCCACTTCTCCTGTTGAGTAAATGAAGTCATTGGTCTCCCACTCACTCCACAAGTTCCGACACCAACACGGCCATTCACATGTTCTGTTGTCGCAAATATACTCTTTTTCACTCTTCCTTTGTTAGTTTTGGAAAATGTCTGAAAATAAAATAGGTAAATAAATCAATAATGCAGACAATCATTAATTTTGTGGTGAATATGAGGCGTGAAGTAAGAAATATGATGACACAGTTTTGGTATATGGGATTGATAGATTCTCTTACCCGGGACAGGTAAATCCATAGTTTTAACCTGTGAGAGATTTCCTTGTCCCTTGGGTTGATCGAGGAGGGATTCCCCTGTCAGGACAATTACACAGTAACAATTCACTGACTCCACTTCAATGATTCAATCATGTCGCCGAAGCATTGAGCCAACAAAAACACATTTGAAGTACCTAATAAAGCCAGCTTGGTTACAGAAAAAATTACCCCACTGCTGGTGAGTTAGGGCGATCTCAATCCTTGGGAAAAGATGTGTAAGTTTGCTAACCTAATCATCTTTCTTCTCGGGATGAGATCCCCTAATCTCATCTCCAAGGAAGGTTGAGGGTGAAAGAATCTGTTAATCTATTATTATTCAGGAATAACCAAATCTTTCACCAGCTCTGGAGGTAAGATAGGGGGATCAAAACCCTTGAAAAAAAATCTTTCACCTCCTCTGGAGGTAAGATGGGGGGATCAAAACCCTTGAAAAAAAATCTTTCACCTCCTCTGGAGGTAACATAGGGGGATCTCACCCCTCAGTAAAAATCAATTTTTAACCTCCTCCGGAGGTAAGATAGGGGGATCACAACACTTGGGAAAAAAAATCTTTCACCTCCTCTGGAGGTAAGATGGGGGGATCAAAACCCTTGAAAAAAAATCTTTCACCTCCTCTGGAGGTAACATAGGGGGATCTCAACCCTCAGTAAAAATCAATTTTTAACCTCCTCCGGAGGTAAGATAGGGGGATCACAACACTTGGGAAAAAAAATCTTTCACCTCCTCCGGAGGTAAGATAGGGGGATCACAACACTTGGGAAAAAAAAATCTTTCACCTCCTCTGGAGGTAACATAGGGGGATCTCAACCCTCAGAAAAAATAAATTTTCACCTCCTTTGGAAGTAAGATAGGGGGATTTCAACCCTCGGAAAAATTACTACAATGCAAACAAGAGTATTTTTACTCTATCTCACCAGCAAGGAAGTGACTGATTGTTTTTCTCCTCCTGTGTTTTTGTAGTCCTAATGCTTCACATCTTTGATGAGACATCATAGATATGATAAGGAGAATCCCAGTCTCAACCCTAGGGCACTCTCAACAATGTTAGAGGTTTAACACATTGATAAACTGCAGAAAGACACTATCAAAACTACAGATCCATCAATACACTCAGGCAGACTAATACCTCATATACATATGGGAGTACCCTGAAGCAAGACATGAAAATCTCACCAGTAAAAAGCCAGGATATACCTGACCTTGGAGAGAGAAAAATGGAATAACAGCACAAAATTTGGACTATATTTTCACCTTGTTAAACAAGACAACAATTATACTTTGACCAAGACTTGTGGTATTTTTGACATGTATGTGTTCATTCCTCCCTCTAAAAGATTGATATATCTAGTCAAGTGCTTACAAAGTCAGCTGCACACTGAGATCAATTAATCTGGAATACCTATTGATACTATGATGATTTTTTTCTTCGTGCACAAATCCATCAAAATTGCATAAAAATTTAATCAACTATTTTCCTTTTTAAATATGTCTATTCCTCTAATTTGTCTCTCTTTTTCAAAAAAGACAAATGTTGTGCAAAGATACTTACAGATTGAATGCAACAGAAAAAACCAGCGGGTGAGATTCCCTTGTCTCGTGTATGAGAATAACTTTTTATATAGACTAAAGTTTAAATGTATATATACACGCTAATGCTAGGTTACCTTGGAATTAAAATCCAACCATTTGTTTTTCTCTGACTCTCTTTCCTCCTCCATCTGTTTGAGACGTTGGGCCTTTTTTTGAGACTTCTTTCTCTTGTATTCCCTTTGTGATGCTATGAGATCCTTTCTGGGGAAACCAACAGTGACACAAGAGATCAGATTAAACAGAAATATTGATAAACGTACGAGGTATTATGTACCTCATTCTTTCTTGGACAAAAAATGAAGCGAAATGTGAAATTTAACCTGAAATGTGAAGTTTAAATATGAAGTTTAACCTGAATTGTGAAGTTTAAGTTAAGTTCAAAATCTGTCAAAAACTTGGTCTTTAATTTTATTCCATTATTTAACTACTGAGAACCTCCTGAAAATCTGCACGCTAAAACTGAGAAAATGGACCTGATGTCTGATCAAAGTTTTGAAAGAAAAACACAGGAGACAGGATGGACACTATTCCAGTGTCCCCATGGTAGAATAAAAATTTACTTAATGGATAACAGTTTGTGTATGTGTAATGCCTCTTTCCTTCCATTCTTACTTTTTTGTAACAGACCAACTCAAAAAATCTTACCCATTGTAGAGTTTGGGCCTTAGTCTTCTTTTTAGGAAGAAATATTCATGACAAAACTTTCTACCAAGTTAAAAGCATCTTTGAGACCCTCATGCCTGACTCTTTTACAACATTTTCGAAATATCAAATTTAGGCATTGTTCTCATGCATTACTTTTCTTCCTTCATTCATAAAGTAAGAATTTATCTACAAAATACAAAAACCTGATAATTCTGAAGTTCATCCTGACACAATAAGGACCTACCCTACCAGTTAATGCTAGTGTTGGGAGGATACAGTCTCATGATCAATCATTAGATCATCTCAATTAATCGATGATCAACTAATTAACGATTATGAGGAGAACATACAACTCCATTTTTGCAATGATGAATTGATAACATAAATAAAGAAGAATCTAAAAGTTAGAGTGTTATGTACTTTGCACTTCTTGCCCAGAAAGTCATGAAAAAAGGACTCCACCACTTTCATCAGATTTGTTCCACAAGTATTGGAAAATAATATGTATTAAGCGCTTAAGTGGTGATGTTAACTAGTTTTGTTCAACCATATGCTTGATCACTTCATAATGTTTGTTGATAGAATCGAAGATTGAAGACTTTTTCAGTGAAAGAGAGGGAAACACGAATGTCACAATTGATTTTACTGACAACTGAACTTGAAAAATTGATGTTGATTAATTAGTTAATCAGCGCAACCGACCAATACACAACGAAGTCAATTAATCAGAACATCACTAATTTTGATTGTAAAACATATTTAAAGATTATAATTATTGTAATGTGTCTAAAAAACAAAAGAACTTTTTTAATCACAGAGTTCTGAAATTTAGCCCATTCAGTAATTAATTCATATGAAGTCAACTTTATAAACCTACTGATGTTTGTGTCTATTAAAGATCTTGTTTTCATTGAATAAGACAAGTTCAAAGTGTATTTTATTTCGATTTGAGTCTCACTCAATAGCGATTCTGGAACAGCAATCCCGCAACTTATCATTTCCAATTCAAAAGAACAAGTTCACTGCTCACAATGATAATTCAATGAATGTTCCCATGAAAGTTAATAGTACACAAATGCTACATCCTCTGTATTTAATTCACAACTTGTTGTTGTCTTACTTTGACTGAGGTTTTTTCGTGTCTGTTGACCCAGGCTCTCCAGTGGCATAATGTCTCTCTGCGTCAGTGGGTTTTAAAAACTTTACCTGTAAAGACATAGGTGTATATATGAGACCGAACAATAGGTTATTTTGTACATCTGACAGTATGAACAATGAGACATTACAGAAGTTTACTAAAAGTTTGTAAACAATCTAATAGCTTCATATAAATTTGTTGGTTTGTTAGGTTTATTGCTCCGTGAAAAGCAAGAAAAAATATTTGCCCAAGAGACACAGCTACAACAGCAGAGCTCAGTCTGTGATTTTGGTTTACTGAGGAACACAGTTCCTAGGTTAAAGGGATTGAATCACTACTCTCTGATCTTCACATATGGTTGCAAATCCTGATGTTGTACGTAATTGCTATTGTCACCATCTCGTACAATGTACCAGTACTATATCACCCTCTAAATATAAATCATGGTCAAAAGACAAAATCAAAGTTTTCAGACAAATTTCCTGGTACTTATAGCATAAATTTGCAAAACTAAAATTACACAAAGATAAGATTGGGATCCCCTCATTCCATCCACTTTTGACCTTTCACTGCTGACCATTTTAATATTATGGAGTAGAACTTGATGTTATGGTACTATAGAATAAGCATGATGCCAATTTGTTAAAAGGTTCTCAAGAAATGATATTGATTCCCAACAGAATGCAGCATGATATGGAATGTACACTGACATCTCTCACCTAAAATGTCGGAACATAAAAACAGTTAAGTAAAAAGGCTATAAATCTATAAATTTTCTTAGAACAAATAAACGTTGCTTTCTGGATGAGTGATTATTATGTGACAAGATACAGTAGAATAAACCTTTACCTCGGTCACATCTGTGTTTCCATAGTCATTAAACTTGACTGTGCATGTCCCATCCTCCAACACCTCATCTACTGTTGCTTCGTAATACCTGTTCAAATAGTTACACCAGTTAATCAAACTGGCTACCAGTGACTCATTCTAGGGAGATATGGGATTATGCTACGTTTACATTGTCTACAGTAAATTGATAGTGCCAATACAGTGTATTTTACTGACAGCAAATCATGCTAATTGCAGTGAATTTTAATCCTGAAATCATAAGAACACACATGAATAAAAATGAGGCACAATACTTTAAAACTCCATCACCTGTCATAAAATATTCATTTGTTTAAAAAGTTTACAAAGATTTAAAATGTTCAAAGGTTTCTTATTTTAGAACTGTTTGCTGATATTCGGATAAATACATGATTTTTATACTTTCTAAAAGAAATTTAATGAATATAAAATTACTCACTGGCCATCCTCCGAGTACATGGCCATACACATGTCACCAGATTTCCAAGCATGTTGAATGTTTTCTGCTTTTGTCTCTGTTTCCTCACTGCTCGGCCCCGCTTCCAATAATGTAGCTCCACCTAAGATAGCTTTCTGTTGGCCAACTAACTCAGTAGTCAGGTCAATTACTTCCTGCGAAAGCATTTGAGTGTATGTATTAGCTTTCTCTTAAAATCAACTTATTCTCTCAGATACAATTTTAAGATAATTCATGCAATGTGATTATAACATGAATGAGTTTTCAAAAATACAAAGATCAAGTAAATTTACATCAGGATTTTCCATACTTTTGTTAGCAGTAGGCTGTGTAGTGAAAGTAGGAGGCCGGCCTGCCGTGTAAGTGTAGTCGTGTACGGAACATTATTACGGAACTGGATTGGTGTAGACGGCCAAATGATCAAAGTAGCCAGTCAAATTGGCCGACGACCGGCTCTTATGAAAAACCCTGTTACATACATAATTTGTTTGTTAATAACTTTTTAATTTACCTGTAAATCCTTTTTCAGTTTAAGAAGATCTTCATTATCTGCATCATTAGTTAAAGAAGCTTCCACCTAAAATTAAAAAAAAATTATATCTTTCACACAAACCACATTTCATTTAGTGCAATTAACCAGCGCTAGAATAACTAAACTGAAAAGTGAACAGTGTAATACCAGTGGAGGTGTAATTTGTTTTTCTGACTGAAGCAAAACTATTGACCTCAACATTAATTTTGTGTCAATATAAAAAAAAATCTATCAACTTGATGAAATAATCACTAAGGTACCATCACGTACAGGTATTGAATGTTTAATATGTGATATGATAGTTATTATGCTGATAAAATAGCAGGAATGCTTTAAAAAAAGACTCACATTGAAAGTTACAGCTATTTTAGAAACGTAATAAGTTAACAAGTATCGTTTTAAATATAGATTTAAATATATCATATTACAACGATATATAATGTCAATCCTATATAATGTTCAGTAAACAATGAATCGTGAAATATAAATTGTATGATTTTCATCAAACATATATGTCCGGAACGTCTCGAATTTTATATCGTCAAAACTGGAAACGCGGTACCAATAAGGAAATTTGATAGTTTACTTATTCGTTCTATGTAAGTTATTGAACTTATTTCTGTCGTGCTTGTGTATATAAAATCATGGTAGATCAAGACACAGAAATTTTAATTTGATCCAGTTTTTTTTTAAAAGAAGATACCATTGCATAATGTAAACAGCTCACGATCGACAATGCAATATTGAAACAACAGGACGACAACAGAACGTTTGTCTCCCATGTGATCGCGTGAATTTCTTTGTTTTATAACGTTTACAAGAAAAGTAATGGTGTTTCTTCCGTATAAAGTATGTCTAAATTATTTAATGTTTCTATTAAGAGCCGTTGTTTGGCCGAACACAGCTCTAACTTACCTGTTGAAGCTGTAGTTTGTATGTCGCCAAATTTGACTGCAGGTCATCCGCCATCTTGCTTTTTGAGTAACAACTAAATTAAGACTTCAAGCGGAGAAAAAGTTCCGGAAAAACAAATACAAACTGTGTTTCTCTTCCGTTTAATAATTACATTATTGTCATATGTCATTTTAACTAAATATTGGACTATCTCTGTCAATAAGTAATCTGATAAATTATCAGGCCGGGAATACATGATCTATAACAAAATTCTGATATACATTACAATAATTTATAAAACGAATACAATGTATAAATGTTACGAAGTGAATTACTTCCCTTAAATGGTATCTCGACTGGAAAATAGACTTTTACATGGTTTGGAGTTTCAGTTTCTCATTCAAACTGAATAATCATTTCTTCTAAATATCTATGTTTTAAGGAATAAAATATTTGAAAAATAGGAAAGAGGCCAGATTCATTTTTCTCTTCTGACTCCCTGTCTGCACCGAAATAATTTAGAAACAAAGAATTTTTTTTAAGGTTTTTGCTTTTGTTTTTTTTCATTTTATAATAATACTACACAAAGTCAAAATATTGATTGCGAGTGAAAATGAAAAAAATAACCTTGCTTTCTGTGTGTGATATATTATTAATGTACAGAATCATCCTTTACAATACGCAAACCAACCAGACGGACGCTCTATCTGATAGATCTGGTCGCCGGCGATCAACCAAGCCAAATTCCGCTACCTTCCAAGGCTACCTCCTTTTCCCGCCAAGTCTGCGCGCCACAACTATTTACAACTCATGTCAGGGTACCCTTTCGTCAAGCAACAAGAGTTGATCACGAGCACCAAATATCGGAAATAAGGGCGGGAAAATGCACGGCCAGACCGAACTCTTTGACGCTATCCATTTACAAATTCTCTAGATCCTGTTAGAATATTTTAACACGGTCATAATGTTCATATCCTCAATTTTTATAGTGTGATTAGAAATAGACGATAACTACAAGTTTTTTTCTGTCTTGCCTATAGGATAGATGAATATGGATCTACCCTGGTAGGTGGTTATTACGAACTTCTAAAAACTCCCATTCTCTTAGTATCAACCATACAGGAGTGTCATTTTTACCAAATATTGATCTAATCTTAAAACCTCTGAAAACTTACAAGACCAATGTGTTGGTTCATATTCACATGTACTGTCATAAAAAATGTCGGACACGCTCTCACAGCAACGACTACATAAACATATTGCTGGAATTAAACAGATGATAAAAGTGCAATTGAAGCTATTCGATAGATTCAGCTCCATGTGATCATCCACCTGTATTTTTCAGCAATCGCGAAAACACAGATAACGTTAATAGTGATATCAGTCTAATGGGATCTTGTTATCGTTGTTAATAGATATTTTACGAATAAGTAATTCTTTTAGCTTTGCCTTGTCGTTACTGTGTATTTCTAGGTAGATCAGGGAATAGCAGTTATCCATATTGGATGCTGTTTATGTTTCCCTTATAAATCTTCCTCAAATACGTCCGTTAACTTAATTTTGTTTCAATATAAGAATTTATCACAAATCGATAAAAATGAGATAATACTTAATCAGATCTCATGACTACATTATTGTAAGTTTAAAAATAATGCTGACAAGCGTCCATCTTTGGTTTCGATAGTAAAATGTTGTGATAGCTATTTCTTAGATAGTATTGAATGAATCTTTACAATTTTTTCTTGGTTTCCAAATGTCTATTCTTTAATTGAAATGATTTAAAAATAAATAAATAAATAAATTTTAAAATATGGCCAACAGGTGGCCATCTTTGATATTGACATCTTTGCTTGTTTTCCCACCCAATACGTATCATAAGTATGTGTTAAATTTTTTATCATTGAATGAAAATATTGTTTAAATTAAGATTTGCTTTCACTATTTCAGAAATAACAGGACTTATTTTTCCCTTACTTAACAACAGCCGATTCATTCATGTTTTAATGCTTACTAATTACTGTACGAGCTTATAGAAGAGGAAAGAGATATAGTTAATTTTTCATTTCTAAATAGTGACATCACTGCTTCTCCCATTTATGTCGTTAAAATGTAACAACTGGTTCGATGTTCAAGAGCTTATTACGATTTTCGTGCAAGATGTCAACAGCTGATGGATAATCTGACAACGCATGCTTTCGACAAACGTAGGTTATCGCAGATATTAAGGAGGTTTTATACCGTCACTGTGACCTCACTGGAAAATATTTTTTGTGTGATATGAAGTATACCGTCTTCGATGCTCGAAAGTGTGCTTGATGGCTCCGTTTTTGTTCACATTCTCATTGGCAAAGGTTATTTGCTTGTCAAAACTTACACGGCAGATGACGTCGATGAAGCAGAAGATGCTTATCCTTTCAGAACACCTGAGTTCATTTTCCTTGTAATTGTTTCAGTTGTCTCCGTGCAAGTTTTCCCTTTTTCATATTTTACCCTCTATTAATTTTTTTGAGTTTGAAAAAACCATTGTGTTGAATTGTTGATATCTTTTTGTAACAACTATATAGTTCTCACGATTTGAATTATACATGATAATAAGACAAACAGTCAAAGAGTGTGGACTTGCTTTAATGACACAAGAGAAAATTATTGAAATTTGTACAGAAATGAGAGCGTATACATACACTATTTTTAAATCCCTTTTATATAGAGTGCAGCATTCTCGAGAGCTATTCATAGTCCGTTATTGACAGCTTCCGTCCTAGACTCTTGTTTAGTTGTGAAAACTTTCCAGCTGAAGACATAACTGTTCAGTACCGTTATTGTTTCAGTATGTTCCAAATGCTAATATGGTAAACTAATTCCCGTGTGCTTCTAGAGGGGAGATAACTGTCTTGTCACGACGCTTTGAAGGCGTTCAGGAACTCTGCAAATAGATAAAGTATAATGAAAATTATTCAACAATAAATTTTTGCTATTGTTTTAGAGAGAAGCTTATAATTTACAATCTTTATAGTCATCAAAAACTTAGGCTCCACAGATGGTACATTCATTGAAAGTGTCGTAACGATTATGAAGATGAAATTTACCGCATACAACTGTATTAATGACTGAAAATGTCATATGCCAAGGCAATCATTTCAAAAGGCAACTATTTACGAGAGACAGAAATATATGACATATCTGTCACCGTTTCGATCCAAATGTCCGTGCATTTTAAGCACGTATAAAACTTCTACGAACTTATAACCCTGACCTCTCCTAGAAACCTTGACCCTTCCGTATGTTTATAATTTAACCTTTTACCTTTCGTATGTTTATAACCTTTACTCACCTTCCAGATCAACTTTCCCGTTTTTGTCAGCGTCCACCATTGCGAACATTTCCTCAGCCTCCTCGTCAGTGAGACTTTCCCCTATACTACAGAGAACCTTCCGGAGCTCTTCAAGGTCCAATGATCCGTCGCCATTTTTATCAAATCGTTTAAAAGCATCTTTTAGAATATCATTCTGGTACTCAAGGGCTAAAATATGGATTTTCATAATGTTTTCAAATTCCTGGTATTCCACACTTCCACTACCTGAAAAAATAACAAAGACCAAAACATAAATACAAAAAGATATACAGAATGTTGAAACTGGCATGAAATCGTTTGAAAACGGTAAAGGCTAGAAAGACTGAAAACAGTATCTCGTCCAACCCAGCCTAGATATCCTTATAACAAGCCAAGGAACCAGCTACTCATTGTATCATAGTTTATCTAGGACATAACCCAACATTTGATTAGCCCAGCGAATTTCTCCGCATCGATAACTCATTTTTGCAAGAGCTGTAATGGTAATTGATGATGAAAATGCAATATGACGTCACTAACATAATAAAAAAAAGTGATTGACATCACTAACCATATCGGCACGTCATACAAAATTGTATTTCTAAATTATGTCAACCCAAGTGAAATATCGCGAGAGCGAGATCAATGATAACAGTGAATATGATAGACGACGAAATATTATATAAGTAAAGCTAATTGCATATGCTAGCCAAATCGTTTTACTAGGATTTATCTGGTGTCATCTTCCGACGATGGTCTGGTGTAAGACGAATACAGCTCTAGAACAATGTATTGGTAATACTTTACTTTCGATCTATATCTTTAGTGAAATATAAATATAAAGAAGATAAAAAATGCCCTTGAAAACGGAGTGTTCAAAAAGGCGACTCAATGCTAAACAAATACTTCAATGTCTTTGAACGTTTCACAGAATATAAGATATAAAATCGCACGTAAATGCTTTGATTTAGAATGACGCCTCTAAATATAAAGAAGATTCTAAAACTTACCGTCCATATCGTTTTCATTGATCATTCGTTCAGCCTCCTCTTTGGTGGGATTCCCCCCGCTCAGCTGCATAGACCGCATCAGGTCATTAACCCCGATCTTTCCGTTTCCGGTGGTGTCGATCAGACGGAAAATTCGCTTTATTTCTGTAACGCAAACATGAAACATTGTATTTACTGACCACTAAACAGGATACATTTAATGACCACTAAACATGATACATTTACTGACCACTAAACATGATACATTTACTGACCAATGAACATGATACATCTACTGACCACTAAACATGATACATTTACTGACCACTAAACATGATATATCTACTGACCACTAAACACGATACATTTACTGACCACTAAACATGATATATTTACTGACCACTAAACAGGATATATTTACTGACCACTAGACATGATATATTTACTGACCACTAAACATGATACATTTACTGACCACTAAACATGATATATTTACTGACCACTAAACATGATATATCTACTGACCACTAAACATGATATATTTACTGACCACTAAACATGATATATTTACTGACCACTAAACATGATATATCTACTGACCACTAAACATGATATATTTACTGACCACTAAACACGATACATTTACTGACCACTAAACATGATACATTTACTGACCACTAAACATGATACATTTACTGACCACTAAACATGATATATTTACTGACCACTAAACATGATATATTTACTGACCACTAAACATGATACATTTACTGACCACTAAACATGATATATTTACTGACCACTAAACATGATACATTTACTGACCACTAAACATGATATATCTACTGACCACTAAACAGGATATATTTACTGACGACTAAACATTAAATACTGTATGCAGGGACCTCTGAATGTGAAACATTATCACGGACCACTAATTGTTAACTATTGAATGTATTCGTTGACTTAAAATACTGTATATTATAGTAGATTATATAGAGATTACATGTATTTAGAAGGATTCTAAAGAGGCAGCGGAACTCACACAATAACTACTTATAATATGTTCAGAAAGACAAAATCTCACATTAAATATTAACCCCAATGGCGTACCAAATCAGCATATTCCTATTTTGCAAATAAAAATTCAATTTTTTTCGTTATTTTCTCAAAACAGGTCGATTGATGAAATGGATTTGTAAAATGGCTTTTACTATGGTACAAGCAGAATAGCGTTAGCAGGAAGTGACGTTAAACATACCTTTTCTTGCCTCATCTGTGAGTTCGCCCTCCTCGTCAGTTATACTGGACTGGGCCATTCTCGGGTCGTCCTGCCTCGTCAACCAGTGGTAGCACTGACAGGTGACCGACGTCTGACAAAGTCCTGAAATAATAGACACGTTTAAAACAAAACAATACAATAAAAGTTGATGATAAGGGGCAAAATATTAACCAAAGGCAAAAATCACTGTAGAAAATTGCAAGAGGAAAATGTTCATCTAAGTATGTAATGTCACGCTCTCAAATGGGAACCAGGTTCACATAGCCACTGGGCAATAATATATTCCCTATGACGTCAGGATGGCGGCAATTAAACTTTTCCCTAAATCTTCATCAACTGACATCTGTTGAAACACTGTGTGGTAAGTTGAATTATCAGAAGTCGACATTTCATGGAAATAGTTCAATTTGAACAAAGTCCTACACTACTGAATTAGCTGTGGTAAGCAAATACTGTAGATCTAGGGAGCAGGTAAGTTACTACTAAGAAATGGAAAATTGAAAAAAGGGAATTCTAAATCAAAATCCTTAGGTTTGTGGTAAAACAATGATTGTACAAATTCACACAATTATATTTTGAAGCTGCAGCAGCTTAGTCGATAAAGCGATAGGAGATGTAAGGTTCACTTCCTGTTCATGTGGTTTGTTGTTGATCAGAAACTTACACTGTACATGTTCATTAATCTATGCGCAGGAATTTTTATTGGTGTATTTCTTGGTGAAAAAGGACATTCGTCTGACGTTATCATTATTACACGACGTGTTTTATTTGATGTAGATTAAACTGCTAACTAATGACGTAATCGGCGAATTATGCATTGAATGCGTCCAGCACATGTATCACTATTGTAATATAACTTTCGTTGTAACATAGATTTTCATTGGTTATTCCGGTCAGAAATCGGTGATGATGTAATGACATGGTCAATAACGTTACATGTACGTCATGGATAAAAATGGCACAAAAAGTGACTGCCTCCGTTTGATTATAGTATCCACATTTTAACTTTAAACTTGTAAAAATAAGACATTTTTGATTGATGTAATAAAAAAGTGTCTTAATTTTATCTTCCTGTTGTAAGAAATTAATTACATAACTGCCTTGTTATTCAGCGAATATCCATGTTAGGATTTTTGTCTATACCCATGTTTAATATACAGTAGTCCATTGTTCGGCTTCTTTCATAAATGGAAACTCATGTACGATCATATAACTATTAAATTTGCCTCAATTTTTTTTATCTATTCTTTGCTTGTAAAGGCTCGTAAAAATAAAAAGCTTCTAAGATAAGTTTTACAAAATCTCTATGAAATAGAAAAAATAATTAAAGTCACACACACACACACACACGCACGCACGCATATATATATATATATACGTCAACCTTATTTTGAACACTGCGGTTGAGTCGAACTTCGGATAAGTCAAATTATTTTCCACGGTCCCTTGAATTTCGAGATAACGAGCTTCGACTGTACATATATGTGATTTACTGTTTCCGTTCATTTGACAAGTGTAATAGGTCATACCTACACAATTTTTGTGTTTATTGTAAGGAAATTGCTCCCTGCCTTACCTTAACAAACAATATGGCCAGGTTTACCGTTTCTCATTGTCGTCCTTAGATCCCTCTATATATTTAGTTTATTTAATCAGTTAATTCTCGTGAGACTGATCAGGTCTGGTAGATTGACAAAGTAAAGCTACTTATCACGAATCAACCGATACAATTGTATGTTATTCCAACAGTGATAGAATGTTAAATGTCAACTTCTAAAAGTTAAATCCGTTGTTTGTTTACAGCATGCCTATGAGAACCTACACTGTTGGTATATAATTACCGAAGACAGTAAGGCTTTACTGCTGAGGCATGTTAACATATCTAATGGAAAGCTTAATCTTTGGATTATTAAGTTTTATGAGAGAAAAAAACAACGACCAACATTCGCTTCCGTCGGGCAAGGCATTTAATACCTTGTTGTTTACTGAAGACAACATTATATTTACTGGAGACAACACTATATTTACTGGAGACAACACTATATTTACTGGTTTACTGAAGACAACATTATATTTACTGGAGACAACACTATATTTACTGGAGACAACACTATATTTACTGGTTTACTGAAGACAACACTATATTTACTGGAGACAACACTATATTTACTGGTTTACTGGAGACAACACTATATTTACTGGTTTACTGGAGACAACACTATATTTACTGGTTTACTGGAGACAACACTATATTTACTGGTTTACTGGAGACAACACTATATTTACTGGTTTACTGAAGACAACACTATATTTACTGGTTTACTGAAGACAACACTATATTTACTGGTTTACTGAAGACAACACTATATTTACTGGAGAAAACACTATATTTACTGGTTTACTGGAGACAACATTATATTTACTGGTTTACTGGAGACAACACTATATTTACTGGTTTACTGGAGACAACACTATATTTACTGGTTTACTGGAGACAACACTATATTTACTGGTTTACTGGAGACAACACTATATTTACTGGTTTACTGGAGACAACACTATATTTACTGGTTTACTGAAGACAACACTATATTTACTGGTTTACTGAAGACAACACTATATTTACTGGTTTACTGAAGACAACACTATATTTACTGGTTTACTGAAGACAACACTATATTTACTGGTTTACTGAAGACAACACTATATTTACTGGTTTACTGGAGACAACACTATATTTACTGGTTTACTGAAGACAACACTATATTTACTGGTTTACTGAAGACAACACTATATTTACTGGTTTACTGGAGACAACAGTATATTTACTGGTTTACTGGAGACAACACTATATTAACTGGACACAACACTATATTTACTGGAGACAACACTATATTTACTGGTTTACTGAAGACAACACTATATTTACTGGTTTACTGAAGACAACACTATATTTACTGAAGACAACACTATATTTACTGGTTTACTGAAGACAACACTATATTTACTGGTTTACTGAAGACAACACTATATTTACTGGTTTACTGAAGACAACACTATATTTACTGGTTTACTGAAGACAACACTATATTTACTGAAGACAACACTATATTTACTGGTTTACTGGAGACAACACTATATTTACTGAAGACAACACTATATTTACTGGTTTACTGAAGACAACACTATATTTACTGGTTTACTGAAGACAACACTATATTTACTGGTTTACTGAAGACAACATTATATTTACTGGTTTACTGAAGACAACACTATATTTACTGGAGACAACACTATATTTACTGGTTTACTGAAGACAACACTATATTTACTGGAGACAACACTATATTTACTGAAGACAACACTATATTTACTGGTTTACTGAAACAAACAACACTATATTTACTGGTTTACTGGAGAAAACACTATATTTACTGGTTTACTGAAGACAACACTATATTTACTGGTTTACTGAAGACAACACTATATTTACTGGTTTACTGAAGACAACACTATATTTACTGGTTTACTGGAGACAACACTATATTTACTGGTTTACTGGAGACAACATTATATTTACTGGTTTACTGAAGACAACATTATATTTACTGAAGGCAACACTATATTTACTGAAGACAACACTATATTTACTGGTTTACTAGAGACAACAATATATTAACTGGTTTACTGGAGACAACACTAAATTTACTGGTTTACTGGAGGCAACATTATATTTACTGGTTTACTGGAGACAACACTATATTTACTGGTTTACTGAAGACAACACTATTTACTGGTTTACTGGAGACAACGTTATATTTACTGGTTTACTGAAGACAACACTATATTTACTGGTTTACTGAAGACAACACTATATTTACTGGAGACAACATTATATTTACTGGTTTACTGAAGACAAAACTATATTTACTGGTTTACTGAAGACAACATTATATTTACTGGAGACAACACTATATTTACTGGTTTACTGGAGACAACACTATATTTACTGGAGAAAACACTATATTTACTGGAGACAATAGTATATTTACTGGAGACAACACTATATTTACTGGTTTACTGAAGACAACATTACATTTACTGGTTTACTGGAGACAACATTATATTTACTGGAGACAACACTATATTTACTGGTTTACTGGAGACAACACTAAATTAACTGGAGACAACACTATATTTACTGGAGACAACACTATATTTACTGGAGACAACACTATATTTACTGAAGACAACACTATATTTACTGGTTTACTGAAGACAACACTATATTTACTGAAGACAACACTATATTTACTGGTTTACTTCAGTATACGATATTCAATGGTTTATTTGTGAGCAGATATTTACTTGTTTACATGAGAGTACCTTATTCAGTGTCACCGATCCTAGCTGAATACCTATAGACCCATGTATTACATTTCATTACAGCACCAGGGTGAGAATTATCCTTCAAAATTATTACCTTTCAACCAGACAACACACACTTCTGTATATACTTGTTACGATTTGTTAGATATATCCATTGTTGTGTTGTGTGGATCTGGGTACACAGTCAGTTATCTAGCTTTGTCCTATTATAACACCAGGGAAAGACAAACATTATCTGGTCAATGGTCTCCATTTGACGTGAGAATACATTGACAATGTTTTCTACAGCTGATATATTAATTGTAGTCTTAAGTGAACAGGTGAAAGAAATCCTAACTGAAAATAGCTGTAAAACGAAAGACACTGCACTTATGTCTGTCAGTAAATCTTATTGAGGGCGACAAATACTTTAGTAGTTATGGAGGTGATGTATACTGTAGTAGTTATGGTGGTGATGTATCCTGTAGTAGTTATGGTGGTGATGTATGGAGGTGATGTATCCTGTAGTAGTTATGGAGGTGATGTATGGAGGTGATGTACCCTGTAGTAGTTATGGAGGTGATGTATCCTGTAGTAAGTATGGAGGTGATGTATCCTGTAGTAGTTATGGAGGTGATGTATCCTGTAGTAGTTATGGAGGTGATGTAT